CTTTCATAATTTTCATCAACACACTTTGGAATTTCACAGTTGCGTTTGTATAATAATAGTTATGGTTATAGTATCAAAATACTAACTACGAAATATCCAAATCAGGAATATGATGTTGGTCATTTCGTATTATATACAAACCGATTCCTCAGAATCAGTATAATTTTTTAGCCACCCAACTTTGTCAAAACATGATAATAGTTTAATTATATAGATGAATCTGTGTAAATATGTGGAATCAATACATATCGTGATGGATTCAATAGATATAAGTGTAAATATATTTGAATATGATGTGGTTCGGATTTAATTACTTTAAATATACTAGTTTTGTTTAGAACTTATACGAGATCGTAGATAGACGATCACATTTGCTAATCTATGGATGATAAGTCAAATCTAGGCTTATTCCCAAGAACTGACGTCTACGATTTTGTGGATTTTATTTACAGTAAGTTTGATTTCATCACGTTATTGGAAAAACTCTGAATAAATGACACGAATTACGGTAGACCCTGAGAGTTAAAGCGAAAGTTTCAGCTTTTTCGTTTTTGTGATTTAAAATTCTGCCTCGAGAAAAAAAAAAAAAAAACATCTGGTAAACTTTTCAATAATAAGAGAAAAATGACTTGCATGAAGAAGTAAGAGCATCGTTTGAACAAAAATGGGCCTGTTAGTTAAAGCTTTTTGTTAAATAGATAAATGAATATTTGGGCCTAAGCTACAGAATGGACCCAACTTATAATAGTGTTTTGAGTTGAATGTGTCTATTATAAAACCCATTTGCAAAATCTTGTTTCTCCTTCAATCTCAATCATAATGGACCTAAGCTTATTGGACAGTGTGATATCAACATTTTTAAAAAATGAAATTTATAAAAAAAGGGCTTTTTAATGAAAATGTTACCAAGCTCATTTGTGGCTCTACTGAAGTATATATATATATATTTTTTTTTTTTACTTTTTGGGTTCGTTATTCATATCTTTTAACAAGATTCTTCTGACAACTATTAAATTCTTCGAGTGTCTGTACGCGTGTGACGAACGCGCAGGTATTAGCGCGTTGAATACTAAAGTCAAAGTGATAGGATTGTTGTACTGAGCGGAAGAAGTTTAGAGTGCGTATCAACTTAAAGTACACAACTCAGCATATCAGCTTTACTTAGACCGTCCGATCCTACTTATGTGTTGTACTGATGAACCAATGAAACCTGTAACACGTGTCTTTTATACTCTCCTTGGGAACACTCTAAAAGGACGGTGTCACACCAGATTACAGCACCATCTATTTCCTCTTTATCTCTCGTGAATTCCCCACCGTCAGATCATGCTAGGTTTTGTGACGTAAGCTTATTTGTTGCGCATCTCTAGGCTCCCTCCCTCTATCCACTTGCTTATCCAACCGTCCGATCTTTTTTTCCCTTTTTTTTGTGGAAAACCTTCAAATTGGATTATTATTCTTCGTGAAATACTATTTGATAGTATAAAGTTATCAACTATATAATATCGTCTTTAAGGTCCATCATCGTGAATTTATATGGTCTTACAAAATTTTCGTGTGCATAAGATTTTCTTTACACTGATCATAAGAATACAACATTCGGTTGTATTTGGAATTTTTGTTTTGAATCTTTTCGTTTTTTTTTTTAATATGTGAAGGAGATTATTAACCAAATGAAAATTAGATATCAATAGATTTGTTAAAAGATATGAATGAACAACATCTCTATCAGTTCAATGTGTTAGATCGATTTACCTGGACACAACTTTAATTTAATCTGACCGGGCTAAACACTTTTTTATCAACATTAATGTTTAGCTGTTAACAATATGATTGTAATGTTAGATAAACGACGCTTAATAGGGACTTGTGTACTGTCGGTAATAATAACTTTCGTTCCATGATTGTGTTGTTTAGTACAGTCATTAGCGACTCTAATTTTACCAGTACATCTTTGTTATGAGAACGTTAGTACATATACTTTACCAAACATTTGAGAAACCATTTCTTTGGTAAAGCCTCTTTTTTCTAAAAAAATATACAACCAGCCTTTTAAAAACAAATGATTATAACTTCTAATTAGGTTCCAAGTGGGGAGTTGTCTCGGGGCTCTCAGTTGACGTGTGATGTTGAATTCATGAAAGAGATCCTAATGATCTCGTGGTCCCTCTCGCAGGGTTTATATAACCATCATGTTATGTTAGGAAAATGAGATGAATAGTGAGAATCCGAAACTTTAAAATATGCATTAGGTGCTAGCATTCGTTTAAAGGCACTGTATAACAAACCAACATCGATACCATTAATCTTTTTTCCCTATCAAACTTCTTTTATTTTAGTTTTCAAAACTTCCAACAAACAAGTAACAAACATAATCAAACTTGAGTAGATTGTTTGAATTACGTATACGATATCATACGTACTACGGGATTGTTTGGTATGTTGCCTATAAATCGTTATATAATATAGTATATTACTGGTTCTTGTGTGTAAAGAAAAGAGGGGAACGAGGATAAAAAGGTGAAAAGGAAGTTTAGGATTATTTTTTTTTATTTTTTATAAGACTTTCAATTCAGACAAGACAACTAGGTATGGGTCTTTTAACATACAGAGACTCAACTTGAAAAATCCATCCCACCACCAATAAAAAAAAGACAAGAGAAAACATTCAACTATCTTGTTAGAATCTAGACAAAATATAAAATGTATCATGCTGATTTTGAACAAAAACTATTAAAGATCTCAACCACCCTTTGATTGATATCTTTGAAAATTATAGAAGCGGGTAAATCTTGTCTTTCTCATATCATCATATGCATACATGTTGAATTTTAACAATTATATACATATTTGGAAAAATTAATGCAGTTTTTCCTTTGGGTGAATAATTTACTCCTAAGAAAATACTATCAGTAATCTCCTTGTTAAACAAATAATCTACACATTTTATTTATATTTTCTTCATATACTACTTTCTGGTATCTTTAACAGAAAATAATACTTGGTTGTTGATCGTAGAGATAGTTATAATTTTTATAACAATATGTAACTTAAGAATTTAATTTAGTGTCCTCATCGCTATGTCAACAATCCGAACTGCATCACGTAATGTCATTGACAAATAAATGTTCTTTATCTTCATAATCAATTGTTGAAAAAAGAGTAATGCATTCGTAATTGAATTCAATTTAATTAAAACGGAAACAATGAACCATAAGAATTCTAAACCAACAGTCTCATACTCTAATATAAGTTATCTAAACGTATTGTAAAGGGAAGTTTGTCCCAATAATTTGCATAACCTAAACAAATAATTACAAATTTCCATTACTATGATATCCGTTTCTCAACTACATATCTTATTATTATTATCACTTTGTTCACTTCTGATTTCATTTATTAAAACAGCTTAAAAATAATGCCAGATAAATGATCCTAATATATAAAACAATAGAAAAGCAGGTGCTGAAGAAATGCTGCAGGCTTTTTAGTAATTGTCTCCCATTTGCTTTATCTTTGTTTCGGAAATTGTAAATACGAGGATAAATATTTATGTTTTGAATGTCGCAGTGAAACAAATGATGCAGTTGTGCGCATTCATCAAGAAACAAGTACGATTGATGTTTTCAATGCGAACAAAAATGGAGACAACTTATTCAGTTAAAATAAGTAAATTCAAAGTTCGAACGATATATATATCTACAGTTTGCTTTTCTTAGTTAGATGACATTAGCACGAGCTCATGCTAATTGCATGGATGTTTATCCTTTTTTTTTTTAATATGATAAAAAGTGTGCATTGTCTAATTCTATGTGCCATTCCATAGTCAGGACGCAATTGGAGACTTTGGTGCATTCACTTTGTTTGCCGCAACACGAAGAAGGTGAACGTGGCCATTACTTACTTATACAATTACATATTGTCATATTCTATCATTTAATATTTTTAGTCTATATTTATAAAACACTGGATTCTAATCCGGGCAGCATAATTTAAACGTTTCTATAAAGAAAAGCTCTAGATCAAAAATTTCGTAGTTTATTTTGCAGATGTTATGTTCCAGTCTAAAGGCGTACGCTACTACGAATTGTATAGTTGAAATTAAAGAAAGACACCGTAAATTCAATAATGCTAATGTTCGCTATTAACGAAATACGAGAACTGATTAAAAAGCCGCATGTTTATTTAACGCATGTCAGTGGCTTCAGGCATGGGCTTATAATCGATAGAGAAGTCGCAACAAGCAACTAATTAATGTTTTTTTTTCTTATCACGCCACGAGTTATAATTTTAAAAACAAATATTTTGCATATTATACAATAAAAACACATTTTGAATTCTAATTATCGTTTGTGTTTCATATCAAATAAGAATTGGAATTATCTTTCAAATTACTAAAAGTGGAAATTGTTTTGTCAAACACCCAAGACGTATAACTTCGTTTTCTTTAAATAAATGGAATTCTTCAAAACTACTCCATCAAATTAAACTTTGAGATATACTATATTCATTTTTTTTCTTCTAAACTAAATGTATATTCATATTTATTGAGTTGCATCCGTGGCATGAAGCATATGCATCTTAACAGATTTCTATTTTAAATAATGGACTATGAGAAAGCAGATAAAAGGTTGTATCATTTGTTACCAAATAAAAGGAAGTAAAAATAAATAAATAAATAAACTACTGTACTTGTTTAGTGTGTCTCACGTGCGACGAGGAAAAGTTTTGGGAGAAGAAAAAAACTCTTTTTTTTTTTACTTACCTTGTTTGAAAAACCGTGAGCTGACACAAGCTCATTGCTTTTGCTACAGTAACGGCTACCGTCACTTTTGGCTCTATGACAGACCAATCATTTTAACCTCTGTCTACTACCAGGCGCGTGATAGTAACGCTCTTCTCTCTCTCTCTCTCTCTCTCTCCATGCCCATAAAATCAAAAACTCTGTTTTTTTGTTATTCATTTGCTTTAACTGCTTTTTTTTTTCCTCCTTTCTTCTAATGATATCACAAAGAGAAGAGAGAGAAGAGAAGAGAGTGATGGGAGATAAGAAATTGATTTCATCGTCTTCTTCTATTGCCTCGGTTTACGATACTCGTAATAATAACAATCATCATCACCCACCGTCTTCCTCCGACGAGATTTCTCAGTTTCTCCGGCATATTTTCGACCGTTCTTCTCCTCTCCCTTCTTACTATTCTCCGGCGACGATGACGACGGCGGCAATCGGAGTGCACGGCGACCCACATGCAGACAACCCCCGGAGCTTCGTTTCTCATCCGCCGTCTGACTCTGCGCTCCCGTCGAAGCGCCCCGCTGATTACTCTGAGGTTTTAATAGGCTCCGCCGTTGGATCAGCCTCCGCCGTTGGATCAGGCTCAGCCCCGTGTTTTGGTTTCTCCGGAGGTAATAACATTGCCCAAGGAAACAGCTCAGGGACTCGAGTTTCGTCTTCTTCCGTTGGAGCTAGCGGGAATGACACCGACGAGTACGATTGCGAAAGCGAGGTCTCTCTCTCTCTATGTGCATGTTCTAAAAGTTCCCATCTTTGTCTGTTTCCTGAGAAAATGTTATACTGTGACTTTCTCTAACGGATCTGTACTTTCTTTTCTCACCATTCAAGTGAGCAAATTAAATTTGCCTTTTTTTTCTGTGTGTGTGTTTTTTTAGTGAAGTTTGTGAATGTTAATAATGCACACAGAGTGTTTGTTGATTTGCTTGAATGAAATCAGGAAGGAGTAGAAGCTGTGGTTGATGATGATCTTCCCTCAAAGTCTGGTCCTTCTCGTAGCTCATCAAAGCGATGCAGAGCTGCTGAAGTTCATAATTTGTCTGAAAAGGTTTTTTATTTGCTCCTTGTTTTTGTTTTCTCTCCCAAAATCACATTCCTTTTTACTCAGAGATTGATGTGATCTTGTTCTGACAGAGGAGGAGAAGTAGGATCAACGAAAAAATGAAAGCTTTACAAAGTCTCATCCCAAATTCAAACAAGGTAAAAATACATACAAATGCTGAATCATTCTCTCATTTGTCTCTTGTTATTGTGTCTGATTATATAATGTCCATTGCAATGCGTTGATGATTGGTGGGAAGACGGATAAGGCTTCAATGCTTGATGAAGCTATAGAGTATCTGAAACAGCTTCAGCTTCAAGTCCAGGTCACAAAATATCCATTCTCAAAAAGATATGATACATTCACTTTTCCCGAATCAATCTTATGAACAGATTACTCTGTGTTTTGCAGATGTTGACAATGAGGAATGGAATAAACTTGCATCCTCTGTGCTTACCTGGAACTACATTACACCCATTGCAACTCTCTCAGGTTCGAGGGATGCCTCAAGAAGCAACCAATGATCATCTGCTTAATCACACCAACCAATTCGGTTCGACCTCTAACGCACCTGAGATGATCAACACCGTGCCTTCCTCATACTCGTTGGAACCTTCCGTCCGCAGTCACTTTGGACCTTTCCCTCTCCTTACTTCACACGCGGTGCGTGGTTTCATAACACATTTTCAATCTATAAACCCTAGATTCTTGAAAGCTAGTGTTCTTACTAGAAATTTATTGTTTTTTCGTAAAGGAGATGAGTCGAGAAGGTGGACTAACTCATCACAGGTTGAGCATTGGTCATTCCAACACAAACTTAACCGGTAAAGTCTTCCTGATTTCTGAATTCTCGTGAAGAAGTTTTTAAGACATTGACAATGTTAAAAATGTTGCGACGTTTGGGTATTTGCAGGGGCACAAGCTGTGTTTAATGGACAAGAACAACCTGACATAAAAGATCGACTTACTTGAACAGCAACTCTCGACTTTGGGTTCTATGCGTTCTTGTTTCTTAGGAAGCAAGCAACAAAAGCTGCCTGTCAATGGAGATGCATTTTAACGATCTTTATTCCTATGTCGTTATAAATTGTTGTTAACGTGAACTCTAGAGACTAGTCTTTGGATCCTAATATAGCTATATAAACAAAAAAACTGAATTTCGATTACAAAGTAATTTGGTAGGCTTATCTATTTTTCTGGTGGTGGGATGTAAATTTTTAACTTCTAGATCGTTTCGCATTGTATTAAGACTCGAGGGCTCGAGTTTGTAAATTAAAAGATAAGCTTCTAGTGAAGTTTCTAAGCATCAAATTCTACGTGAACTTGATTTCTTAAGTTTGTTTGACCATACTTAAGTAGGCAACACTAATGTAACTCATGGCTGTTACTGCATCAATTAACCTTTTGTTTCTAGCAAGAATTTACAAAATAAAATAATTAGAAAATTAGTATTCTTCAGTCCTCACCAATGTTGTTGGAACTTCGAAGCTTCCAAGTTAGTAGTGAGCGTTATTTCTCTAATTATTTTGCAAAGAAACGTGCGATGATAATGTTTGAACAACCTCGAATTTCTCGCTTTTTATTTCCAAACAATTTTCAGGTATGTAATTAAAAACCGAAAAGTAAATTGGATTCTGTTTCAACGAAATCTAGGAGGAAATTTGGTTGAAGTCGACTGGAGTTGAAAGGTTGTCGTTATTCTGTCTTTTTGTTATAAAATCAGTGTCCACTCTTCAACTCAACTCAACAAAGTTCGCCGGAGAAAGTAAAAAAAGAGAGCAGGGATTTATGGCGACGAAGGAGAACGGTACTGATGGGAAGAAACCGGGTCGGGTCATCGACGGACCCACAAACCCGATGGTCACGCCTCTGCTCAACGATCTTTACCAATTCACCATGGCTTATGCTTACTGGAAAGCCGGCAAACAATCCGCACGATCCGTGTTTGTTCTCTCTCTCTCTCTAATCGTGAAATCTCGATGCTTTTTTTGATCCACGAGAATCTTAAAAGTTTGAACTTTTCTTCGTTTTCAAAATTGTCAGGTTTGATTTGTATTTTCGTAAGAACCCATTTGGTGGAGAGTACACTATCTTCGCTGGGTTAGAAGAATGCATCAAGTTCCTCGCTAATTTCAATTTGACTGACGAAGAGATTGATTTCGTTCGTGACTCGTTACCTGGATGTGAGGTTAAACAATAATCTATCTCTGTCTTGCCAATTTCTTTAAAGGAACGATTTTTATTTTTTCTTATAATCGTTTGTTACGGTTTTGGAATATGAAATCAGGAAGCTTTCTGTGATTATCTTCGAGGGCTTGATTGTTCTGACATTGAGGTGTATGCTATTTCGGAAGGATCAGTTGTTTTCCCCAAAGTTCCTTTACTCAGAATCGAAGGTCCTGTTGCTGTGAGTTTATTCATCTCTCTCCTACTCTCGTTTTGCCTCGAATAGTTTCATAAAGTCTCTGATTTTCTTGAGCTTTGCTTTTTTTTTGACATCTCTTGAGCTTTGCTTAGGTTGTGCAATTGTTGGAAACTCCGTTTCTCAATCTCATCAATTACGCATCTCTGGTTGCTACAAACGCAGCAAGGCATCGGTTTGTCGCCGGAAAATCTAAGCTTCTGCTTGAGTTTGGTGCTCGAAGAGCTCAGGTTTCCCCCTGAAAAATCTGTTTTTTTGTTGGTAAGCCTTGAATAGATATTGGAGTTTTGTTTGTTTCATCTCGGATTATATTGTTGTTATATAGGGACCTGATGGCATAATAAGCCAATAAGCGCATCAGAGTATTGCTACCTTGGAGGTTTTGATGCAACAAGGCATGTCTTATTCTTACTAGTGCTTTTGTTTTGTTTATGGGAACATTGAAATGGAAGAGAATGTGATTTTTGTTGGTCTCTTGCTTTGTTGTTATAATTACGGCAGCAATGTTGCGGCGGGGAAATTGTTTGGAATACCGCTCCGTGGTACACATTCACATGCTTTTGTTAGCTCATTCATGGTAAATTTGCAACTTCTTTACGACCTCTTATGCATCACTAAGAACAGTTTCAAGATTCATTGGAATGGTTTTTTTTTGGCAGAGTCTTGATGAGATTGTTGACAAAGCGCTTCGAAGCTCTGATGGTAAAAGCACTTGTGAAGATTTTGTCACTTTGGTCCAAACATGCCTATCCAAGATTCAGGTTTGCTTAAAGTGAAATCTAGGTTTTAGTTTTGGTTTTTGATTCATTTCTCTATAATCTTTCGTGTGGTGGATGACAGAGTTCATCTTCATTATGCGGGATCTTCTCTGAGACGAATCAAAGCGAGCTTGCAGCTTTCACTTCCTACGCACTCGCGTTCCCCAGCGCCTTTCTTGCTCTTGTTGACACTTACGATGTGATGAAGAGTGGCATTCCAAACTTCTGTGCTGTTTCTCTAGCACTTAACGAACTCGGGTGTGTTAGAAATCTTCTGTTGATGCTCTGTCTTTCATTCGCCACAATGAAAATTTTCAAGATTCATGACTTTGTGTTTGTTATGCCAGATACAAAGCAGTAGGCATTAGACTGGATTCAGGTGACTTGGCCTATCTTTCTACTGAAGCCAGACAATTCTTTTGCGCCATAGAGAGAGAGCTTAACGTGCCTGACTTTGGGAAGATGATCATTACCGCTAGTAACGATCTAAACGAAGAGACAGTCGATGCTTTGAATAAACAGGTAAATAATCTCAGCTTTTAAACCTTATGAAAATTTCTCACATTAGGCCACACCTTGATGGAATGTAACTTTTCTTCTTGAACAAAAAAGGGTCATGAAGTAGATGCCTTTGGAATTGGAACCAACTTAGTGACTTGCTACGCGCAAGCGGCGTTAGGCTGTGTGTTCAAACTCGTGGAGATTAATAATCAGCCTCGGATCAAACTTTCTGAAGATGTTACTAAGGTTTTGACTCACTTCCCCATTGATAATGTTGCTTCAAACTTTTGTGCTCTTCTTGATATAAACCTCACTCGCGCGTCTTCAGGTATCGATACCGTGTAAGAAACGTACTTACAGATTATTCGGAAAAGAGGGTTACCCTTTGGTTGATATTATGACTGGAGAGAACGAACCACCTCCAAAGGTAAAAGAGACGGCATTAGCTTTCTTCAAATATTTCAAGGTTTTTTCTTAGTCATTTAATTTGTATGGATGCTAAGGTTGGTGAAAGGCTACTTTGTCGTCATCCATTCAATGAGTCGAAATGGGCTTATGTGGTGCCACAACGCGTGGAAGAGCTTCTGAAATGTTATTGGCGTGGAAATGCAGGTTTAAACAGAGTTCTCTCAATACTTACAAGAGGATTTTTCTGACAATTTGCTTATGACTGATTATGTTTTGCGTTTTCTCTTTCTGCTTATGAAGATGAAGCCAGGGAAGAGCTAGAGCCATTGAAAGAGATAAGAAACCGTTGCATCAAGCAGCTGGAAAACATGCGACCCGATCATATGAGAAGGTTAAACCCTACTCCGTATAAGGTATGATATTCCAACTAAACACCCTGAGAAAGCCTGTTTTGTATTAAGCAAGAGCTCTCTGAGAGATGAAACTAATTTGTGTACTTACTCACAACTTGCAGGTTAGTGTCAGCGCCAAGTTGTATGACTTCATCCACTTCCTCTGGCTCAACGAAGCTCCTGTCGGGGAACTGCACTGAGAATTTACAAATACTAGAGTTTTGTCGAGCTTGGGTCTGTGTATACGATAAAAAAATATAACCATAGTATCAGCTTCGCCACTTGCTTAATTATGGATCTCACTCGTTTTACAACATCATGATGTACAAATAACTTGTACTGACCAACATTACTCAGAATAAAATTCAGAAGTCAGAATTTTGAAAAATGATGGCTGAAGTTCAAAGGCCAAATATTTGCTTCATCATCTGTGTTCTCCATATCGAGCAATTCCAGAAGCGGCAACATCTTGAGGCTTTGTGTGTGTATAGTTCCGGGATAGTTATTTTCTTTTATAGCCTGTGATATATATGGAAATTGATGCTTTGATGCTCTTTGTTGATTCTTGTTGGTTGAGAATTTTGCTGTTTAATTATTACAGTACTCAAACAAGTACCCTAGAGATAGATACGTAGAATACAAGAACTGCAGGAAGTAGAAGCAAAATTCAGAAACATCATCATCTTGAGGAACAAGGATCCGGTGATTTTGCACTGGTATCATTCTGAGGATGCTTCTCTGTGTTTCAGTGTTTGTCTCAGATGTATGAAGGTTCATCAACCTGAAGGGACCTCCTAGAGTTGGAGCACCCCGCATTCTTTTATCTCTGTTTTATATCCGTTGTCGGGGTAATACTTGCCCTTCCGTGGGCCGCACCTGAACTCAAAAGCAAGCTCGGTGGAAGTCACCTCCACTGCTTCAACCTCGAATACGTACAGATGCTTCTCGAAAGGAAAATCTATATATTTATAAAATTCACCGATAGCATTCTGTTTCGACGTGATGCTGTAATAAACACATCCTCCCCTCATCAGTCGGCTATACTGACCTTCGTCCTTATCAAAAGCATATACGAGGCAAGCCTTAAATTTGGTTGATGCGCCAAGAGGCATTTGATTCAACTTCACTGTTACAGAACTCCCAGAAGATCGGAAAGGGAAGCACTCAGGCACTTCTCCGCCGGGCAAGACTGCAAATTCAGTAGTCGGTGTCTGGATGATGAGGTCTCTGGCTTCTTGATTCAGTTTGTAGCACCTAGTGAAGTCGAGAAGACGAATATCCGGATTGGGAAAGGAGCAGTCTAGTCTCTCCAGGGACTCGCAACCAACTGCATGGAGTTCTACTACTGAATACGGAAGCTGAGGGAGTGATACCAGCTGTGCCATTCTGCTTACTTCAAGTCGACGCAGACGAGACATTGTCCCGATCCATGGACCAAGCTCTCGTATTTCACAGTTTGACATTCCCGAAGGCGCTTCTTTTATTGCAGCTCCATGGGCCAAGCTCTTGTTATGAAGGCGCAGACGAGATTTTCTCCCAAGCTTCTGCATTCCGCTTAGTACAAGTCGACGCAGACGAGATCTTCTCCCGATCCTTGGACTTAGCTTGTGGTAGTCTTGGATGCTTGTGGAAATCTCAGGATAACTTTTTAACACGGAGCAATCTGAGAGATCGAGTTCTTCCAGAGATTCCAAGTTGATGTTCGCCAGATTTACCACCAGGTTTGAGCATCCCGATAATCCCAATTTCGACAATCTACAAAGGTTTCTCATAGAGCAAGGGAGCTCCACCAGACTTCTGCAATAACTGAGATTCAATGTTTCGAGATTAACTGCATTTCCAATAGAGCAAGGGAGCTCCACCAGACTTTTGCAACCAAAGAGATTCAATGTTTTGAGATTAACTGCATTTCCAATAGAGCAAGGGAGCTCCACCAGACTTGAGCAAGAACGGAGATCCAACTTGCATAGATTAATGGCAGTTGAGAGATCAGGGAGCTCTTTCAAGCTTGCCGAAGAACTCAAAACCATCTCCTTGAGATGTCTGAGCGGCTGTAATGACAAATAAAGGGAAGCACATAAGATCACGCTAGTATTTGCAAAAGTTACTCGCAAAATCAGTTTTTGCATAGTTTCCCACTGCTTCGTTTTTTACAAGTAAGTGCTAAAATTATGTTATCTATTACCCACTACAGTCACAAAACTCAACTTTTCAAACTAAACTATAGTACCAAAAAATACAGAAATTTTAGATTCTAGATAACTCTGAAATACTTTTTTTTTTGTAGAGGAAAATAAAATAAAGTATTACTTACTCGAACGCCGTCCCACAATTTCCCAAGCTTGCTATACGGCATTTCTAGTTTGACAAGGAACTCTGGATGAAAACTAGAAGGCAAACATGGCATCCCGAACCCCTTCCAACTTAGAAATCTAAGTTTTCGAGATATATAGTTCAGACTCCGGGAATTGATGGCTTCTTTGAATTCTTTGCCATGGATAAGTAAGAAACGGAGGTTAGAAAATCTTTCAAAGGCTCTTTCACTTGTACATATTATGTCCTCCTTGCTGTTGCTGTCCTCACTGAACCAGAGACTTATTCCTATAACACTGCTAGTATCCTAATGTAACACAAATAGAGATATGGTTAGTTATCAAATCATCTCAAAATTAATTGTAGAGAGCACTTCAGTGAAATACCAAATTTCCAAACTTACGGCTTTATCATCGCTAAGTACTTCAGCAAAATCTTTTGCATGATTTTCCAAAAGCTGGCGTTTCCCAGGCTCCCTATCAGATTGTTTCCGCATAATTTCTCTTCCCAGTTGAATTAGCAAATCATGCATCTCTATCCTTCCCTTATCTATATCTATGAGGGATTTTTCAGCTAGGACGCGAAGCCCAAGTGTCACGTCCGTGAAACTATCTGCAAGACAGCCTTCCACTACTTCAACTGATTCACCTTTGAAAAAGCAGGCTATGTGAAGAAATAAATTTTTATCTTCATCATGTAAGGCTTTATAACTGAACATTAAAATGCTCTCAATATCTTCGTCAAGGCTAATACTTAACCTTCGTAGTGCCTTTTCCCACTCTTGTTTGGACTTGGACAGCCCCCGGAAATAGGAGCCCATAATCTTAAGCCCCAATGGAAGTTTACCTGCAACTCTTGTAACTTCACGAGCAATCTCCATGAAACCAGCCTCGGGGTCCTTATGACCAAAAGCATATATGCAGAACATTTCAAGAGCCTCACCAGTCGATGGTAAACCCACCTTGTATATATCGTGGACCCCACTTGCTTTTAAAAGTTTTTGATCCTGTGTTGCGATGATAATCCGACTCCCATCACCAAACCAAGTTGTTTCTTTTGCCATGGCTTCTAGTTGTACTAACTGGTCCACATCATCAAGGACGACAAGAACTTTCTTGTCTCTCAACCTGTTTTGGACAGTACCCAGATGTGAAATCACGAGAGTCTCCTCCTTGATTAATTGAGACATAAGCTGCTTTTGTAGATACAACTTCACACTGTAGTCATCGGAACGATCTGCTTTTCCATACTCTCTCTTGATATTATCCATAAAGAGACTATGTTGGAAATCTCCAGAGAGTCGGTCGAATAGATATCTTGCAATGGTGGTCTTACCAATCCCAGGCGGACCCCAAATCCCTATCATCCTCACCTGCTCCGAATCTAGCCGTAACAACGGCCCCATCTTTGTCAAATGAGATTCCATCCCAACTAAGTCGTCGAAATCACTTGATGGTGAGGAAATGTTCAACTTGTTCGATACATCAGTGGCAATTTCACTAAACATCTCGGCTTCATTATTCCTGAACAAGGGGATGATCAGAATTTCCGTTAAATACTCATGAAAAATTGCACATAGTACTGAGACATTCTCATGTATCTAGTTGTATCAGGATATACAATATTTGTGGGTTTTAAAATAAGAACTGCCATCCTGAAAATTCATATTTTTAAAAATGTGTATGTGTTAAAAGTATGTAGATCAATTAAGAGTGTTGTTTTCTTTATTTGATCTACAAATAGTATTCATACAAGTATGAGAACAAGAACACGGTTAAGAATCAAAGAGTACGAACCAGTTGGATGAATGGTAACCTGCGATTTGGGCCACTTCCTTCAAAGCATGTTCCCATCTTCCGATGTCCTCCTTCGTTTTACCTTCACAAGTTTCTCTAAAGACCTTCCCAAAATCACCAGTCTGCTTCTTTACATCAGACGGATCCACTTTATAGAAAAGGGTCATCACTGTTTGTTTCAAATCGTCTCTGCACTTGATGATCTCCACTAGCTCGTTCAAGCACCATGTCGAAGAAGCGTATCTCTCCGACAGCATGACAAGCGCAATCCTCGATCCTCTAATAGCTCCTGTGAGCACGGGACCGATCGACATACCCCTCTCTATATCATTGTCAATAAAAGGGCTGATTGCTTTGCTTCTGAACTTCTCGTGAATGTGACTGACAGGGCCTACGCGGACATCTGCCCCATGGAAGCTTGTGAAAACATGGTGATTCCCATTGAGGGATGGAGAAGATGAAGAAGAAGCCAGTGTTATGTTTTCTTGATGGGGTCGGGATTTTTTGTTAGCAGAAGCCATTGTTGTGTTTTCTTGATGGGCGAAGCTTATTGCTGTAGCAATAACAAAATTGGTTAGGGAAAATAAAGAAGATTCGGCTAGGATGATGGAGAGAGGATCAAGATCGCATATCTTTTTAGAGAGGAGAAAGAATTAACAAAGAGGCTCCGTGTGTATACTAACAGAGAACGTTGACTCCATTGACTTCATACGCAGGGAAGAAAGCTTCGCAGATTCTTCGGTACCAAATTTTCCACGCGACATTTTGTGGACAACAAAACCGTTGGACCTACCTTATCATGAAAGAAAGCTTCGTGGATTCTTCGGTGCCAAATTTTCCAAGCGAAATTTTGTGGACAACAAAATCGTTGGGCCAACCTTGTCATGAAAAGATGTTGGAACCTACCTTGTGTTTTCTTCCAAGAGATGAAAAGTCCATATGCAGTTAGTGCCGAAAATTCAAAACTGGATCGGATTAGCATTCCTCATTGTTCCCCTCTTACAAGTTACAATTAAATGAGCCGTTGAAAGATAAAAAAAACGTTGCATCAAACAAATCCAAGACCTGCGACGGCGATCCTATCATATGAGAAATTTAAACCCTTATAAGGTATAATGATCCAACAAAACACCCTGATCTCCTTGAGCAATCCTGTTTTGTAACCTAATTTTTTACTTACACTTACAGTTATGTTTTGTCTGGTTTGGTGTGTGTGTGTGTGTGAATATACATATAACCATAACAACAGCTTTGCCACTTTCTGAGTTCTTGCACTCATTCCCACTCTTTTTACAACACCACATGTCATTATATCAAAAGACCTCTTTAGTCATCAACATTGTTCAGTTTGTTTCCGTTTGTCAGAATAAAAAATTCAGAAGATTCTCTGTATTTTCCTTAATGTTTGGTCATTTCGTGGAAATGGTGTAAAGCAAAAAAATAAATCATTTTGTGTCAAATATCAAAACACACTTAGCTCACTGAGAAACTATCACCACAACAAGAGAATCGCCGCAGAGATGACAACGAGAGATGAGAATCCAATTGCTGTAGAACCAGCATCACCTCCCGGAAGATCCCTCGTAGGATTTCGTGAAGACTCTCCTCCGGCGACTGGTGTCGGAGCTGCCTTCGGAGCAGGAGCATCGCATGTTCCAGAAGGTGCGTTTGACTGTTATATATGCGAAAACACTTTCATCATTAGCTCATCAAGATTTATGTTTTGAGACAAAAGACTCTGCTCTCGAGGAAGAATAATGTGTTGCGTGGTAATGTAACGTACCTTGCAAAGGACTAAACTGTCACAACCACACGTGACACGACCGTTTACTTCATCTACAGCTTCTGCAGCTCCTCCACCATCACTCCTCTGCGATTAAACAACATCAATTAGCACAATTAGAACATACTTCTCCAAGATCATCTCTACAAAAATGTTGGATTTGTCACCTGGTAAAAATCAACGGCGATGAAGTTAGGCCACCTTTTACCCGCTGCTTCATGGCAAGTTGTAACCATTTTGATCAACGGAGATGAATTATCCGCGCAAGCTTGCGTTGAATTCGGATTGGTTCCAAAGTAGTTTTGGAGAACCAAAGAACGAGACTTGGTATCCAATGGAGAAGATTCATTTCGGTTCGAGCATGATCCATCCTTCAGTCCATCATTACCATCTACCACATAACAACACAAACACATCATCTTTGTTAAGCTGGTCTGCAAATCAAGTTTGATATTCAAGATCATTGAAACAAAAAAAACTCACATTGATTCTCCACCATGTAATTCCACTGGTAAGCAAAACCTTCAGAAGCTTCTTTATCCTTCTTGGAAGTGAAAACCACAAGCCTCTGGTTTTGCTTCACCATGTCATCCACTGTTGGCCAGTCCGTACCGTCTTTCGGCATTCTCGAAACCGGAAACATGAACTTACTCAATCCAGATGCTTTGAACACCTTTTACAAGTAGCAAGATTTGATTCTTGGCATTAGATATGTATATACATACAAACTATCAAAACAGTATGTGTGAAAAAAAAAAATGAACCTTTTGGCACAATGTACTTACCTTAGTCAAGCCCCCTGGAGATTTGACATAATCTTCGAGGATGATGGTAATAATCTCAGATAAGTTTGATTCAAGAAAATCATTGATCTCTTTGAGCACATTGATAGCTGGTTGCTGCAGGTTCATTAAATTCGTTAAAAACCAACCAATTTAATCAATTTCCATTTAAATATTCAATTGCAGACTTACAAAGGCAGTGAAGTTAAAGCAAGTCCCTCCTGTGGAATGACACAACCATATATCGTTCTGAAAGTCATATGTATCCAGCATGATCCCTCTCACACCATTCTGCAATAATAATGAAAAAACTCACAATTCTATTTTCAATCAAAATCATTGTGCCAAAGTTCACAAATTCACAGTTGAACATGTAAAAACATGTAAAAGAACCAATCATTGAGGAAAAGGTCAAAAATTGAATCGTGTGATTTGGGTTGGTAACACGTGGAAAAGAATAAAAAGTCGATCTTTCAGACAAATGAAAAGGTTTGATTCAAAGCCACCAACTAAAGCTGACATTGTCTTTTATTGAAACCTAAGGCAACCAAGAAACTTGCAAATTAAGTCAGATCCCAAATTTAGCAAGAAAAGTTCTACACGAAATTGTCAAAAACTCGAAGAAAGTAAGACCTTAAGCTGATTAGTAATGGAGTCTTCTTGATTCCTTGGTGAGAGGAGGAAAGAGCCAGTTGCCGAATTTGCCCCCGTCATTGAATACGAATTGTGTGTTGTTAGCCACGAGTACTTGTTGAACGGCAAACCATTCACCTACCCATCATCAAAACCACATGCAATCCATCATCACCCCCTAAGAAAATAAAAACTAAAAAAAAAGTAATTGAAATCGAACCTTGGAAGTCGGGTTGAGAGGTCGGATCCGGGTACAAACTGACCCGGTATTTCCGTTCGCCGGGCAACTCTGGCAACTCAATCCGGCGTCGCATCGGCTGCTCGAGCTACAAGTTTCTCCCATCTGTGAATCGCAGAGCAAATATCAAACTCTCTGTTACTAATTTTTGAAAACTTTTTCATAGAAATTAGAAGAGAAAGGCGAGTAAAACCTCAAGACTGTGAACGAAAGATGATAATAAACAGAAGGCTATGATCATCAGATTCAAGAAGCATTTGGGAAAGAAACCGGAGCCCTGCATTTGAAATATTGTAATGAGAAATCAGAATCCGAGTAGTTCGATGACACACAAAGGTTTTGAGGTCTGTGAAAGCACCAAGAAGAAGAAATAGTGGTCGACGAACCTCCATTTTGGAGGTTTCCTTTGCCCTTTATTTTTAGCGTCGGAGAAGAAAGAAACAGAGAGACGTAGAAGTGAAAATGCGGAAGGTTTTACAAGTGACGAAGAGATTAATGAGTAATGACGATATTAATAAAACGCGGCGTTTGGGTGACAGTTGTTACTTTGGTTTTTTTTTAGTTAATAATTTTAATTATTCTGTTGGTCGTTTAAAAGTATCTTTTTCTAAATAATAATAATTTACTATCGCTTTTAAATATTCTATGACCATATGGAATTATATATGTGCATAGAAATGTCATGTATTACCAGAAATTAGACCGAGTCATCGTTGACCTTTCTTCGTGTACAGGTTATATATACGCACACTAATTAATTTGATTTGATTCATGTTGGAGATCAAAAAAGATCAGAGAATCGTTACGATGTCCAAGAATGAGTATCCACGTCGAGGTATATAATAAAAAAAAGGGTTAGTAAATGGCTCTTAAGAAAATAGGCTATCTAAATTATATAACGTATATGACTCAAAATTTCAAACGAAATTGATTACTTCTCCACTCCACTCATATGCTAATCCAATAGATATGGCTTTAGTTTATTGGGCCTATAATTTATAGCACAATGTTTCTCCTCTCGAGCTTCTTCAGACTTCCAGCTCATTATCGCTACCGGTTCGGTTAGCTGGAAAGTGAAAATTTACCTAAACCAAACCGAAAACCCCCCTTACACCTTGCAGTATTTAGCTATTATTCTGTAATCCCTAACTTAAATCAACTCTTAATTCTGTACTGTAGTACGCTTGGAACGTTTTACACGTGCGAAAACTAGCTTTGAGTCCCCTGCTGATATACAATTTTGGTGACTTTAGTCGGTGGCAAAAACTTACTTCTATCCTTAACGTCTAACATTTTCACATTTATTAATGATAACAGACAGATAATTAAATCGGAGTTTCACTTTTTCCGAATTAAGAATCTCTGTTACAAACATTGATTGGTGTCGCTGTGAAACAGAGCGTAAAAATGGCAAAAACTCTGTTCTTTCAAAAACATTCTAGATTCATTTACAACAGTCAACGAGCTAATTAACAAAAAAGATTAAATCAGGACCGCCAATTTTAATAAACCCCATAATAATCTCCTCTCCTAGGACTTCGTCTTTCTCCACTAGAAAACTACTTTCGTCACCTCACGTTGACCCAATCACACAAAACCGACCAATCAGGTGCGTTCTCGGTGACTAACCCACTGATTCTCTCCTCCGGCGAACGTACCAAATAACTGAACGGTGAATAACTAACCGGTGAACAAACCGGAGACTGAACCGAATTCCAATCAGGGAAATCAAACGGATCTCTCGGTGAAACTGAAGCCTCGTCTTCTTCGCCACACCTCATTGAACCACTACTACTCTCACCATCATCACCATCATCAACGGCTAAGAATGGATGATCCAAAAGCATCTGAGCCGTCCATCTCTCCGCCGGGTTTTTAACAAAGCACCTCCTCACGAAATCTTTTCCTTCTTCCGACAACTCCACCGGAATTTTAGGAACTTCATCGCCGGAACCAATACGAACCATTAGAGACATTACATTCGTAATCCCTTCTTGAACACACCATGCAGTTTTGCCGCTCGACATCTCGACTACAGAGCATCCCAGTGCCCAAATATCCGCCGGAGATTCGAATTCGCCGTGATTAACCGATTCCGGTGCCATATACAGAGGCGTTCCTCTGATCCCAACCCTAATCTCTTCACCGATCTCACCTGTACGTTTCGCTAACCCAAAATCCGAAATTTTGACATCGCCGTTACCGAAAACCAAAATATTCTCCAGCTTCACATCGCAATGAGAGAACCCACTCGCGTGGATGTGACACAGTCCTTTAACAATCGACCTCGTGAATCGACGCACTTCGAATTCCGGCAACGCATCGCCGGATTTCCTAACTCTATCACCCAAATTTCCACCGGAAGCGTACTCTAGAAACAGATTGTAAATCTCTTCTCCGTTCTCCACCGTCCTCCCTTCTCCGAAACACCGCACGATCTCCGAACAGTCGCCGAGATCATCAAGCACGTCTCGCTCGTTTCTCAACGCGGCGGAGCAAACTACTCCGGACGATTTCACAGCGATCAACGTCGGAAACGCCGTAGAGTTTCCAGAGGTAGTTGCTAAACTAACGGTGGAGAAACTCCCGTGACCAATTGTTTCTCGACGAGTCCACTCCATTAATTAGAGCTCAAAGCAAAATAAGGAAAAAAAAAAAGAAGTTTGTATGTAACAGTTTCTCTTTCTCTGTACTTTCTTCTGCAACCCTACTTCTGTTTTTATATATACCAACTAGATTTTTTTTCTTCCTTTTCATAATAACAATAATATGTAAAGTTTGTTATGAACACAGTGTATTGTGTAATTAATGCACGTGATACAAGCCTATTACAGTATATTTTTATTTTTATTTATAACAAAATAATAATTCCTCTTGGCCCGGAGAACAAATAGCGGCCAATAAAGAAAACGTGGGTGGTGAGAGCACTGCGAAGGAAGACTCTTGTTGCCCGTTGTACTAGAGATATTTCTTCTTTGCCGTTCGCACCACGCGCTTTTTATTTACTTATTATTATTAATTATTATAGTTATAAAAAGACAAAGTAACAAAATATCATTAATAAAAACTGAAAATAATTATATGGCACCATAAAATTTTGTAGCTATAACTAATATGATTGAAATATATAGTACGTTTATATAAATTAAATTTAGTACTGCAATTGTTTCGTAAACTTTGTAAATTCACCAAAAAAAACTTTGTAAATTCAATGTTTTCTGATTTTTAAAAATATAATTCAGAAATTTGATTCGTAGTTCTACACGTTTGTTCCTAGTTCTACCATGTGATTCGCGTTTTTCTTAAGTAGCGTAACTATCGGATGAAGATCTCATCAACCTTTTTTTTCCATCGTGAAGTATTTATATGGCTGTGAATATTTATTATTATTTTACACAAATAAAATAAAGGTCATATTGTTGGGGGTGATGAGTGATTTCCTCTCGTAGAAACTGTGTTTATTTAATAAAACAAATGTGAAAATCTTGTCCACATACCATTAACAAACATGTCCATGCCCAATATTCTATTATCTACGTACTCAGTACTGAGTTAGATGTTTTTCTAAAAGTATAGTTAGCCCCAAAATTAGTAATTTGATTATTGCTATGTTTCCAAAAGTAATTGGTTTTAGCTTAGTTTAATTCATTTAAAAGATTAATGTTCTATACGAACATAAAAGGAATATATTCACGAAACTAAGTGTTTCTAATTGTTTTGGTTGTTAAAGAAACTAATCACATACGGTATCCAGTATCACATCAATGAAAAAGAAATGTGCTAAACAAGAATTAGCAGACCTAAAACCCTTTTTATGATAGGTCAGTACGTAACTGTAGTATGATCAAAAATTAAAAGACACGTTAACATTTAATTACAGTACCAGAAATCTCAATGAATGCAGCTAACGTTTTCTCAGTATCTTATAGTTAAAGGTTTCGTGACTTACCAACAAACCCTAGATTAAATTAAAGTAAAATGTTGTTAATCGAATTCCAACAGAAGGAGTACGGTACGGTCCGTATTAATTTATATCTTAGTTAACTTAGGTGGTGTGAATTAAAACCAAAAGAAACGACTAGTACTTTTTTTTTTAATTATAAGTACAAAATTTAGGTGAGATAAAATGGCTTGAATTAAAAGAAAGACCAATAGACGATTGAAATGGGTCATATTTATTCACACGGACATTATATAACTTTGACGTGGCCATTTGATTTTTTTTCCACACGTAGTATTTGGTCAATGATTAAACGAAACAATTGCATGGCGACTTCTATCTTTTTAGTATTATTTAAAAATCGACCGTTTACCATTATTAGATGCACCAAACCCTTCACCATTTATGATTATTAGAATTTTATGCGTTATTTTTTTTTTCTTTTGAACTTTATTTTTTAAGTTGTATTCAAAAGAAAGACTTTAAAAAAAAAAAAGACTTTCGGTTGCTTTAGCTTAGAAGATGTGAAAAAGAATGTGAGGATTTTGTGAGCAGAGAGGGTTTGAGACACACACTTAACTTATATATGAGATAACTTTTATAACGTAAAACAATTAGATATCAAAAGATTGATGACCGAAAGGGATAAAGGCTACTGACGTACAAGAACATGTGATTCATGTGAATTTTGTGAAATTTCATATATTTGTGAAATTAATGCCAGTTTATTGTATATTACATTGAAATATGAAATTCAAATGTAGAAGACACGATAAAAAGTTGCAAACAAAAATTACGATTAATAAAAAGAATCACAATGAATACCATAAACAAATACAATTACAAAATCCTATAAGATGTTCAAAAGGGCAATAAGAGATATTTTAAACCCAGTGATATAGAATGAGGGTTATAGGATGTTCGAAAGGCCTACTTAAACCTAACCAGATGGGCTTGGGCTTACCAGAAAATGAAAATGTCAGGATTAACACGTGTCACCAATCGCGGAGCTGCGATGGACGGTAATCGTTTCATCGCCGGAATTTTCCCATCCTCGCCTGCTTCCTCTCCCTAATTAGAGCCATTAGTCTCCGTTGACAGATAATTTCAAAACAAAATCCAGACAAAAGGTCTGGTCTTTTTCTGAGAAATCCTTGGAGGGGAGAGAGAGAGAGAGAGAGAGAGAGAGAGAGAGAGCGAGAGAGATTTCAAAGGTCAGTGTGTGAGTTTCGAATTTTCTGGTTTTGTGGAAATGAATGAATCCGAGGATAATTAAGTTTTTTTGTTTTTGTTTCTTATCGGAGAGATTCCGTATCCCGAAAATGATGATTTGGTGTTTAATGATATATGTGTGTGAGAAAGAGATGTGCTTGTGGTTTGCAGGAGGAGGAGAAAGAAGAGACGAGTGTGAGAGATTTAGGGGGAGAGGAGAGACCGAGAGAGAGAGGTTTTCTGAGTGTGTGTTAGAGTTTCGATTCTTCTCCAGATCTGCATTAGTTTCTTCATCTGATGGAGCGAAAGCTTGTGGTAATTGGGTTTTTACTCGCATTTGAGCTCAAGTTTTCGACTAAATTCCATAAATTTTGTATGATTGCGATGCTTTTTATCTGTAATTGAATTGATTTTATAGGTTTTGGGTATCCCGTGGGATATTGATTCCGATGGGCTTAAGGATTACATGTCGAAATTTGGAGACTTGGAGGATTGTATTGTCATGAAGGTTTGCATTTGAGTCTTTTTTTTTTTGTCTAAATCAAACTTGAAAACATTGATTAAGCAATGTCACGAGGAGATTCGATGCGATCATCTGAAGATGTTTTTGTGTGTGTTTAGGATCGATCAACCGGAAGATCTCGTGGATTTGGATATGTCACTTTTGCTTCTTCTGATGATGCAAAGGTAAAGTTACTACACTTGTTGCATTGGTCTCTGAATGATATTTTCTTTTTTTATATTGGCAAATCTGTCTTACTGTTTGAGTTTTTGTAGAACGCTTTGAAAGGTGAACACTTTCTAGGGAACAGAATCTTGGAGGTAAAAGTGGCTACACCAAAGGTTAGTACATGGATTTTGATAATCTAATAAGAAATTAGTTTTGTTTCTTCTCGTATAATCTTTGTTCAAGAGGGTTATGTTATTGTGCCAGGAAGAAATGAGACAGCCTGCAAAAAAGGTGACGAGGATCTTCGTTGCTCGAATCCCTCCATCAGTCTCTGAATCGGATTTTCGAAGGTAATCCGATTTGCCTTAACATGTTTTTTATTTTTTTTTTTGAGAATGGTTTTCGAATAGCTGTTGAAAGTATAAAGCATTCCTTGACTTCTCTTATGCAGCCATTTTGAGAGGTATGGAGAAATTACAGACTTATACATGCCTAAGGTAATCCATCATTGTCTAGTGTATCTCTGATATATCCATTTCTAAGAGTCTCTGTTCAGATTTGGATTTGTGTGTATTGATACCATTTCCCCATCTTATGTTGTAGGACCACAACTCGAAGCAACACCGAGGAATTGGGTTTATCACATTCGCTACTGCTGGTCAGTTTTTTGCTTAAATCTCCTTAAGAATAGTGTTTTGATGATAAAACTTTATTTACCAGTTTGATCATCAACTTCATGAGAACGAAAACATAAGGAAACTGATGAATGAGGTCCTGTCTATAGACATTGTTACAGTTTTATTTCATCTTTAACCTATCTGTTCTGTGATATTAGATTCAGTGGAGGATTTAATGGAAGACACTCATGATCTGGGGGGTACAACGGTTGCTGTTGACCGGGCAACACCAAAGGAGGAGGATCATCCTCCAAGGCCACCGCCGGTGGCTAGAATGCCGCGCCCACCCGTGGCTGCTGCAGGTGGATTTGGAGCTCCGGGTGGTTATGGAGCCTATGATGCTTACATTTCTGCAGCTACAAGATACGCAGCGCTTGGTGCTCCTACTTTGTATGATAATCCGGCTTCGTTTTATGGAAGTAAGACTCGCTCTGTAGTGTACCAAAATTACTAATTAGAAACAAGAGAATTTTTCAAATCATGATTAAAAGGGAATCTTCACTTTTGACTTAGGAGGGGAACCAGCTAGAGGAATAGGGAATAAGATCTTTGTTGGACGGCTTCCGCAAGAAGCATCTGTTGATGATCTTCGTGATTATTTTGCGAGGTTTGGTCGTATTCAGGATGCTTATATTCCAAAGGTGGGTTTTATGAGTTACAGTGAGAGAACACATTCAAAGAAAACGTTTGTGTAACTGATTTAAACACTCATCTTTGTTTAAAAGGATCCAAAGAGAAGTGGACATAGAGGTTTCGGATTCGTTACCTTTGCTGAAAATGGTGTTGCAGATCGCGTAGCTCGGAGATCACATGAAATCTGTGGACAAGAGGTAAAAGAAAAAAAGCTTTATAGTTTGAGGATTTTGCATAATCTTTGAAGATATCTAGAAAAGCTACATTGTTCTGATAATTGGATTAGGTAGCAATAGATTCAGCAACACCGCTTGATGAAGCTGGACCTAGCGCCGGTGGAAGTTCAATGCTAAGTTCTTCTCGTCCTGAATACTTTGGTGGATATGGAGGTCCAATGCGCTCTTTTGGTCGAATGTATGGAGGAGGCATGAGCTTGGACGATGTGAGTATAACCAAAACTCTAATCAAAGATTCTTTATACACAACTTGATTCTGATTCATTTCGTTTTTTTTAAAACTAAATCTGCTAGTGGGGATATGGAATGCCAAACGCAAGACCATCAAGGTCAGACTGGAGGTACCGGCCATACTAATGCACCAGACAAGACAAGACAAGACAAGACAGGACAAGACATATCATTACCTTTGGCTTTGTCATTTGTATAAACTCACTTGTCAGATAAATTTCCAATTCCGAATCCTCAGGATTAATTTAATTGAAAGCTTTTAATGTTGTTACCTCGTGAGAACAAGTGAACCTGATTTGTGTTGGTATAACTATAATGCTGAGAAGTGGAACTTGGAACAGATTAAAGCTTTACAAGAAAATTCGCAGTGTACATTTTGTTTTCTTTTGTTCAAATTTGGTCTTTTACAAAAAAAAAGAATTGAAAGTTTAAAGAGCAGATGAAGATTTTCTGCAATCAACACGAGGTGCAAAGCAAGTCATGAAAGGGGTCATGAAAGTATGTCTTCGGACAAGATGAGTGATCTTCACTGAGTTTCTGGAGATCTGATGATTCCCTCCTTGTTGTTCTTGTTGATGGTCACTTGATACTGAGCTTCTCCTCATCTCTTGTGCTTTCAACTTTGCCGTTTGAAGCTTGTTCAAGATCTTATCCATTGATGCTGATTTCTTCTTCTCTAGCTTCACCTCGAGCTTTCTAATGGCGGCCTCTGCTTTCGCCTTCTGCAGATTTTCCCAAGCTGCTATCTTCGCTTCCTCTCTTTGCAATCTGCAAAAATATTCAAACAGAGGCAAACATTAACGACCGACCAAGAAGAAACAGATAACTTAAACAATCTATGTTTTGATTACTTTGAAAGATTCATGGCTGGTTCTGAGATATCCCAAGAAGAAGAAGAAGCAGAAGCTTCAGAGTTCTCTTCAACCTCAGGTTGCTCTCTCCTGATAACCCTAGCAGAAGACATCATCACTCGTCTCTTTGGTCGCTTAATCAACCTTGCTCCTTTATCCATTTTCACTTCTCTCACTTCACCTCTGCAAGGATTTTCCTTCGGAGGAGGCTCAATCACAGAAACAACCGACGGTGGAGATGAATAGTTAAGCTCTCGAGGAGACTGGTGGTTATCATTATTAGGACTCATCTCTTCTGGGCTCATCTGAGTAGCTATGTCTCTTCTTGAAACCACCGGAGATTGCACCGCCGTCGTCATCTCTGCTTCCTTTGTGTCCTCTGCTTTCTCCTCTGCACAAATTATCATTGTTTCAAAAATCAATAAAGCTTAGATCTTGGCCATAGTTGCAACAAGAATCAGCTTAAAAGTTGGTATTTTTATCTGATTGGATTTTCAAAAGTGAGTGTCTTTTTGCCTTTTCTGATTGAAGATTCAAAGAGCTATAATTTCAGATTCATTGCATCGGTAAGAGAGAGAGAGAGAGAGAGTACTGCTGTTACCTGTATCAGTTTTGGAGCTAAGTGATGAAGTTTCTTCACTCATCAAATCAACCCAGCTCCGGCTATGTCCATGGCCACCACGGCCATAGCTATCACAACCACCGCCGACACTCCCTCTGAAAACCCTACCTGCCTCCAAAACTCCCGTCGAGAACGGCGAACCAACCGCCATCAAACCCTTCATGTTCCCTTGAGGAGCATCCATCGTCCGCATCGTCATCCTCGGAGAATAGTGATAACATCCAATCGCCGATGAGGAAGACGCCGGAGGATGCGGCAGCGTAGGAGGAACAATCGGGCCGCTTTTGGATTTCTGCCGTCTCTGCTCGGAGAACTGAGAGCTCACTGAGGGATTTTTACAAACACCTGGCGGGTATGTCGCCACTGGGCTACAAATCCACCTCTCAGCATCTTCCCATTTCGAAGGTATCGCTCTGCCGCTGTAAAACGGCGTCGTTAAAGCAGAGGCGGAGCCGATGTGACGACGACCGCCACTAATTGCGGTGGTGGAAGTAGTCGAAGAAGGGTGAGGAACTCTCTCGGAGCTCCATCCTTTGTTATCGGAGTAACTCGGAGCTCCGGGACTTAGAAACCCACCAAAGCTATTAGAAGAAACAGATGTCTTTCTCATTTCGTCTAACTTTGATTTCTCCAGAAGGAAAAAAAAGGACTTAGATTTGAGATGGGGGAGGAAAAAAAACTGAAACTTTCTAAGAAATTGAACCCATTTTTGCTTGTTGACCGGAGATTGAAGTGTCTTAAAGAGAGTGATGTAAACTGAAAAAAGAGAGAATAAAGAAAATGTACTTTTGTGTTCTTTGTAATCTCAAAAGGTGAGAACTTGAGAAGAGAGAGAGAGAGTAGTGAATTGAGAAAAGAGAGAGAGAGGAGAGAGAAACTTTTTTGTTGGCATTAAGACAAGTGTCGTGGCTGGTCCGATCATATACCCAACAAAAATAGAATACTTATAGAGAAAATTCCAATAAATCTCTAAACAAATCAATTTGAGTCTGACTTCTTTGGGATAATGCAATTTACCTTTTTCTTCTTACACCGTTATGTTAAATTTTTCTCTCTTTTTTTAATCAAATTTTGGGGGGAAAAAAACATGGATGGTGAAAAAAGTAACAGATTTGGACATATTTAACTGCCATTAACATTATCTTCCTCTTCTTTCGATTCTCTGTAGTCACTGTACCGTTACACAAAGCCACAACTCTTCCATGTGACTCTTTCTGCTCCTTTTGTTCTTTCGATAAAAATTTCAGACTCTTTTGTCGTTTCTGTTAATAAGCTTCCCGCTTTTTTTTTTACTTTGACGTTATTTTACAGTTAAATTTTTTTTTTTTTTTTGTTCTTATACAGATTTGTAACTGTAGCTTTTGCAGACCCTAGAAAGCAGGATCGTAGCCCCTATGCTTTGCAATCAATAAAACTACTGCTTTTAATTCTTATTGGTAGATGGAATATAACAGTGAATAAAGTCCGTGAGGTCGTAAATTTTGAAGACATTTAAATAATTTCTCATATCCTTGAGCTCTTTTTGTTCGTGGCATTCTCATTGAATTTATTAATTGACATCTTTCGGCTTTTAGGACTTTCAATTTCCAAAGAGCTGCTGAACTCATCAAATTGTGAATTACTGATCAAATTACGAAATTTCAAAGCGTTTGTATTTTAAATACATACGGAGTTATTATTATTATCACGTTATGTATTTAACGCACAAGGATGTTCAAGCAAAGCGCGCACAGACGACAAAACACACTAGTCTCGTTGTTATTTAAAGTAGCATTTGATTTTTCGAACAAAACAAAGCTATCAATTATAATAATATCAATCTATGATATTACTTGAAAAAACCAAAAAATCTGAATATGGGTCCAATTATTAAACCCATGTATCATATTGACGCATGAAGTATAGTGACTCCGCTCCTACCACATTCAACGTTGATTTTTTCTTCTCCTTCATTCAAATCGTTCTTATCTCGAGAGGAGAGCGTTTTATCCCTTTCGTTCTCTTATCTATTTATATCACAGAAATGGACTGACAAATATTTATAGTAAAATAGAGATATATGAGATTTTTCAGCTGCACTAGAAAATGGAGATTATGAAAATATTTTGGGAATAACGTGGTGTTTAAATAGTAAATGCGTTATCACGTTGTCTAATTTCACACAATGAGACGCGTGTGGATGGTTAATCACAGACGACAAACACACACGCCTTGTTATCTAATCTAGCATTGATTTTCCGAACAAAACAAAGCCAACCATAAATAAAAAAAAACAAAGTAGCAAGTAATAAATTATATTGTAAGTACAACAATCTGAAATAGGTCCAAATTTAAATATCAATTACGGCGCATGTAAAACAATGACTCCTCTCCTACCACATTCAACGTTGATTTTTTTATTTTTCGTTCATTCAAACCATTCTAATAACATAAGTATGAGAAGAAAACAGAAGAGAGTTTTCAACTAATATCACGTTTATATTTTTGTCTGTATAATAATCAAATCAAATGATTGACAAAAAAATAATAACAAATGTTACATTTTTATGCTTCTAGTTACTACGATTCTGCTAATTGTTCCAAATATAGCTACGTATTATTATATTCTCATTCCTTTACTAAGATCAGTTTTTAAAACATTTTTGTAAATTACCAAAAAAAAATCATATGAAAACTTTCTTCTGGTTTATATGTCATATTACAACTACTATGACACAAAGTCCCAGTCGAACTTTATTCTAAAAGGTGAGAAAATAAAAGGGCCAGAAGAGAACACACATAACAAATATATAAAAAATTACAGGAAAAGTGGCAACGCAAAACCTTTTGGCTTAGTTTCCTCTCTAACTGTCCTTTATAGTTCAGTGCCTTGACCTGCTTCTTCGCCTGCAAAAAGACACTCAAATATGTTAACGAGGCAAAGTCACCATTTTCTAGAAACATGTAAAGCTTGCATTTGCTTTTACCTGGGAGATCTTGAATACGAAGAAGAGCGTATGCGAGAGCGTTTAGGAGAGCGTGATAGCGACCTAGATGGGGAGCGAGAACGAGACCTAGACCGTGATCTTGTACCGTGCCTGCGCGATCTCCTGCTTCTGCTTCTGCTACGGCTTCTACTTCGTCTGTATCTTCTGCGGACAAAACATGTTTAGCAGCTAAGAACATCAAATGGAAGAAGGAGATCATGAAATTTTGTGTAGGTGAGTCTCGAGAGAGAGAGATCCAATCAGAGGTCTAAGAACCGAAAAAGTCTGAAACTTTTGTAACTTCCTTGTCATCTTCACAAATTCCCACTCTAATCACGAAGCAAAAATGATAACTTTATTAAAAACCTCGGTGGTGGTGAGCGGCTATAACTCCTACTACGGCTTCGATGTCTACTCCGACTCAACCGGCTTGTTTCCGCTAGTTTCTCCAGCCTTTGCCGCTCTTGTTCTCGTTTTTTAGCAGTCTCCGTTGCAGAGTCTTTCTTAACTGTATGATTAATCCACCATATCAGTTTTCTAATTGCAAATGGGAGTAAACTCAAATGCAGAACAGCAAAACGACACTTTTAAAATCTTACTCTGTTTCGTTAGCTGTTTGTTCATGATTCTCTTTAATCGTTCTTGGGGAGTTTCTTTCTTCTCCGCTTGCATCTGCTTCGATGATCCTCCCGAGGAGGTTGCTGCTTTCGAAAGCTTCGCAAGTGCTGTGGAAGTACTGCAAGTAGAAAAAAGGACTCAGGGTTCCAATTCATAAGTTTCAGAGCTAAAGGATGAGACACATAAACTTCAAATATGCAATCATGACCATACCTCACTGCCGGTTTAGCTGGTTTAACATTCTTGTCTTTCTCAAGAGATACACCAGACGCAGGATCAACATGCAGCGCCTCAAGAATATGTCCTGACGAAGGTCTGCAGGGAAATAAAATGTTAGAATAAGCAAATTTCATTCAGGTTTAAAAGGGGTTCCAGAAAGCAAGCTTCTATCTCCCCCTTGTTGTCACAGATAATCAATCTAGTGCCACTTTATTCTACAACAACAAAAGTTTTCCCCAACCAACAAGTGGGGAGTAAGTGGCTATCTTTGCAAGAACTAGAGGTTGAGTGCTCCGACCGGGTTAATAGGTCAGCCTGAGATTGTGGTGAACGCGGTGGCGAATATCCTCCAAACTTTGGACTTCCCACATCTCCAGTGCCTCCAAATTCTGTAATGTATTCGATCTTTGGCTTGCTAATTTCGTCAGAGTCGTCTCCACGACCATTCCGTCTTGAGTATGATGGAGAATAAGACCGGGATCGTGATCTAGATCTGTGGATATGAGCAAGAAGAGATAAGCACTTACAAATCACTTTCCCAATGTTCCCATAGTTGGTTTTGAAATAATAGAAGGCTAATAAAGGCAACACCTTCTTGAACGCGGATAAGCCTCATAAGTAGGACTCCTTCGTGATTCCCTGCGAATTTAAAAGCACCATTTCAGTGAGCTAAATCTCCACTGACTTTTCCTTTTCCTTGTATTATACTATCACATACTATCTTACCTGTAGGGATCATGATGAATCATTTGCCTTCCAAAATTCCTTGAAGTCTCTCTTTCTCTATCCCTCTCTTGCCGAGAAACCTTTCTTCTTTCCTTTCGACTTAGCTTCTTCTACATTTTCATGAATATTTGATTCATCCATTAGTTGATAAGCAAAACAAAGAATAACCTTCACCGATCAACATGAGAATTGCAACTTACAACTGAAGGATCGCCTTTGATAAGTTCCTTTTGCCTTTTCTCTTCCTCTTTGGCCTTCTTGTCCATATAAACGAGCCACCCATATCGCTTCACGCCAAACTGTTTCGCAATCGTCTCCATTCCTTCATCATCACTGTCATTACTGTCAAATTCTTCCTCCTCATCCTCATCATCCTCGTCGTCATCAACATCATCTTCGTCAGCATCCAACAACTCATCTTTTCCGTTTCCACCATACGAAAACCCAACCTGTGAATATGTGCCTTTGTTTGCAGGCGGTTGAGCTGGTTGTGGTCTACAGAGTCCATACAAAAACAGAACAAAACAAAGTTTACATCAGTGTGTCATACTAACTAAAAGATAAATGGTGATTAAAACAAAATGAGGATTCAAAGACTCGAGCTTTTACGTAACCAACACAGAAATCATAATCTGAAAGAGTACCTTGTTCCTAGGAAAGGTGCAGTAAGTTTGGCCTCGAGCTCTTGATTGACATGTCGCAAACCCTCCTCATCAGAAACTGTTCACAGTTTGAAGCGTTAACCCAGTGACTCTCATTTGATTCGAGAGACCGATTTTTGCTTGAATTGTCTTTCCACAGTATATACGATCGGAAAACAAACAAGAAACAAAGTCTATCGTAGTGTAGAAAAAGGTTACCGACATCCTCTACGCCGATGCTTAATTAAATCCCGGTAACGCTCAAAATTAACAAACTCTTCTACTTCTTCCTCCTCTTCCGACTTCCTATGCGGCCTTATGCTTCTCGAACCAGCCTCACGCACAAAATCCAGAAGAGCACGGCCGTCAAATCTACACGTACAAAGTAGAGTACTTGAACAAACAATCCCAGTGAAGTCAATAGAAACCGAAGAACCCTAGAAATCGTTCAATACCTATCAATCATAACATCCTGCTTCCCGTTCCAAGGTATCCTGGTGGTAAAATTCGTTCATCGTTTAGTAGGGAAATCAATTCGAAACAAAAAAAAATTTTGAAGAAGGAGAATTGGATTAAGGGATCGTTATTACAGGCCCTGTTGATCCTCGGTGGCTTGGTAAAGACCGTCATCTCGGACGATTCGGTAGCGGGATCCAACGGCTTGGATCGACTGAATAGGATCTCCACGGCGTTTAGCCAGGTAGATAGCTCGCCGCTGCGCTCTTTTCCGAGCGGCGTCCATCATATCGTGCACCTTCTTCTCCGATCTTCTCGCCTCGTGCCACATCTTGTTCTCACTTAATCTCCTCCTTGTCTGAAGAAGCTCAGAAACCCTAATAAAATATCCGATTGGGAAAAAAATTCTCAGGCGAATATTGGCGATGGTTCTATTCTATATTTCCGATGACTAGTTTGCGACAATGTGATGCTGAGAGCAAAATAGATCAACAAAAAAGGAACCTTCTGGTTGTTACAGAGGTTTACTAGTATTTAATTTTTATTCCTTTTAAGCTTCTAAGAGAGAGAAAAAACGATTAGAGGTGGGCCGGTGCCTCTCTTTTTAATGGGCCCCAATGTTCGAGTAACACAAATGCAGATTTTGGAAAAATTGTAAGCTTTTAAATTTTAAGAGAAAGCCGAAAATTGCTTAATCGGTTGTTGAAAGAGTGGTGTCACGAATCAAACGTCTTTTCTTCTTTGTTTCTTTAAGTATGACGATAAACAACTTCAATTAATAATCTTATGATAAAAACTGTTTATTATTATTTTTGGCTTGGCATGAGATGACTTTTTTTATATAACTATACACTGGAACAAAAATAAGTCAGTGGTGGTGCCCAACAAAATTCTGGAACCTGTGTGATTGATCACTTTTGTTTAGGTGAGTGTAGTGGCAACGTATGACGTTAACATATGGCGTACATAATAATTACATTATAGAACTTCATCATAAAGATCAGATTGCATTTTATATCTTTTTGGACCACTGTGTTTGGTGTTATAAGCAGAGCATGTTATAGTTTTGATTGAGTTGATTGGTCGGTAGTATAAACTATAATACTCATTCCATTTCATATAGACTTTCATTCAATTTAAAGCTTTGCAATTGTAGCAAACATAATCTTTCGCAAATTATGCATAAAGAAAACCATATGCAACCAATCCGGAATTGAAACGCTTTCGTCATAATCAACTACTAACTCTTTGCCATTCATATGCTTTAATAGAATGACCAAAACTTTTGCAAGAAGCATAACACATTTTTCTCCTCAATAATATCACATCTGCTATATACCTCGATCTTACTTGGATCCAAGGGTTGATTAACTATATGGATTAATTCATTACTGTTTCTATAACGAATTTGTTGATACGATTTCTACAAATATTCTTGATGATTCATATATATATATATGTGTGTGTGTGAATATGTTGCATTTTGAGTGTGTTCATGAATAGTTTTTGTCAACTCAAAAGACAAGATGAGAATATGGAAAAGCACAAGTAAAAAAAGTTATGATGGAAATTGTGGAACTCATTCATTATAATGCTCAACAAATACAATAACCAGACTCATCTTTCAGGTTCCATCGAAAAGTTTCGTGGAAAACAAGAGAGTCACGTTTCAAATCGATGTTTCCACACACACGTGTCAATAGTTCTCGCTGTATTTTGAAATTTCTTTTACTTGTCTTGTGAATAAATTCTATAACCACTATAGTTTGACTTCAGTTGATTTGGCCAAGTGGTCATTCTTTTTTTTTCCGTCTATTGTCACCAAAACCTAGAAATGGGTTCGAACTTTCCATAGAAGAACTAAAACAACTTACCATACAAGATAGAAAAGAAAATACATTTCTCAAAGAACTCTTCTGTAAACAATTTTAATGTAGATTTTTTAATACATGTTTAAAGAAGTTTCAATTTTACTATCAGATTGAATATTATAGTATTTCACGAAATCACAAATTGCTTCTTTCCGACTTTTCTATGTGGAAAAAAATGTTCTCAATGTGCAAAATTGAACAGAATATAAAATAAATTAGGAAGCTTATATAACATTCGCTATTAGGAAATAAGAAAGAATTTAATAGTCTAAAATGAAATACCTCAACTTGAGAGTAAAGAATGAAAACTAAAAATCCTATCAATATTAAAATAAAGTTGTTTACACATTTATTAAATCCATTGATATATGAATGTCCTATATAAGTGGAGCTGTCTTATTGAAACTTTCAAAATAAGTCTACTGAATTGTGAACCCGGTTTAGCCATACACACGAGGAGATGCTAAACAATGAAAATTTTAAGATGGTTTGACAAAGAGTCGATGCTAGTTGAAACTGGAAATCACTGGTGAGTTAAACAAATAATAAGGGATCGTAAATTTTAAATTACCCGAATGGACTAATATATGAAACAGCTGAAAACTCAAAATCTGGTCTGAAACTAATTTTAAACCGAAACTAAGCTTGACTCATTCATCCACGATCTTGTCTTTTTGTGTGTTACAGTGACATTTAGTAAGTTAAGTTCCCATTATATAAATAGTAGAACTGTGGAATATCGAAATAGAAAGAATTTTACCATTATGGAGTTTCCAAACATAGACTTTAGTTATAGACTATGTGTTTGAGGTCCAAATGGAGATGTACATGCAACATCGACATTTATCGCCATTTTTGACCAAAAAGATCTCATCTTTTGATCCAAAATGTTTGTTTGTCCAGAATCGGCTTTTAAATATATTTACGAAAGCGTATGCTAATTTTCTTCTCCCCATGCGATTTTATCTGCATAAGTACGATTAAAACGGTCTTATTTTGTTTTATCAACCATGCAATTATCTGCATAAGTAAGATTAACCGTCTTTGAATGTATATAATTATCTAGCCGTGGTATCAAATGATAAAGCGGATAAAAGGCCAAAGGTGTTGGAGATAAATCCAAGGAGGAAGACGTAGATGTCGACGGTTTTTTAAGAACTTGAATTTGTCACGACTCACACGTTAAAATATTGTTATCCGAATTGTTTAGTCTAAAGATACACATTGAAAAGAAAAGGTAAATGAAACTCATTGGTACCCAAATGTGAAATGAAACCGAAATGTGTTAGGTGAACGCATTAAAAATACTCAAAAGAAATAAAATAGACACAAGCAAAGAAACAAAGTCGCATTTTTGTGTATAAAAATATCTTGTTGTCTCCCGTCATATTTGAAAAAAAAACATTGCATTATATATATCAGTTAAATTATAAACTTTCTAGAATAACAAATATATTATTTTGTGTGTGCGTGTTTATTTAAAGTTAAAATAGTTTTGATTGGCGATTCAAAATATTTGAGCAATGACAAAATCCTGCATATTCAACCATTCCATAATTTCGAATAATGATGATATATGCTTAACTACTCTTATATAATCTCGCTATCTCGTATGTTTAATAATGTGGTTAATGTATAGTATAATTATTGTTTCTTTTCATTCAATAATTTCGAATAAGATTATATTATACATGTAACATCAATTACATACGAAAGATTAACTTATGGGTGGCAGGCATTTCCTGGAATCCTGATTTAGAAATATTCAAGAGGAGAGAGTAAAGGAAAACATAATTCAAATGATAAGACTTATTTGAATATATTTTTGATAGATAGAAAAAAGAAAAGAGGTTTCTGAGAATTTCTAGAACCAGCATCCAGTTTTTCTTTATTTTCTTTCAAAGGTAGGACCCACATTAGGATCTATAAAGCATGCGTTAAATTATTGACCCCAAGAAAAAACACTTAAAACTAGAGTTTAATTTTTCATCACAAAAACGGATTAGCTCCGGCGAATTATGGTCGTCGTCTCAATATTCCTCCTCCATCAGATAATTCCTTAGATGGAAGAAACCAAACGAAACTCCGATCTTCTCCGTTCTCGTGTCTTCCTCTCTGGCTTCTATTGCTGGGATTGGGAATTCCTCACCGCTCTCTTGCTCTTTAGTTGCTAAACGTTTTCATCCGAATTTCAATTTTCAAATTCTCTTCTTTTTTTTTTTCGTTTGGGCTTTTTTACATCTCTGTGTAGATTATTTTTAGTGGGTTTTTTCCTTTAGTTTATAAAAACACAAACTTCACCGGCAATGATGGCGGCGGTGACGGCGGCGCAGAGATCTGTTCCGGCGCCGTTTTTGAGCAAGACGTATCAGCTAGTTGATGATCGGAGCACAGACGACGTCGTTTCATGGAACGAAGATGGAACAGCTTTCGTCGTTTGGAAAACAGCTGAGTTCGCAAAAGACCTTCTTCCTCAATACTTCAAGCATAATAATTTCTCAAGCTTCATTCGTCAGCTCAACACTTACGTGAGTTACAAACCAAACAAGAAAATAAAATTTAAGTCTGAAATCAAATTTCTGTCATTTTCATGGAAATTTCTTACTCATTTGTTGTTCAATTAAATCGTTTGGTGAATTGAATCATTCTTCGGTAGTTGGGACAATTTCGCAATTTTTCAAAAATATTCGTGTGGGTTGGTGGAGGAAAGAGCTTCTAGAAGCTATGGAAATCTCATGCTTTTTTTGTTTAACTGTAGGGATTTCGGAAAACTGTACCGGACAAATGGGAATTCGCAAACGACAATTTCCGGAGAGGACAAGAGGACCTTCTGTCGGAAATACGGCGGCGTAAGTCGGTGATCGCGGCGGCGGGAAAATGTGTTGCTGTCGGTTCGCCGTCTGAGTCAAATTCGGCGGGTGATGATCACGGGTCAAGCTCCACGTCATCACCCGGGTCGAAGAACCCTAGTTCGGTGGAGAACATGGTTGCGGATTTATCCGGCGAGAATGAGAAGCTGAAAAGAGAGAACAACAGTTTGAGCTCGGAGCTCGCGGCGGCGAAGAGGCAGCGAGATGAGCTGGTGGCTTTCTTGACGGAGCAAATGAAGGTAGGACCGGAACAGATCGATCAGATGATCAAAGTAGGGAAATTCAAACCGAATGTAACCCGAGGTTCTTCGACGGACGAGGAAAGTGGCTGCGAAGGCTGCGGCGGAGAGGAGGAGGAGGAGGAGGGGGTAGGTGAAGGATTGAAATTGTTTGGGGTGTGGTTGAAAGGAGAGAGAAAGAAGAGGGGTCGGGATGAGAAGAATTTCGTGGTGGGTGGGTCCCATATGACGGAAATAAAGAACGTGGACTTTCACGCGCCGTTGTGGAAGAGCAGCAAAGTCTGCAACTAAAAAAGAAGGGGGACTACTAGAAGAGAATGTTCAAACAAGCGTGTGACACGTCACCGATTAAGAACAAAACTTAAAATGGAATTTTTATTTATGGTTTTCAAAATTTTCCGCAAGGGAAGATAGTGCTGTATTTTTTAATGTTTAAAAAGAGCCATAAGGCATATATAAGAATTTTCATGTATTAAATTTTATTAGCGTATTAAGGTGAAAAAAATAAATTAGAAGACGTTGGAATTTTCAGATTTTGAAGAATGAATGTAAAAGGAAGATAATGAAGATTTTTTTTCAAATTTGAATGTGAAAATTTCAGATAATGAAGGAATTTTCAGATTTTGAAGAATGAATGTAAAAGGAAGATAATTAAGATAATGAAGAAATTAATGAATGTAAAAGGAAGATAATGAAGAAATTTTTTCTTTCCTCACTTTTATTTTTGATTTATTTTCCTCAGTTAAATAGTACTTCTCTTGCAAATACTAGTAGGTGGTTTCCCTGTTTTTACGTAACCTTGGAATATTTCGCTAAATATTGTTAGAAAAGTCGACAAATCCACATAATTTTCTAGCGAATGTAATTGGAAATATATCGAACTTAGACCTAATATATGGCATTAGAATTGCAACAAAAGTTGCTATGAAGTTAAATAAAATGAAGTATTAATATAGAGAAGAATATTTCAAGTAGCTCTACAATAAACAAGTTGATATTAATGAACTAAAATTTCAGAGAATATAATACATAGATTTGTTTTTTATATACTAAATTCTCATCATTTCTTGATTATTCTAATTTTAATTATAGACGGATATTTGAATATTATATATTTTTTGATGCCAATGAAGTCGCTTTTGAGTCTTGCCATGCATGACTCTGAAGTCTCCACCACATCACTTAGAGAGATCCCTACCAAGTTCCAACGTTCAAGCAATGTAAAAACAATTTCGGATTTTTTGTTTTGTTTATCATTTGAAATATGCACACTTTAAATCAAAATTACGACACGGCAATGTCATTAGTACAAATCGTTCATTAAATCGATGTCAAATGTAATTAGTTTTATTTTCTCCAAAAGCGTAAATAATTTTTTTTTTGTTTATCTATTTACTGCAGAGTGTAAATAATAGTATTGACTTGTAATAATATTATAAAGAAGGCTCATAATTTACTCATAGCCACATATAAGATGGCGATGATATTTTGCAACACTCTCTACTCCTCTTCTCCGTCTCTCTCGCCGTTAACGTCGACACGATCAAAGCCGTCGCGATTCCCAGAGAGACTCAGAGTTCGAGCTCAATTCCAGTCGATGGAGGATCAAGACGGTCTTCTCCGGCGGAAATTCATGGAGTTCCCGTACGTGTCGCCCGCGCGCAGGCAGCTTATGGTCGATCTCATGTCGACGATAGAGGATCGCCTCCAGTCGCAGCTCCTCCCCTGTAGCCTCCCGCCGGATGTACGGAACTTCAAAAACCCTAACGGATCCGCCGAAGCATCTCTTCATATCAGATCCGGCGAGAAATCCTCTCCGGTACGCATTTCTCATCGGCTAATATCGTGAAAATTGCGACAAAATCTCTGTTTTTAGGGTACGGGGACTTCAAAATCGAATTTTTCTGTTATGCATGCTGGATTTAGAGTTTCAATTGCATGATTTTAAGTAGAATCATACTTTCGATTTTGAATATAATTGAATCAAGTGATGACTTCAACTTGTAAAAGAAAACCCCTTTTGGAGAACTGGAATTTTATTGATTGAATGTATTTGGAATTTGAATCAGTTTTGTTTCCAAAAGCAATCCTTGAAGTGAGATCTAGTGATGAACTGACGATTTCTTAAAAAAAATTCACTTTTGTTGTGTTTTTTTCTTTTGCAGATTGATTTTGTGATAGGAAGTTGGATACACTGCAAGATCCCAACGGGTGTTTCTCTCAACATAACGAGCATCTCTGGATTCTTAAACTCGTCAACAAAAGCTCCAAACTTTGTGGTGGAACTCATACAGAGCAGCCCCACGTCGCTTGTTCTCATCCTCGACCTCCCGCATCGCAGAGACCTCGTTCTTCACCCTGACTATCTCAAGGAGTTTTACCAAGACACCGCTCTTGATTCTCATCGCCAGTCCCTCCTCAAGCTTCCTGGAATCAAACCCTATGTCTCGCCTTCTCTCTTCGTCCGCTCTGCTTTCTCTCCTACAGCTTCGATGCTCAAAATCGATTCGGAGGAAGAGGCAAAGTTGGAGGAGATCTTGAGAGATCATGTGGCTCCGGCTGCTAAGGAAGTTCTCGGGGTTTGGTTGGAGCGGTGCGCGAGGGAGGAAGAACAAGAAGAGAAGATAGTGATGGGAGAAGAAGAGAAGATGGAGCTGGAGAGAAGAGATAAAAGCTTCAGAAGGAAGAGCATAGAGGAAGATTTGGATCTACAGTTTCCGAGAATGTTTGGAGAAGAAGTTTCGTCTCGTGTTGTGCACGCCATCAAAGAAGCTTTCGGTGTTCTCTAGATCATGTCATTACAGATTTAAGCTAATGATCATTGTACTTAATAGATTAATTATATTAGTGAAACAGTTTTAACACTAAAAGTAAATGACGTTTTAGCACAATGTTCATGAGATAGTATTAGAAAATCACTTCCACTATATAGGTTTACAGTCTCCGATTACAAATATAGATAGACTTGTTTACTAAATCTCCGAGTTCTCTAGATAATATCAAATGGTGCTTAGACTTAGAGAATATTAGATATCCATTACGTGTCGAATATTGTACTTATCAAATATTTGTCCTAGTTCTGATTCGAAGAAATTTACACATTAAAGAAGATTTTGTTTTTTAGCGCCAATATTTTCTTATTTTTAAAAAGAAGCAGTGGAAAGAACATAAACGTGCAAAACTAAAAGTCTTAAAGCTAATCGCTTTCAAAAAGAGTTAACAATCAGACAACAGAAGACAGATCATTACCAACCAATCTAGTCATCTTTTATCTCTTCAAAACCCAAAACAACAAAACCATCTTAATTTTTTCATGCATTAAATCTATTTGTTTGATCAGATACTCTTGTTTCTTCCCGCACAAGAAATGGTTAGTGTTTTTTTTCCCCTTGATCACCCCTTAGTTCGTGATCTTTGAATCACAAAAACTGTTTGGATTCTTCTGCTTACTCTGTTCATCGGTTCTGTTTTTTTTTTTGATCCGGCAGGCAAATTTCATGTCCGAAGCAGTGCAGCTCAGAAGAGGTCTGAAACCTAAAGGGAAGACTTATGGTTTGACCAATCAGAAGAGACGAGAGATCAGAGAAATCTTTGATCTCTTCGACATAGACGGTTCAGGTAAGCTATTAAACCGATTTGTTTACACCGGTCCAAATCAGAATCACACACAATTTAGTCCATCATTTCATCATATGTAGGTAGCATCGATGCTCGCGAGCTCAACGTTGCTATGAGGTCAGTGACTCAGTGGCAATTTTTTTGTTCCTTCTTTAATTAATATCTTCAAGTTATAGTTAATTAGCGCTAAGAAGACTATCATCTGCTTACAGGTCTCTCGGGTTTGAGATGAACAACGAGGTTTGTTCTTCATAAAAATTATCCTTTTTATTTATTTATATATATTTCCATTTATCTAAATATTAGTGTATATGTTGTATTTGGTGCAGCAAATAAACGAACTGATGGCAGAGGTGGATAAAAACCAAAGCGGAGCAATAGATTTCGAAGAATTTGTTAATATGATGACAACTAAATTCGGAGAACGAGACTCTACAGACGAATTGGCCAAAGCATTTAAGATCATTGATCACGACAACAATGTTAAATCCAAACCTATCCTTTTCTGATTTAGTTTTAATATTCGTTTCTTTTGTTTGGAGTAGTTTCAAGGTGTTTGACTTGTCAAATAATTGTGGAATATTCTAGGGAAAGATTTCGCATCACGACATCAAGCAAATCGCAAAGGAGCTAGGTGAAAATTTCACAGATAATGAGGTAGAAGAAATGATCGAAGAAGCTGATCGTGACAGTAAGTGAAAACATATGTTCTCCAAAGTAGTCGTTTGCAATTAGGTTACGTTTTTATACTTTGTGATATATAAAACACACCAATTTCTTTCATGCTTTTAAAAACGCAGAAGATGGAGAAGTTAATTTGGAGGAGTTCATGAAGATGATGAGGAGGACTTCATACGGTTACGACAAGTAATGATGCTTCTGGAATAATAATCTATTAATAATAATATTTGCATGTGGATTGCATACTTTCATCATAATTATTATTAAAGTTTGTGTCTTTTCTTTAATTTATGTATAAGATGCCTTTTCTTTATAATTATGTATTATATATATACAAAAATTACATCTTTTAATATTTATATTTGCATATGGATTATGTCTTTTTTTGTCATAATTGTTATTAAAATTTGTGTTTTTTATTAATAAAATACATTTTCGTTTAACAATTATTATTTGAAAAGTTATATTTTTTAACAAATTTCAATTTCAATTTAAGCTTTAACAAAAAAAAAAGTTATATTTTAAAAATTCTTTAGTAAATTATGATATACGATGTAATGATATATTTATAAACCAACCAAAAACTTTTAAAGTGATATACGATGTAATGATATATTTATAAGGGCGACCGAATAATTTAAACAAATCCATTACGACTACTATATTACAATAGTACTATTATACTATATATATTCTATCATTAATTTAGGGCCAACAACTTTTAAAACTATACAATATCAACGATGGCTATATCGGAGCAGATTGAATCATGGTCTACAAACTTTTAATTCTAATTCTAAATTCTTTTAACCATTTTGATTTGGGGTTAAAGTATCGAAATTAAGATTTCCAGTGAAAAGAATTAGAGCTTGGAAAAAATGGATTTACTGCCTTACTGGTCTGCTCATCACTATTGGGCCAAGTTTGAAAACATTAATTGAAATTAGGCGAAGCGTTTTTTTTTAAATAAACCGACGATTTTAACATTTCTACGGTTTATCCGGTTAAAACTCGGGTGACCAAATAATGTAAACCGATTACCACATAATCCCCACGAACTATATGTATCTCCTTCTGCAATATTATTATTCAACAGAGAAAAAAAAAACCGTTGGAAGATCTTTTGAATCCACATTCAAGCGAAAAAATTCCGATCCATGTCGAGAGAGAAGGCCAAACGAGAATCATCTCCCGTTCAAGAGGTACTTTTACTTCTTTTCCAGTTTTCGATTCTTTTCCAGTTTTCATTCTTTTCCAGTTTTCAAAAACTCCGATCCATGTCGGCCAAGAGAGATGGCCAAACGAGAATTACTTCTGTTTTCATTCTTTTCCTGTTTTTGATTTCACCTGCGACAAGATTCACTCGAATTGTCCGTTTTTCTATCATCTTGCGATTCTTGTCATCAACCTAAAGTTTTGATGAATTTTCGATTTCAAAGACAAAGATAGATCCTTTCAATTTAATGAGTTTTCGATTTCACCCGCGACAAGGTTATTTTTCTTCCAAATTTGGCTAATTTCACTGGAATTGTCTGTTTCTCTATTACCTTGCGATTCTCATCGTCGGAGATAAAGATCGATCCTTTAAATTGATTGGTTTATTTCCTCATATTCTTATAGCATATGAATAAATTGAGGAAAGTGGTAGAAGAAGGCAATTACTATGGTTCGTATCTCCTCTTTGGCTCGATTCTTTAATAATCCAGTTGTCCTTTACTCGATTCTGCATTTTTTGACCTTTTTTGGATTCTGGTAACTGGTTGAAAATTGGATTCTTGATTATTATGAACTCGTAGCGTATTTTGTTTTTCTTGTTTGGATTTATAACACATGAAGCCTTTTTGCTCGCATATACGTTAATGGCTCAGAGATTCTCTTGATATCCTCTTTGCAGGCGGCTGTACTTCATTTGAATTTGAAATACACACGGAAGCTTTAGAGCATTGCAGGGACTTCACGGATCCATGAAGCTGAAGCTGAAGCTTTTTGCTTCAAGACTTGCAACAACCTGAAGCTGGAATCAACGATTTCCTTATACGGCAATACATCTCTTCTCTTCTGGTTGTTCATATTTCCAAAACCTCAAAACCTTAGATGGAATGTTCTGTTGCATATTGAAAATTGCAATCTTTCAAACTCTTTACTCATAGGTAGTATAGCCGTAGATTTATTTGCTTTCGAGATAGTGATTAAAGATTACTTACTCGTTGGAGCTTTCTTTTTTGAATCTCTTGTTAAGCAGAGGGATCATATGAGAAGGATAAGAAGCCATCTATTCCGCAGCTCTCAGGAGCAGTTTCAAGAAGGTTCCTGCAACAAACATCATTGCGATTGGCATAGCGATTACACAGGTTGCTGTTTCCATGAAGGATGTTCTTCGGGAGATGAATGAAGTGAAGCCAGCTTGGCCTTCACCTGAGTGTGAGGCTGATGAAGATGATAACTCGGATGATGACGACTTAGGAAGTGATTTGCCTCCTGAAGAAATGGAAGTTGCTCAAATGGTTGCTGAGGTTGTCTCCGAGATGATCATGGTGATCAAAGAACTCATCCGAGTTATCACTGTACCGCCTCATTTGGGAGACATGACAATGAAGATGTCCAAAATCTCCAAGAAAAATTAACTTGGTTCTTGAGAGCTGCTATAAAGTAAGCTAAAGCACGTGTACTGTTTCTCTTATTCAGCTAGTATTGTCCATTTTCTGGTGTTGCTTGGTGTGAAAATGTATCAAACAGAACAAAGGTAGTAATTTCAAACTACTGTTTTTGCAGAGTTTAGAGGGCGAAGTACTGGATATCCTGAGTGGCATGCTATGATTGCCGATTCTCTACACGGAGTGTCCTGAACATGTAATGCTCTTGTGGCCGTTTGGTTATAAAGTTTTACATTTCATTATCTGACTTTTTTATGTATATAAAATTTGTTAGAGCTGAGGACCCCGAGAAGTTTGCTACCTTGCGATTGCACGAGCAGTTTCTCATGTAAGTTTATGCTTTATAGCTGGATCAAATTATACCATATTGTGAAGGGAATGGTATTGATTTTTCTTTATGTTTCTTCTTTTGCAATTTTAGGTACTTATTTATGGGTAACATGAAAGATGCAAATTTTATGATGGATGAGATTAAGAGACAAAAAATCCGGAGCTTTCAGAATAACACTTTATCCAATTTATCTCATATCTTTTGGAAATGTTAGGTGCCGTCTTAGATCTTTTTTTTTTTTAAGTCTTTTCTTGTCTTTAGTTGTTACCTAAAAAACTTTGATATCCGATACAGGTTGCAGATGAGGGATGCATTACCTCTTTTCAATATGTCGAGAGTAAGATTTGAGTCCTGCGTGGATAGAGAACCATTGCTTAGAAAGGTATATATGTTTCTAGATACTTAACCTCTTTTTTGGTATTAATATTACGAATTTCTAGATATAAATCTCTTATTATTATTTTTTTTATTGCTCAATTGTGATTTTTTGCAGCGCTTTGGGAAATATTGGAGGAAATCTAGAACACCACATCACATAACTTGGAAATAAAGATATGTATTCTATTCTTTATTTATTTTTATTTGCATTAAATATAGATTAGTTTAAAATCGATTCGATTTATATTAGTCGTGAAACTAACCGAACATGGTATCCAGCCATTTAAATTCATTTGGTCGTTAGAGATTACTTATGTTCAATCTGTTTTCACAACTAATATAAATCAATCGATTTTTATTAGAAAAATAAATAATAATAATAATAGCAATACTAAATAAAATTTTGAATCTAATCTAAATAAAAAAATTTGGTGTTGTTTTTTTTGTATTGTTTTAGGTTAAAAAAAGTTTCCACGACATAAAACTCAAGAAATTAAAGACGCTTAGAGAACAAAATTTAAAAAGAAAGATATGTTTTCTACTTTATATATTTTGTTTTTTAATTTTATAGAATTTGGATTAGTTTGAAATTGATTAGATTTATATTAGCTGTGAAACTAACCAGACATAGTATCTAATCATTTGAATTCATTTGGTCGTTAGAAATTACTTATGTTCAATTTGTTTTCGCAACTAATATTGATCAATCATTTTTTTATTAGAAAAACAATAATAACATTAAATAAAATTTGAATCTAGTCTAATTATAGAATCTAATATTTTTTTTTATATATTATTTCAGATTAAAACTTTCTTTAGTAGAACTCAAGGAGGAAAGAGATGCTGAAAAGAAAATTTAAAAGATATAAATTTTTATATTTAGTTATATTAAAATTTGGATTAGTTTAAAATTATTTAAATTTACATTAGTTGTGAAATTAATCGAATATGATATACAACATTTGAATCCATTTGGTCGTTAGAGATTATCTATGTTCAATTTGTTTCTATAATTAATATAGATTAACTAGTTTTTATTAGGCAAAAAATTTAATAATAATAATATTCTTGAATCTAAATGTTATTTTTAATTGTTTCAGATGAAAGATTTTTAAAAAATCACATCAAACACAAAAGGAGACAACTTACCATCATTCTTTTAAAATATTGTAATTATATTTATTTTATTGTATTTTATTTGGTTTTTTTAGGTTTTAGTTTTTGTTTGTAATTACTTACTTTTTTATATTCGAATTTACAACTTTAATGCAATAATTTGACACTAAGAATACATTTAATATATATATATTTTAATGTTTCTTGTTGTCAGTAATTTATATCTCTTTATCGCTCATTTTTTTTCTAAATATACCAGCTTTGAAAATTTGATATTTAATTTGTATTATTTTATTAAAATTGCGGAAAAAGGGGCGTCGCCGTTAAACTCTGAGAAAGACTAAACGATGCCGTTAGTCGGAGTAAACAACTCTATTAACGTCGAACGACGCCGTATACTGTTCCACTCCAACAAAATCAGAGCTTTTACTTTTCTTCTTCTCCGTTTGAGCCGTGAGCAGAACCTTCTCCGGCGCAGTGATTGTGTCTCGTCCGGCGATATTATATCCAAGAGTTATCTATCAATTAAGAACTTAGAGCGTCTATTTTCAGTTAGTTTCCGAATTCAATCGATAAGCAGGTCTATTCGCGCGTTGGGTAACTTGAGAAAACCAAATCACGAGGTTATGGATTCCATGGAAGCTCCATCTCCATCTTTTCAGCCTCCTTCTCGTTCCAGGTTTCGCTTCTCGATTTCACTGAGTTTTATGGTTTATCTCTTACCTTGTAGCAAAATCCTCCAAAACCCAGTTTTTGATTTCTTTCGCAGTCAGCAACTGCATTTCTACCTCGCCGTGGATCGTCCCCAATTCAAAATGGTACTGTAAAATTTCTCACAATCTTCTTTCTAATTCCATTATACAATCAGACTGAATCGAAACTGAAATCCCGAAATCTCAAATTTTGGAAATTTGGGGAGGGAACAGGAGACTGTGGTGGAGTTACTAGGCGTTCTAGGTCGCCGTCCATTGCTTCCGATTGTAGTTTGTTGCAGCTCTCGCGACGAACTCGACGCCGTCTGCTCTTCCTTATCAACACTTCCTTACATCTCATTAGCTGCTTTGGTATCTCTTCGTCTCTTATGTTCTTGTTCATGGCGATTACTGTTTGATTTAAATCTACAGTAGATTATGTTACATCTCGGATATATTTTGCTTCACAAATGTTAGGTTGATTTTCGGATTCTTAGTGTTCTGTATCCTTGGAGAGTTAATGGTTCGTTCTTGATCGTTGTCTTGCTTGTTCATCATGATCAGTGTTCGATTTTGGGATTAGATTAGATTTTGCTGCATTGTGATTATATTCACATTCAGAGTCTATTGTGTTTACAGTACAGCGATCTAGCAGAGAGAGACCGAACTACGGTTTTAGAGAAATTCCGGCAAGCAACAATTAACTGGAACCAACAAGGTTTGGAAAAGAGTGTGACTGGAGAAGAAGAAGAGAAATCTCATCTGGTAGTTGTAACTGATGTCTGTCTTCCGTTGCTTTCATCTGGAGAATCCTCTCTTTCGGCACGAGTTCTCATAAACTTCGAGCTTCCTACAAAGAAGGTACTTTGTTATAATCAATTCCAAGTTTTCTTCCTTCTGGTTCAAAAAAAGAAGCTTCTTTTGTTAACATGTTGTAGTAATTATGTTTCAGGAAACATATACAAGGCGTATAACAACTTGCTTAGCTTCAGGTTTTCTTTCTTCAAAACAAACCCCCTTTGTTCATCAACAATGGCGATTTTAACATTTTGGGATTTTCTCTGTTTAGGTGGGATTGTCATAAACATGGTTGTTGGAGGCGAAGTAACGACACTCAAAAGCCTAGAAGAAAGCAGCGGCATTATCATCGCAGAGATGCCAATCAATGTATAGTAGATTCAAACGATGAAAAAGCAAGAAACTTTCTGCTGTTTCTTATCTTTAATTAATGGCTTAGAATGTGCTTTTCTTTTTGCAGATTTCTGAAATCTTATAACCACGAATGGATCTAGCTCCTACGATCTGAAGGATACCGTGTAAGAGGGTTTGATGGCTCTGAAGCTTCAAATGAAATGCTACTTGGCTTCTCTAGAGAAATCATTAGTTTGTGTTAAGCCAGAGAAGCTGTCTCTCTGCTGCACTTTGAGTTTGATCACTTTTGTCTTAAACGCTGCGTTTTGACAGTTTTATTTTGATCACTTCTTGGATGAAGGCATAATGCAACATACAATATATATGTGATTGTCATTGAAATTGAGTCATGATTATTATGTAACTATCAAATTTATAACCTCTTGTCTGATATGTTTTATACGTGTTAGTTTCGATTAAGGGATAGTATCTAGGACCTACTATAGCTTCGGTTTGGTAGAATTATTGCATGCGCTTTGACACGTACCAATACATCTTTATGATTAACATTTGTAGAAATTTCTTGATACGAATTTCATCAAACAAAATTAAAAATCAAAGTCGATGTTTTTATAAGAACTTGGTCTTCATATATACATCCGTTTGAGGAATTTCCAAAAAAACATTTTTTTAATCTGGTTACGTTTTACTGATGTGTTTTGCGTGTTTTGGTGGCAAATCTATCTCATAAGATTTTTTTCCGAGATAACGATGAAGAAAACACGTTTTGCAACATTTCTGTGTAATTGCAGCCGTTCGAGTCTTCAAGATCCTTACTTATTGTTGTATTAATATGCGATGATTAACGGTTTTAATTTTGCGACGATTTTTCAACTTTTGTCAAACTCAAAGCAACTTTGACATATACATACTTTATACTTATAATTGTATATTACACAACAATAATAATATAAGAGCTCGTACATGTAGAACATTCCTTGGTTTTGACTTTGACAATGTTTTTGTCAAATTCCCATAGCCAGCAAACAGCCTTAAGCCTTTCATCTCCAACTGCTACTTACATAATAATACCCTTTAAAAACATTTAATTGTTTTGACTACATCATTGTTCGTCATATAAACGGTATTCCAGTAATTAAATGGCCGTAATTTTTATGAGAAAACCCGCGATTTAATTCTATAACATAGTATATAGTTATAGAAGAAAATACGATCTTGTTCATTATTGAGCATAAATATTTTAAACTATAATGAATATATTTTCCATTAATGTTCGATGTCAAAATAGACGGTTTTACGTAATGATTCGTCATTACCGGACAGAAAATGATGTCTTGACTGACTATCCTCTTTTCACTAATTATAGAATAGCCATTTCTTATAAAGTATACACAATTAATTAAAAAAATTATACCGGAAAGTAAAAGTGCTTTACGGAAAATGCTTAAATAAATCAACTACAAAATAATAAATTTAGTAATAGTATTTATAGAGGCATATGGATGTCAACTTCACTGTAGTTTGCTAGGCACGCCATGTGTAATATCTGCAACCAAATATTGCCAAGTTCCAATGACGTATTTACACACGTATGATCACTTTTTTCCAACAATTTCTCCTATCACCTAGATAATTTACTTATGTATATTCATGTAATACCCAAATCAACTAAACATAATTTCTCTAATGGGTTCTCGGGGCTTGAGCCTCTGCGTCGTCTCTTGTCCTCGCTCCTTTGTCTTCTTCTGATTTCATCTCTTTCGCAGACTTGTACAACACGCCTTTTCTCTCTCTCTCTATCTCTCTCTGATTTTTTCAGAGCTATAAATTTTGTAAAGACTGATCAAAAGAAATCTGAGATTTTCTTTCTTCTTTCCAGAAGACTATGGCTGTCGTCACTAACCTAGGAAGCTGTCTGAAGATTTCTTATGTCATATTTGCCTTTTGTTCTGCTTTCTTTCTTGGCGCTCTTAAAGGTTTCATTTGTTCTCGTCCTTCTTTTTTTTTTTTCTTGCTCTGTAGCCTCTGTTTCTCTGCAAATGATGGATTCTCTTCAACATTCAATTTTCTCAAACAAAGTTTGAATTTTTCCTTTCATATGCAGGTTTAATCGTAGGTCCAATTGCTGGTTTAACATTAATAGCCGGAAATGTCGGAGTGATTCTTGGTTTATTCCCTGCTCATGTTACTTGGACTATTTACGCTGTTGCAAAGTAAAAGAAGCTTCAACTTTTGTTTTGCTTTCCAGTTATTATCCCTGAAATTTCTTTCTATCAATAGAAAATTATTCCATAAACATATTGTGGTCATCTTGTGTTTCTCTAATTGCAGGACCAACAGATTTGACATTCCTCTGAAATTAGCAATCTTGGTAGCACTTCCTGCATTGTTTGGGATATGGTTAGGTCTAAGTATAGCAATTAGTGTTCTCGTTGGTGTTGGTTATGGGTTCTTCACTCCTTGGATCTCTGCTTTCGAAGCATTCAGACAAGACACTGAACCCAACAAGTTCTTCCACTGTCTTGTGGTAAACCCAAAGTTTCGTATGCATTTTTCTAGTAAATCACATCTTCTTAGACTCTGTTTAATGTGGAAACTGTACTAATTAGGATGGAACTTGGGGAACCATCAAAGGAAGCTGTACTGTGGTTACCGATTTCGCTGATCTTTGTTACCATTCTTATCCGCTTTACTTAAAGGAACTGCGTGAATCCTCAGCCTCAGATGAGCTTCAAACTCTTAGGTAAAGTAAAAAAATTTCTGTCCGAAATTGTAGCAATAGACTTTTTGATTATTCTTGTGTATTGAGGTGTTATCTCTTATTGCAGGTTGATTCATGTTCCTGGATGCATACTTGTAGGGATTACAGGACTAGTCATCGATGTCCCTCTTTTCACTGCAATCGCAATTGTTAAAAGCCCTTACCTTCTGTTCAAAGGATGGTACCGACTAGCTCAAGACGCGATCAATAGAGAAGGACCATTCCTTGAAATAGCTTGCATCCCTGTTGCTGGTCTGACAATACTGTTTTGGCCTATCATTGTCATTGGATTTGTCTTGACGACCATCTTCTCCAGCATCTTTGTCGGCTTGTACGGAGCAGTCGTTGTGTTTCAGGTCTCCATATTGATCATCTTGTGATCCGAGCTGAAATTAAGGGTTTCTCTGTTTTTAAACCTCTTTGAATCTCTGTTTTGCAGGAAAGGTCATTTAGAAGAGGAGTGTCTTATGTGATTGCAGTAGTTGGGGAATTTGATGAGTACACAAATGATTGGCTTTACCTTAGAGAAGGAACAATCTTCCCAAAGTATGTCTCTTACCGAACCCATTTTACTTAACATTCACTCTCTCTTGCTTCGATATTCCCTAACATAAAGAAACACAGGCCAAGATATCGGATGACAAAAGGATCGTTTTCAAGTGAAGTATCTGTGATTGTTCACCCTTCAGGTGTAAGCAGAGTCAATAGTTCCGGCTCTGCAGAAGCTCCAGCTATGCTAGTACCAAGCCTGGTTCACTCTGTTTCTGTTAGAGGAGCAATACAAGAAGTGAGAATGGTTCAGGTATATGTTTCTAATCCTGATTTCCGAATTCGCAGCCTTTCTACTAAGAGACTTTCCAAAATTCATCATTTTGAAAACATTTTTAAACAGATTTGGGAGCATATGATGGGGTGGTTTGAGATGCAAGGCAAAGAACTATTGGACACAGGAGTGATAACATCAGCTGATCTCTTCGAGTCTTTAAAGGGAAGACACGGAAACGAATCATCCATTATCAATGTCGGGCTTCCTTCTTACGCTTTGCTGCATACATTGCTTACTTCCATTAAAGCTGGTGCTCATGGTATGCTTTTGCTTGATGGCTCGGAAGTGACTCATTTGAATAGGCCACAGGACAAGTTCTTGGACTGGTTCTTTAATCCGATTATGGTGTTGAAAGATCAGATTCGAGTGATTAAACTTGGAGAAAGCGAAGTTAGATACTTGGAGAAAGTTGTTCTCTTTGGAAACCATGAACAGAGGATGGAAGCTTTGGACAATCGCGTTGACTCACCTCAAGAAAACCTTCGAGCTGCTCAAATCCAAGGAATCAGCAGAAGGTAAAAAAGATTCAAACGTTTATAGCTTCTTTGATTATGTATGAAACTTGGATATTCTCTGTGATGATAATAATCTCACTAAAGACAATGTGTGTTGCAGAATGATGGGAATGGTACGGAGCGTATCTAAGCTTCCGACTTATAGGAGAAGGTTCAGGCAAGTGGTTAAGGTTCTCATAACGTATTCGTTAGAGAAACAAGGCTTGCATCGAACCGGTTCCATGAGTTCCGGAGATTTCATTGAAGAGGTGGTCTAACCTCCCAAGGATCAACAATTGTTTGCCTTTCTATATATTTTTAGGGGTCTGTTTTTGTAATTCTGTATATCCTTTGTAAGTAGAAAATAATAATGTACAGTAGTAATTTCTAATTAGTTTGACAATATTTTGGACATCTCTCTCTTCTACATACATAACATGAATCGAACATATCAGTTTGTCTTCTTCATTCATCTAGTCCTAACTTGGCTGAGAGTAGGATCCTGAAAAACATCTCATGTACAAAACAGAGTCCAGAAATCTCAACGCACATTTTATTGATGCGTCAGAAAATTTGCTCAGCAAAACGAAATAGAGTAACACGAACTCAAAAACTTTTCATTCACATCCTGACACGAGTTTAAGAAAATATGTCAAGTATATTACCATTACAAAAGAGTTAATAAACAAAAAGAGTTTAGAGATCAAAGAAAGGGTCAACCCTCCCCTGCATTGGATTCACTCACTGATACAAAACAAAGATTCAGTGAGTGACAGAAGCAGAATACATAAACTTGTAGCGATCCGAGGAAGGATCAAGTGTCATGACAGCATTAGACCACTCCACATTGCCCCAAATCTCTCCTCCTCCTTGGGGTTGTCTCTTCAAGGAGATCTCCGCACACCAAATCTCAACACGATCCACCTTGATGACGTCCCAGAATAGCACAATGTTCCCACCTGAGCTGCTGAGTCTGGCCCCGGGAAGTAAATCTACCATCTCAGATTGGTCCCAAAGATCCCAACTCTGCTCATCACAGTGGACGCGTCCGGCGGAACGAGAGAAACTCTTCTTCAGAGACTCCAAACCCTTGACCTCTTTTGAATACATCACCCCCTCTGGATCACGCCAATCCAACTCCTCTGGCTCATACCAATATATAGTCCCTTTTCTATCAATACAGTACAACACATTACCAACCATACACCAATGCCTTGCTCCTATCCTTTCACCACGATTCCCTCTTCCCCATTTACCTTCCCTCGGCGAGTAGTAAAAGACTGTCTCTTTATTTGCATCCACCGCGTAGATCTTTTCGTCTCTCACCACACAGTCGCGGATGAACTGTGGGCCTTCCTCCCGACGCGGCAAACAACTCCAAGTCTGAGTCTTTGGGTCGAAAACCTCTCCCCACCTCGAGGGCCAAGAGAACTGAATGCCTCCAAACACGTGAATCTTCCCGTCGACGACGCCAGCAGCCGCGTTAGCTCGAGGCAACCCCATGGAAGGGACGCTGTGCCACGTGTGAGTCCTACAATCCAAGAGCCAGACATCGGAAGTGGGTTCCCCTTTTATCAATCCACCGATTACATAGATCCCCCAATCCAACACCACCACGGAGGATGCTTCGAGCGCTTGATAGGCTAACGAAGGGATCGGGCTCAGAAGCCGCGGGATTTGAGACCCACCACAGTCGAAGGTTGTGTTTTTATCGCGGCGGAGGATGAACCAGCGAAGGATTGGGTCGGGAGGAGCGAGGAAGCATACGTAGAGGAAATTCTCGGCGCAGCCCAGTAGAGATCTCGTCCTGTAGAGATCAGGCGAAGCCACCAGAGAGCGATGACTCTTGGAGACAAGAGACAAGGCCGGCTGGTCCGATATCGACACTCGAGCCAGGCAGCTTAGAACCATGTCATACGGCAGCATCGACAGCAACGATGACTGAGGCGGAGGCATCTTCCTCTTTTTATGCGGTGGCTCTTCGCCGGCAGCTGAATTCGACATCGACATTCGAAGCAGAGCGCTGTCTTTTTACTTTTCGGTGGTTTTCTGACTGAGAGGCACGAAGTCTCTACTCTACTACTTATAGGAAAACAAATACAAATATTATATATTCCCTTTTTCTAAATGGAAAACAAAGGAATTTGCTGTCAGAGGAAAAGTAGAGATAAAAAAAGGAAAACTTGAGGTTCAATTTGACTTTTAAAAAGGAAAAGTCAACCTCTCTCTTAACGTTGGACACTGGATGGATATATATCCATTTTGAAACGATGGTCAATGGGCTCAATGTAAAGCAACAAAGAAGATGGTTTGAGAATACAACACACAAAGATCCAAAACAACAATAGCTTCCTCAACTACGTACCAAACAAGGGAATAAAACTAAACTTGTAATTCTGTTTCTTCTCTTTGGCCTCGAGGAACCGGGACCAAACTGGGACAATAAGTGCAATGCAAAGGCCAATGACCGACCACAGAATCTAATTGAACTTTGCTGATCAACTTGTTTTCCCCCGCAACATAGATCCAAGCTTTGCCAGTTTTGTCGCATGAACACACGACAAGCCGTTTATCTTCAATGAAGTAACTTGGCTCACAGTTTGTTTCCGTCTGAAATAAACCTGGAAAGTCAGGAATTGACATAAAACTCGTCCAAATCACGTCAGCACCACCCCCAACGTCAATCTTGCTACTGGTCACCCAAATCTCAATCTTCTTTGTTTTGTAGCATTGCTTCAACAGCGAAAGCCGATCTCCCTTAAACACCCCAAGTACGACAGCATCGTCATCGTGGCTCATCCCACATGGCAGAGCACAGAATCTGCTGAATAATTCTCTCGAAAAGTCGAAACAAAGTAGGGACAAGGTCTCCTTATTGCCTAAAAAAGCAACCCAATACAAAGTTCCATTCAACGCTACACCGGTTTCGGAATGTATCGTACAACGTCTTTCCTCCTGAATTTGACCACCATATTTCGACATGAGGTCTTTCCAAGCATCTTCCGAGTCCAAGCCATGAAGCATCCACTCGGTACTCTCTCCACTAGACCAAATAGTTTTGTAAACACTTTCCCTGACTCTAACATTACTATCATAACCTAGGCCTTCGAATCGAAGTTCAGGTTCGGCCTTGATCCACCTTGTCTGATTCAGCCACGGGTTCCAAATTACCGCGGATCCTTTATACATGTCACACAGCAAGAACTCATCGCAATCAACCACGTTGTTCGGTGTTTGAGTTTCTAAACCGGGAACATCCAGCGTTAGCTCACGCAACACTATCTTGGGGTCGATGCTTACCGAATAAATCTTGTTGTAAGTCGTCAAGATGAATCGAAACGCCGACTTGTGGTTGTTGATGAACGTCTTGTCGTCGATGAGAGCTTTCCATTGTTTCGATACGGCTCTGAAGCGAACAAGTGATCTAGGAGGGACACGAGAGAGGATCTCTTCAGTCAACTCCCATGGAAGCAGCCTCTCCTCTTGCGTCATCCTCTCTTTTCCCCTAATCAATTAGGGTTTTTTCCTAAAATATTACGAAACAATAATTTGTTAAAGATATTCAAACATCACACGATCATAGGTGCTGAGTATGTAAGAAATAAATAACCCAAATATTTTACAAAGCCCTCGAACGCTTACAAGTTTAGACCCATTAAAGGCCCATTATTGTTTAAGTTTAGTAGACCCATCAAATGCCCACTATCACTTAAGAGCACCTCAATATTTTGGTGGTGTCAACTAAAAATCAAAATTAGTGGTGTCAAGAGGGTAACCAAAAGCTCGCCGAGAAGCCACGAATGGCGACAGCGAAATCTCTGCAACCCAGAATCATTTCTTCCTTTCTCGGCGACAACTCTGTTAGATCATCGCAGCCTCTTCGCCATCTCTTCCGCTTTGATTTAGGTTCCTCTTTCTTTTCACACTATCTTCTTCTTCTTCTTCTACTACTAGTCTACTAGTTTTATTGAGCTGATTACCCAAAAAAAAGAAGTTAAGACTTTCGAGTGCCCAGATTGCTATTTTGGTTCCTCGTTTAGTATCTGAATAGTTTTAGGTTGCAATTTGAATCATGACACGTACAAGTGACTAATTGAAACGAAACGATGCTTGAATCGATGTGAGTTTTTTTTTCTTCTTCTCAATTTGGGCTATCTTTTTACAGGAAGAAGGCATGTTTCGATGCAATTATCAAGAACGTTTTCGGGATTAACCAATCTCTTGTTTAATAGAAGGTACTGTATTATGATGTTTGTTAGTTTCTTAGCTACACAATCTATGTGGAGCAGAGAAAAATGTGTATTTAACTTTGTTCTTGTCATGGTTAAAGAAATGTAGATGAAGTTATTGATGGCAAGAGAAAACGCCTGAAACCAGGAAACGTATCTCCTCGTCGTCCTGTCCCTGCCCACATAACGAAACCTCCTTATGTTGAATCTTTCAAAGCCCCCGGAATCTCAAGTGGGCTTGAAATTCATGACAAGAAAGGCATAGAGAGCATGAGAGCTTCTGGGAGACTTGCAGCTAGAGTTCGGGAATACGCCGGGACTTTGGTTAAGGTCAGCAAAAGTTTTATATACTTTCTTCTCTCGCTTTGAAGTTTTGTACTACTCTATATCAATCAACATTTGTTCTTTTTGCAGCCAGGGATAACCACAGATGAAATCGATGAAGCAGTTCACAACATGATCATCGAGAATGGAGCGTATCCTTCGCCTCTTGGCTATGGAGGTTTCCCTAAAAGTGTCTGCACATCTGTGAACGAATGCATTTGCCATGGGATTCCAGATTCACGACCACTTGAGGTGTGTAAAAGGTCTTCACAGAGATAAAAAAGACAGACTTTTTCCAACTCGTGAATCCCTAAATTATGTTCTCTACCTTTGCAGGATGGGGATATAATCAACATTGATGTCACGGTTTATTTGAATGTAAGCTTCTCTTCTTTTGTGTCTTTCCTGATCTGTCTCTGACTGTCTTGTCACGTTATTTGGGATTTTCATGTTTTAGATATGTTGATCTGCAGGGTTATCACGGTGATACTTCAGCAACTTTCTTCTGCGGAAATGTAGATGACAAGGCTAAAAAGCTAGTCGAGGTATTATGTTGCATCTAATAGTTGGAGGAAAAATCATTGTTTTCTGTTATTAGTTGGATGAGATCTTCATACTGTGAATATGGTCTTAGGTGACAAAAGAGTCTCTAGACAAAGCCATATCCATATGTGGACCTGGAGTTGAGTACAAGAAAATCGGCAAAATCATTCAGTAAGAGACCGAAGATATCTAGGAATTAGCCTTTTTTCTTATTCATGTGTTTCTCTCATCTTTTTAATTGAGAAATCAAATCTTTTTTGAAGTGATCATGCAGATAAATACAAATATGGAGTGGTTCGACAATTTGTAGGCCACGGTGTTGGTCGTGTCTTCCATGCCGATCCAGTTGTTCTTCACTTCCGTAAGTTTGTCCTTCACTCATATATACTGAATTGCTTTGTGCTTGTGGCCATTAAGTTTCTGAACTTTCACCTTTTTCTTCACAGGGAACAATGAAGCTGGACGTATGGTCTTGAATCAAACCTTCACCATAGAACCGATGCTTACGATAGGAAGCAAAAACCCGGTCATGTGGGACGATAATTGGACCGTGGTGACAGAGGATGCAAGCCTCTCTGCGCAATTCGAGCATACGATTCTTATAACCAAAGATGGAGCTGAGATACTAACCAGCTGTTGAAAACGATTTCCCAAATTTGTCTTAAATTGTTCTTCTTTATTGGAATGGAAACCAAAGCCAAAAAGGTATGTAAGAGTAAGAATCATCATATTCATATTCAAATATTCTTTTTGCTGACATAGTGAAGTGAATTCTATGTAGTCACACAGATAGATACAAACAATTGAGTTCTACAGATTTTTTGGGTACAACCAACAATCAGATCTTGAGTTTAGGAAATCTTGCTTCTCTGAGTTTCCTTTCTTCTGACAGAACCTTTGCAAGCCTGTAATTTAATTAAAGAGTGTTTTATAGATTGAAGCCAGTGTTATTATACTACTATCAAGTAATAAATTTTGTTTTTCTTATAAGAAATTTTTTATTAAACCTTTTGAGAGCTTCTTCATTGGTTACATGATCAGAGATGGGTTCGTAATGTCCAGTTTCGAGATTAACACGAGAAACTCTTTTCTTCAATAAAGCTTCACCAACTTTAACAAGGCCTTCCATGTTCTTTTCTGTCGATAAGTCCACTGAACCTAAGTCACCTTTCAATGTGTCGTCCTGTAATGGAAAAACATAATAAGCTTATCATTTCTATATTTTGGGTTAGTAAAATTGACCCTGAAAATATTACGTTTATTTTTATTCGTGTCATTAGTGTTTCGTACAAGACAATACCTTATAGACCAACCTTCACAAGAAATCATTATACCATTTTGTATAGATTAACTAATTATATAACCAAAAAGGTCATATATAATAAAAGCCAAAACGTTTAAGTGACTTCGTAATATATGACCAAAAATCTGGATTTTGAAATATTCAAAGTAGAAAACAACAAACAATTATCAAGTTCCGTACGTTTCAACACCTAACTACAAAAATGTTATGCCTCGACTGAGAATTTCCTAGTAATTTCAGTACGTAAGTCGCATTTTTTCCTCAAAAATATAATGTAAATCCGAATCTTATAGTACCAAGATTAAAAAAATTATGCCGTTTCATAATTTTCAAAGGGAAGAAACTCACATCGATACGTAAATAATTTTTCTCGGAACGAAGAGCTTGAAAGACGACAGAGCTTTGGTAATCAACCATGTCGTGAATGGCTTCATTGTAACAGTCAAGAATTGGAGTTGAACCGTTTGAATAGACCCAACTCAACAATCCCCATTTCGACGCCATTTTCGCATCATACTTTTCTTGATTTCTAATCGAACCTGTCCCAAGCGATATCACCACAAACCTCGTGTAATCCAATGGGCTTATGTCTCCCATTTCTGGATTCTTCTTCACTATCTGCTTTGTCACTTCCCCAATCGCACATAACGTCTGCAAAAAAAAAAAAAAAAAAAATCACATGGCCGATCAAGAATTGTCGAATTAGGGCTTCAGAATTCAGATTTAGGGTTTTGTTTTTACCGGGTTATTTGCAGCGATACCACCGTCAATGAGGTTAAATTCATGTTTATTTCCTTCATTGTCGTCATTGGTGAATCGATGAGCCGGGAAATAAGTTGGTGCGGCTGATGTGCTTATGCATATATCTGATAGCTTTGCGTCGATAACTCGATGACTCACCGCCTATATATATTTTTATGACATTAGATCAATATCTATAATTCGACTGCGTTAATGTATACGTAGAGGGATTAATTAATGATATTGGTGTTTACCGGGTAAGAAGAGAAGATAACTGGTTGGAGTTTCTTGATGTCGAAGCAAGGTATGACAACGTTTGTCATGGCCTGTGTTAATTTCGTTTCCCCCAAGAAACCTTCGATTAGCTTTTGAAGGTACTTCCCGTTGTACTTTGGTCCTCGTACAAGCCTCACCAAGGTTTTAAACCAACCACATATCCCTCTGCACATTTTTAAAAGTTTCTCCGAAAACTGACTTGTTAGTTAACTAACAGATTAAACGCAAAAGCTTAAGACGCATACCGTGGCTGTGGGAAGATTTTGGGAGAATGTTTGAGATAAAAAGGGACGATTTCTTTGGCCGCAAACAAAGGGAGGTTGCGGTTGAGGCTTTGGCCGCCACCGCCTTTGACGTCTTTTCCCGGTGCTGTCAACATCGCAGCAATCAGACCTCCTGTACTCGTCCCGGAGATGACATCGAAATAATCCACAAGCCTTGCCTCCTCACCATCCAATTCCTGTATAATAGTCATTTACATTATCTAACTAATATTTGCAGCCGTTTACTTTAACAAATTACTTAAATATTAATAGGATTGATCAAGATTTTCAAGTAGGAGATATATATAGAGAGAAACCTGGAGTTGTGATTCGAGGTAAGCCAAGATGGTACCGGGAATGATCCCACGAACCCCACCACCATCGATGCTAAGGATCGTCACAAGTTGTCCGTACGAAGGTGGAAGACAACCGAGTCTTCTTCTGTCTTGCAAATCACCACTCATCCTTTTTATCTCCTTAATTTCTTGTTTTTCTTTTATAAATCTCAAACAATATATGCTTATTATATGTCTTTTTATTAGTGATCAATCTCTCGTCACCTTTTCAAGATAGAGATGGTATAAATCTGATGAAACGCTTTGAACTACCGCTACGTATAAACACACACCCATATTTATAGAAGGAGATGTGACTGTTAGATAAGCGAGTGTATGTACATGAACACATACATCACGATATTGTTGGACTTTTTGTGTGAATCAAATGGGATGTTTCTTGATTTGGATGTCGTGCCCATCACTCTCACGCCTATAAGTTACACTTAATTATGGTTACTTTATAGCAATTCATGCAACACACATACTTCTATATTGAAAAAAATATCTATATGACAACTGTTTTTTTCCATAAAAAACAATAAATAGACATATGTACTCACAAACTAGGAGCAAAAGTCACCTGAACATATGTATTTCATTTTTTATATAAGAGAAATTTTACCAATAGAACTAAAACATAGCAGAACTGGGGAGCTGAGTTGAAACGTGATGAGATTGTCCAGTCAAAAACATTTACGTATAGAGACAACGAGAACCATACTTCCAAGCAAATGTAACCGTTACTCTAAGCAATAAAAGTAGCCTAAATTATGGATTCGAAATGGTTGCGGTTCGTCTACATGACCACGATCGTTTTACTTACCACGTTTTCTATGTGTGATTATATTACTTTTTTCCTACAAAAGAAGACTTGTAATTAATTTTCTTGATTATGTTGAAGTTCAACCATCTTTTAAATGTCCATGCGTGTTAAGTAGTAGTACAAGATGTATCATGCCGTCATCAAATGATTTTCGCGTTAAGTTAAAAGCAAAAACAATTAATCATTCAATATATTATCTTACCCCTTCACACCCTCTTATGCAATTCTTCACGTATCTCGTTTCCTTTGCTTGACCATTTACAATTTTATAATTAGGTAAAATATTAATGTGTATGACCAAATACTCTTTGGCGTGTGCGTGAGATTTCTTATGAACGTTTATTTTTTGTCCACGGGTCTTGAAGGGGTCAAGTGCTTGTAACACTGAACATCCTCTTAAGAAAGTTACAATTGTTCAATGATTTTATATGAAAAACCAAAGTTGTCCACTCTGATATACGATGAATCATGTGAAAGGGATGTAATTTCATTATGAAAAACAAAAAAAACACACACAGCATCATCATTTTAAGACTAAAATACAACGTCTTGTACAGTAAATTATTTTCATTATTGTACAGTAAATTGTTTTATACAACTAAACACAAAAGAACGAGCGATTTCTTCGAGCGGTGTAGATTTCAATATGTTTTATTATATCTTTTGTGATCAGTTTGGTGAAAGTTTAGACATTTCGTGGCTTCGCATGATCCTTAATTTCCTTTCATCAGAGAGAATCTTCGCAAACCTGCAGATTAATCAATAATCAAACTATGCGATTACTTGTAATCCAAGACCCCGATCAACAAAATTTGAGTTTTAGATCTACCTCTTGAGTTCTTGATCATTGGTGACATTTTCAGGAACAGGTTCATATACACCAGTGTCGATGTTCATATGCGCAACTCTGTTTTTCAGCACATTCTCTCCAATCCTCACAAGATTCTCTAAATTGGATTTCGTTGCCAGATCCATAGACCTTGTATCTCCTTCCAATGTATCATCCTGCAATCAACATCACACAGAAAAATCGTGTAAAATGAAACGATCAATCACAAATTTTTATTTATGTTCTTGTATCGCTCTTACTTACATCGATTCTGAGATACTTGTCCTCAGACTTTAGGGATTTGAACACAACAGAGCTGTGGAAATGAACTATGTCGCGGCTTGATTCCATGGTAATGTCTAGAATCGGTGTAGATCCATCATCATATAACCAAGATATGATTCCCCATTTCGCAGCCTTTTTGGCGCTATACTTCTCCTCCTTTTGTGCAGACCCTGTTCCTATCGATATAACGAGAAACTGGTTGTAACCTAACGGCTTCAGGTCACCCATATCAGGATTGTTCTTCACAATCTGCTTAGACACGGCAGTCATGGCCACCAGAGTCTATAGCAAAACCAAACACAAGAAAGCAGAAAATAAAATTAGAAACTATGTCTTAAGTCTTAACACTTGTCTAAAGAAATTGTCTACAAATTTGTAAGAGGATTGTGTTATACCGGGTTATTAGCTGTAACTCCGCCATCAACGAGGTGAAACTCCCTGGTCTTTCCTTGAATATCTTCATTGAAAAAGTAATGAGGAGGAAAGTAAGTAGGAGCAGCCGCTGTTCCCACGCATATGTCTGATAACTTGACGTCCAAGCTAGGGTCAACCAGTGACTTCAACAACACGGTACAAAGAAAGTAAACTATTACTGTTAGATTGATCGAGATGAAACAAGAAATTTTAGATTATAATCTATGTGTTATGTTACGAAGAGAGATGGAGAGGAAGTTACCTGGTAAGAGGAGAAGATGGTTGGTTGGAGTTTCTTGATGTCGAAGGTAGGTATGACAACGTTTGTGAGAGTCTGCTGAAGTTTTGTCTCTCCAAGAAGCGTACTTAGTAGATTCCGCAGATACGCTCCGTCGTATTTTGGACCAGACAGAAGCTTTGGAAGCCTTGGTAACAGAGAAAACAAGCCTCTGCATTTTTCACCAGGATGTATCTTAATTTCAACGTGGAATTTGATATATATATGACATTTGTTCATTATTAGAAAGATAAAATCAAATGTCCAAAATTATCTTTACCCGGGCTGTGGAAATATTTTGGGAGAATGTTGAAGATAAAACGGAACAATGTCTTTGGCCGCGAAATGAGGTCGTCCGGTCTCATCCGGTACAGTCAACATGGCCGTCATGAGGCCGCCGGTGCTAGTTCCGGCTACCACGTCGAAGTAATCTGCTAGCCTCACGTCTTCTCCATCAAGCTCCTATATATATATATATATATATATATATAATTAAACAACATAAATAATACTTCAACAAGAAATCAGAAGAAAATCAGTTCAATTACTAAATTAAAAAAAAAGAATCGAATGGAAAAAAAAATTAAAAAAAAATACGAGTTTCTGAAGGGAAAAAAAAACGGTTAGTCGGTTACCAAAACCATACTATCAAAAGATATAAGTGTCTAGTAATTTGCGCTCTACTGAAATTTTCATGTAATATATATATATCTCGTAAGTATATAAATATAAACCTGAAGTTGTTTTTCAAGATAAGCAAGGATGACTCCAGCGATGATTCCTCTGACTCCACCGCCGTCGAGGCTGAGGATGGTTACGAGTGTTCCGCACGAAGGCGGTTTGTTTTTCTTGCAGGACGAGTCGTTCTCCATGATAGTAACTCGAATTTGGTGAAAATTTTGGATGTAAAGATCGATGCAATGATGCTTCTTTTCTTGAATGTTTGTATTTATATAAAGGCAAAATTTTACGTGTCGAGGGATTTTAGAAATAACTTTTATTCGATCGGTCAGACCTTTTCTACATACATTTCGTGCTAATCAGGATTGCAGTTCATATATTTTTCTTTGGAATAAGATAATTTATAGTAAGGAACAATATCAACGTCGTTGAATTGAGCTGTCACAAGCTTAATTTACGAGAATCATTGCAACAAAAATAATTTTTATTTAAGATATAAATATTTTCTTTTGTGGACTTTTCATTAAAGAAACAGCCAACGAATTCTGCATCCAAAAACTGAATTTGGATTTTCTTGGAGTTGCTACGACACATCTCTCCTCTCGATCCACTATCCAGACTTGTTTTAAAGGCATCTGTCAAAACGTTCAACAAATTATAAAAGTGAAATTGTAATAAATATTAATGCAACGTAATGTTTATAGAATTGGTCAAAAAGAAAAAAAAAACGTCATTTTTATAGAAGTTATGTACTGATTTTTTTTTTTTTGTCAATATACAGTCTAACGGATTCAAACATATATGGTAACACAACATCAGTATATAAACCATTTGGTTATACAGTATGTGTTGATCACTTAAATACTACTTATTCTATAAAAATGTAACTTCTCATAAATTTAGAAAAATATAATAAATCTTTAATTTTCACAGATTGATCAGAACAATAGTCAATTCAGAGAAACACAAATATTCAGTTTGTTGAATAAAAAAAAAAAATCAATTCTGTTACCGCAAAGAAGTACAAAAAAATAAATTTCATCAAGGCGTCAAGAGAGATCGCCGAGTAAACACACACACACACATATCATATTCGTAGATCTCGTCTTCCCATTATATATTGTTTTTAACGATCAGTTTGATAAATCTTCAATCATTGTGTCGCTTCTCATTCTCCTTAATTTCCTTTCATCAGATAAAATTTTCGCAAATCTGCATTAAAAAAAAATCAAAAATCTTAATAATCAACCATATATAAGATCAACCAAAAAAAAAAACAAATTAATATCCAACAACGAGGTTACTTGCAATCTAAGAAACATATCAGCAAAATAAAAATGGAACTTATATAGTTTTAAATTACCTTTTGAGTTCTTCCTCATTGGTGACATTTTCTGGAATAGGTTCATATACACCAGTGTCGATATTCATTTGCATGACTCTGTTTTTCAGCACCTTCTCTCCAATCTTCACAAGATTCTCTAAGTTAGACTTTGTCGCTAGATCCATAGAGCTTGCATCTCCTTCCAATGTATCATCCTAAAATTGAATCGCGTAAATTAAACGATCAATGACAAATTGTGATTTATAAATCTCATGGCTCTTACGTCGATTCTGAGGTACTTGTCCTCGGATTGTAGGGCTTTGAACAAAACAGAGCTATGGTAATGGATCATGTCACGGCTTGATTCCAAGGTAATGTCTAATATCGGAGTAGATCCATCGTCATATAACCAAGATATGATTCCCCATTTCGCAGCCTTCTTTGCGTTATAGTTCTCCACCTTTTTGGTAGACCCTGTCCCTACTGATATAACTAGGAACTTGTCGTACCCTAACGGCTTGAGCTTACCCATATCAGGATTGTTCTTCACAATCTGCTTAGTCACAGCAGTCATTGCCACCAAAGTCTGTAAACAAAACCAGACAAAGAGAACTAATTTAATGATCTTGTTGAAAACCTCACATAATTGAAAAGAGAGTCATATAAAGATATCGATATCACACTCTATTCATTGTCAATATTCTTTAAGATATGAATCATATGAACATTTACATTGTATTTAAAAGAGTCATAAGTTTGAGAAAGAGAGAATCTTGAAATCTGATTTCCAAAGTCTTGAAAAGGCGTAGTCTAATATGTATTGTTAACGTAGATCAATTATTTCTGTTTTCATTTTTGAGAAACTGGTAAGAGTATTGTGTTTTACCGGGTTATTAGCGGTGACCGCGCCATCAACGAGGTGAAACTCAGACGTCTTGCCTTGACTATCTTCATTAGAAAAGTAATGAGGAGGAAAGAAAGTGGGAGCAGACGATGTGCCAACACATATGTCTGATAACTTGACGTCCAAGCTAGGGTCAACCAGCGTCTGCAAACAACACAAAAGGTGAACTGAAGCTGTTAGTTAGGTGGATCGATCAAGCAAGTTGGAAAAAAAAAACTTGACATTTTAATTACTATATGTGTTGTTTCTTGATGTCGAGAGATGGACAGAATATTACCTGGTAAGACGAGAAGATGGTTGGTTGAAGTTTCTTGATGTCGAAGGTAGGTATGACAACGTTTGTGAGTGTCTGGTGAAGTCTTGTCTCTCCAAGAAGCGTACTTAGTAGCTTTCGTAGATACTTTCCATTGTATTTTGGACCAGACAAAAGCTTTGGAAGCTTAGGTAACAGAGCAGCCAAGCCCCTGCATTCAGAATGTCTGTTAATCGCCAAATGGAGATATATATATATATATTATACATGCTCATTAAAGAAAAAAATGTTCAATTGAGGAATTTAACCAATTGGTACAATATGTTATTGTCATCATTTATGACCTGCGTTTAAATTTTGCATTATGCATGTTGTTGACAGACAAATTGAAAAGTCATTTGCCCAATAACATTTCATATACACTTAGTGGCCACCTATATTGTTCGCATGACAAAGTAATTAGAATATAACTTTACGTGTCTATCATTAATGTATGGGTCAATAAGACGATAAATATAGTTTCCTTTCCAAAATATAACTGGTTAAAAAAACATAGAGATTACTAATTGTCAAAATATTATTTGTAACTATTGTATCCTTACTGGGGCTGTGGAAATATTTTGGGACAATGTTCAAGGTAAAACGGAACAATGTCCTTGGCCGCGAAATGAGGCCGTCCGGTCTCGTCCGGTACGGTCAACATGGCAGTCATGAGACCACCGGTACTAGTCCCTGCTACCACGTCGAAATAATCAGCTAGTCTCACGTCTTCTCCATCGATTTCCTGTAAATATATACAATGGTTAATTACTCCAAACTACCATCTTTAAAGAAAAGACCTAATGGATTTTAGATTGTAGTTCAAAGCTGCTTAAGTAGATATTCACATTTACCCGCATCTAGAATTTACAACTTAAAGTCCGGATTAAAATATACTTGATTTATGAAATTTTTACATGATTGATATAGAGAAGAAGATATATATTCTTATATATATAATAACAAAAATAAAACCTGAAGTTGTTTTTCTAGATAAGCAAGGATGACTCCGGCGATGATTCCTCTGACTCCGCCGCCGTCGAGGCTGAGGATGGTGACGAGTGTTCCACACGCCGGCGGTTTGTTGTATCTCTTACAAGACGAGTTCTTTTCCATGGTAGTTGACCGGTTTTCTTCTTCGTTAGAAGATTATAAATCGTATTTTGGTGTATAAGATTAATGCAATGATGATGATATGCGAAATGTTTTCTTGTATGAATATAAATACACAATTTTACGTGCAGGATATTTTAAAAGATATATTTGTTTGGTCAGACCTTTTCGTCATACATTTCGTGCTATTCATGAATGTTTGTAGTTTGTGTATTTTTCTTGGAATTGCATTATTATAATTTATGGCAATATAGGGACAATATCAATGTCGAGCTTGAGCTGTCATGACTCATGAGCTTAATTTACGAGAGCCTATTGTTATTGATAATGTAAAGTAATTTCTTTCGTGGACTTTCCAATTACAAAATAGCTTACGAGATCTCAATCAAAAGATTCAAAGCTCAATGATTTCATTTTTTAATAATTGAGTTTGATTTTTTTGGATTTTCTAGGACATATCTCCCTTCCTATCCAGAATTGTTCTAACTACACTTGTGATATAATCTGGAGTTGATTTCAGGATTTGATTCTGCTGTTTCATTTAAATTGCTTATAAAATTAATTTGATTATACGAATTTATATCTCACCACTTAATTTTGCATGATCAGATTAATCTGAAGTCAAATGTATCCGACCCCACAACCTACTAAACTATTTGGTTCATATCCGGTTTGATTTATAAACATTATCGGTTGGGATGCCCCATTAACAAAAGTATTCCCAAATTAAAATTTGGGCTTCCTCAATATTAAGGCTTCTACGTGAGTTCAAATTGAGGCCCAATATCTCTTAAAATATTTGTAAGAGATAATAATCACGTTTGCTAATTATGAAACTATAAGAATGCCTAGTGATGATGATAAGCAGTGATTTATCTTTTTTTTTTTAATACGACTATGAATTGAATAAGTAATTATCACACATTCCGATTTCAGGGTAGTTGACGTTGACCAATGGCCACATCACATTACTACTGTTTTCTTATCTTGCTCGATTGCTCTATCACACCGAGGCAGTCCAGCCCTATGATAAAGATGTAACTTCCTTCATTCATTTATTTCCCTATAGCCTTAAAACATTTGTTCATTCATTTAGTTGAATATCCACCATCACATAAGTTTTAATATGTGAATTCAATATTACAAGCTACGAATATAATACTATACATTATTTTTATATTTATGATATTTTCAAAAATTACGAAATTCTACAGTATTATTATGTATGGAATCTTCGTATTGTATGTAAGGATTTTGAAATTGAAAAGAAAGTCGATTTTTTTTTTTTTTAATGTAGGTCGTATATGTTTGGTAACTTGCATGCATATACCGAATGTCGTAGTTTTAATAATCTGTTATCCTATGTTATCATCACTAACTATTTACTTTAAAAAGTAGTATATGGGTTTGAACTCTTATTTTAATGACACATCATGGATTTTCTTTGCTGTAACTTTATTGTTTTATCAGGAAAAAAAAAACTGACACAAAAACATTCTTTGGGCCTAATGATACAAAACAAATAGTATTTGACAAACTACGTGTGATCAATAAAAACGATATTTGTTTTGTATAGCAATAAATTATATTGAGTAATTATTGACAAAAATAAAATTATGTGTATTATATTTTTGACATGTAATATCATTTGCATGCGCTCATAAGTGATAGTGAACATGCGATATACCACGTACGCTAGCCCTAAATGGACCCTATTCACTTGTCTTATAGGACCACATTGGTTATGAAAAGGAAGAAAAAATTGACCAATCATTGAAAAATTGGGGACCGATCAATGGGTATGAGCTAGTTTTATGTGTATAAATGTGGCAAAAATAGAGAGAAAAGAAAAAAAAAAGGAGCTATATGTGTCCAAAATGTTACCTTATATGAAATTACAAAATCACAAGAGCGAGTTTGTGTTTTAATTGTGTTAAGATCCTCTGCGACGTCATGGTTGTACGTTACTATCAGCACCACATAGGTCCATTAATGGCATGTGATGGGAAGAGGCTAGATGGCCAGAGGCAACGATTATGAGTTATCTAGTGTATTTATTACACCTATAGATAGCATGTTAACGTTTATATATGATCATTTAAGAATTTAGTAAATTATTTAGAAATTAGTTATATTCTATATATAACTTTGGTCTACGTACGATATACTTTTCTGGATTGGGGAAAAGGAAATTTTAAACCGTTCAACATTAGTTAATTTGTGACAGAAATTGATGGTTTACGTTTGCATCCTCCTGTAGTCCAGTGTCACCAGCCTAACTTGTCTAACGTCGACTTCTTATGTGAAAGATGAAAATATGGACAAATTAAGTAATAACCATTAATGTGCATCTAATTATTTCGGCTCGAGTTATGTCAAAGATGAAAGACTTTCTTATGATATGGCTCGAACCAAACCATAAATTAATATTGTGAGGTTCTAACGAAAGATCAACGGATAAGTAAAACGATGAGTAGTTCTCAGTTTTACTCGGATGAGTTATGTTAGATATCATATATTGGAAGTGGATGAGATGAATCTACCATAGTATATGAACATATACTTTAATCTACTCACTACTGATTCTAAATAGGAAGATCATACGTACTAAAAACAAATGTTTTGCGATAAATATCTTAGAATGATAATTTTGGTACTTATTATAAATTATTGAAAACAAATATTTTTGGACTTTGTGAATTTTTAGAAATTCACTTGAAGCCGAGTATGGTCCATCGTCGAATGATACTGACGAAAATAAATTTTGTTTTTTATATGTTTGTCGTAAGAAAAATTGTTTGTGTTATTAAATTTCCCTAAGTTTTTTTCGCTTTGATATACATACATATCGGGAAATAGAAGATGACGTCGACCATTTGTGGTGTAAATGCGAACAGAAAATTGGTATAATTATTTTTTTTTTCAGTTTAAGAACTAACGAAGCTGTATATATAACACACAGTTATGTGTATATGTGTATTATAACAACATATCGAAATTTAATTAACAAATGCCATAGATTGTTATTCTAATGTAATTCGTGTTTTCTCTCTGATCGCCGGGTTAGGGCCCAATATGGCCCACTTTTGGGACCACAGTGTCTTGGTCCAGCCCAAAAGTAGAGCAAAGTAAAAAACGAAAAAGAAAAGCGAAAGGGTATTTTGTTCAGTGTTGGACCATTAATTTATTGGCGTAGTTTTGATGCATTATCTTATCTCCCACCATTATGCTGATTCTGTTATTCACTTTGCACTTATTTTAGATATTCTATTTCAGATGGAATGTTTAAATTTATGATTGATCATGCAATAGATCGTAGACTTTATATTCAAATACAATAATGTGTTCTAAGTTTTCTGTAATGCTATATAGCTCTAATTTCAAACGAGAGCACACAAGTAAAATATCTATGTTTTGTTTAACAATAATTTTCTAATTCATCCTGGTGTGACTAGTCGATTGATTTTGAAAATAATTGCGTTATTTATATGATCATTTTTCGACTCTCATTACATACTGTAAGGTAAACAAAAAAATATATATACAGTGTATATATAAAGAAGACGAAATAATGATTTGGATGGCTAGACCTAGACGCATGCCTTACATTGTATTATCACTCTTTTGGGATTACATGATGCACGTTCGACATTTTTGTAGTTATATGTGCATCTCTACTGTATATAAAACCCAGAGATAAATTAGTCTGAAAATACGGTAAAAAGGTAAAAAAACACGTGTGCGTAATATTGTTTTGTTTTTTAAGAAGTCATTCTGATTTTGGCTAACAGTTGACAATGTCATGTTACAAAGGAATGAGAAAAGGTAGACAAGAATCTATATACATTTGAATTTTGATATGAAAAAAGTAAATTTGTATCACAAGAGTGTAATAACATGGGGAGGAAGATGAAATCCGTAACGATGTACTTGTATGCATATATATAGGGCATGATTAATTGGGTCCACTAAAGAGAAATTGAAGCAAAAGCATGAGTTAAAAAGCTACGTTTGCTAAGCTTTGTCACGTGCTAATGCTTAATAGAATCTGCCAAAGTCATTTAATTCCTTCCCATTCATATAGTTTAATACCTAATCCACCGTTTTCTCTTTTCTCGTCATTAAATAAAATACTACTATAATTAACAGTCATGTTAGTTGATCTTAAATTTAATCAAATTATTGATGGTCTAACTAATATTACCACGCTTAGCCTCGTTAAATGCAATCTCTCCACATCTAAAAATTTCTCATTGTTGGAATAATAATTATTGTAATCACTTTTGCTTACTCCGTGGTGTGTGACATTGCCACTTTTAATGAGTTTTCTTTTTAATCTCAGGACCCAACATGTTCCATCCTTTTCTGGTTTTTCATGACTCGTTTTCATGAGTTTGTTAGTAGTTAACAAAGGTTTACATCAAATAACTTTTATATTAAGGGATACTCAAAAAATATATTTGAATAAGTAAATGAATATCGCAACAGTTTACATATTCAATATTTACCCTTAATTTCTCATTTTCTTAATTACTTCCTTTTTTGTGGATCAACGATTTGACAACAGAAGAAAGCGAGAAATGAAAATCAAATGTTAAAAAGGTTATACTAGTGAGATGTCAGCATCTTTCGAGTTTTACTTTTTTTTTAATCTTTTCTTTTAACATCATAATTAATAAGCACGTTATCTTTGCTTTCTCCAAAAGGTATCAGAATTTAACTTCTGCAAAAAACACTTGTGTTTAAGTACAGCCTGCATAATTGATTACAAAACAATTACTACTTCTTTGTGTTAATATAATCTCTAATCAATTCTATAATCAAGTGGTTAACTATAACGCATCAACGCCCAAATTAAACTAATCAGCAAACGTAAGATTGACTTGATATAGAAATGTAATTCGAAATCATTTATTTAAAATATCCGGATGACAGCTTAAAATAACTGTTATACAAAGAGCAGTGACCAATAATTTTTGAGTTTCCATCTTAAATTGGACAAGAAACTATCACTCACAATGAAAACTCTACAAAATAAAAGCTGTAAACCACCAACTCCACTATCTTTATCTATCTTTTTCTTTCACTATTGTAAATTATAAATATAATAATAATTTACTAAATTTATAAATTTAGATCTATAACTTAAAAAATATGGTTCACATTTGATCAAATATTTCTATTGAAGGATTCAGTGTTACAATTAGTCATATATATCCAGGGAATAACTCTAAGCACTTGACTAAACATTATTGACAAAAAACAAAGTATAAGTAAACAAATTACTTTTAGCTTTATTCAGGACCATTTCTATAATTATAGAAATTTGGAGTGAAAGATTGAGAGAAAATGAAAGCAGCAAAGCACTAAATACCAAAATTTAATAAATAAACAGATGAAAAAAATAAGCTAAAGTCGCTCTCTTTGTGGTTGTCCTCATCTCACAATTTCCCACCAGCTCAAGCAGCTTCTCACTCAGATCTCGCATCTTCTCCTCCGAGAGAAAAAAGTCATCTCATTTATATAAATTTCCATTTTCTAAAAATAAAGATTAATAAAGAAATGATAATTAGGTAGCAGAAAATGGCGATTAAACGCTGATATCTCGTCGTTATCTGCTACTTCTTCACCTCCAATAAGAGATTCTGTAGTCTTCTTCCTCGCTCTGTTCGAGATTATCTGACCAAAGTGAGCTCTATACATACATAAATATATGGATTAAATTATATCAAATGGTGGATCTTTGGGAAACATAAGCTTCAATTAAAACACATGCCAGCCTTTTTCTGCTTCTGGGTCGCTTTATCTTCAAGCTTTCCCGCTCTGTGTTCATAAATCAAGAGGTACTAAATTTCCATTACAGCCATTAACTAATCTCATAAAAGTTAAAAAGATTTGGTTTTTTTTTTCTCCGCCATTTTTCTTATTTGTCTTCATTCTTAAATATTTTAACTGTATCTTTCTCTTTTTTACTTCTGTTTCGTGTTTTTTTTTATCATGATGGGGTCTCTGTCTCTCTCTCTGGTTTATAGCAGTTAGAGTGGAGAAAAAGCAAAAGTTGAAGAGAGAGAGAGAGAAGCGATGAACACTAGTGTTCGAGCTGCTCTTTACTCCATGAAAGCTCCTTCAAAGCATGACACCAATCAAGTAACTTTTCTTCTTTCTTCTTTCTCTCTCTCTCGCACTTTTCATTTTTTCTTAACCCAATTCTGATTGCTTTCTTGGTGTGCTTTGAAGAAATTTTCTTTTGTTTAGCTTCTGAAAAAGTTTCTTCCTTTAAATGAATAAAATCTGATTTAAAATTCTCTTGTTTCTGATATTGGATTTTCAGATATTTCTTAAGATTCTTGGCTTCAAAATTGGACTATTTCACAACCGAATCTTTGCTTTTTTTTTCCTTCTTTATTAATAAAACAGATATTCTGAGTGAAATTACTGGTCACAGTGAAAGTGATCGATAAGTGTGTGTGTTGTTTTCCACTATCAAAGGCTGAGAACAATAGTTCTCTTAATTACCTCCAATTTTGCTTCCTTCAATCTGTTTCCGAGTAATTTTGTCTATATGAGTAATGATGTTTCGTGGTATTCTGAAATCTGCAAAGGAGGAGAAGAAAAAGATGGAGTCTTTAGGCAATGGAGCTGTTGCCAATTCAGGGAAACCTCTGCTTAATCGGCGCCGAGCTAACAGAGAAAAGAAAATGGATTTGCTACAAGATGTATGATGATGGCAAATTCTTGACCAAAAAGTCACTTTCTTTGAGTTTAATGATTTGATGATTCAGTGATGAATTGAGTCTTAAAAAATGTTTTCTGTGATTAGGTTGATAAGCTAAAGAGGAAGCTGAGACAAGAGGAGAATGTGCATAGAGCATTGGAGAGAGCTTTCACCAGACCTTTAGGAGCTTTACCTCGTCTTCCTTCTTATCTCCCTCGATATGTAAGATCTGAATTCTGGATTTTGAAACTATTATAATTGTTGTTCTTTGTGTCTGATTTTTGTTTCTATTTTCCGGGATTTGATTAAGACACTGGAGCTTCTTGCTGAAGTAGCTGTTCTTGAAGAGGAAGTGGTTCGGTTAGAAGAACAAGTTGTAAGCTTTAGACAAGGTCTATACCAAGAAGCCGTCTTCATTTCTTCAAAGAGGAATCTGGAGAGTCCTAGTAACAACGGTCTGACCGAGAATTCTCCCGTTAGAAGCAGTAAACACCAGCGATCGAAATCCATGTCGCAACACGACTTCAATTCTTTGATCACTCCCACTAAAAAGCATCAACAGTCTCTTAGTCTTAGCAGAAGCATCTCGAGTAGGAAACTGTTCTCCCCTGATCAAACAGCTAATGATCGAACTAGTCAGAGATTGGTAAATGGCAAACAAGCGTCGCCTAAACCGAATCTGAGCAGTGTTACTAAGCCAGTAGATGTGAGGGGGAAAGAGAATCATACCTCTAGTAATGCTCTAAAAGACAAGAAGGATAAAGAATCACCTGAGAAGAAGCTTGGTAGATTCTTGACGTCTGTGAAGAAGAAGAAACCTTTGAATAAGCCGGAGGCAGCAGCAGCGGATAAATGCTCAGAATCAAGTAAATTGCAGGTATGTAAAACGTTCACGCTTTCACCAATGCATGATGAATCTGTAGATTTTTTTTTCTGAAAGTTTTCTCCTTTTTTTTGGGTTTTTCGTTCGTTCAGCTAGATGATAGATTAGCTGATCAGGACAAGGCACAGGAGAGTGTCTCGGGATCATCTTCGGAAGACAAATCATTGCAAAGTGGAAATGCAGCAAACAGAGTTTCAGAGGATTTACTGAAATGTCTAGTGAGTATTATATTGAGGGTAAGCTCGTCCAAGGACATTGTGTTGGATCCGTATAGCAACTGTTCAGAATGGAGAACAAGAGAGCTTGGTGCTTACAAGAATCTTTGCTCTGTCGATGCATCTTCAATTGATCTTGGAAGAAGAATCAATGCTTCATTTCTGATCCATCGTCTCAAGTTAGTCTCTCATTTAAGCAAATGATATCACACGTGTAAGAGTGATTGGAATACTAAACTCATGTTTCGTGTTCTGTTTCCAGGTTCCTGCTTAATAAGCTTTCCGTTGTAAATCTAGACGGTCTTGGCCACCAGCAGAAGCTTGCATTCTGGATAAACACTTATAATTCCTGTGTGATGAATGTAAGACTTCTATGGTTTCTCTGTGTGATAGAGAGAGAAATGTCTGTAAAATGTTATTAAAAAGCTGATTTTCTTGTTTCCAAATTTATCTTTGTAGGCTTTCTTGGAGCATGGAATCCCCGGGAGCCCTGAAATGGTTGTAGCCCTTATGCAGAAGGTTTGGAAATCAAACCAAAGCTCGACAACTTTGCGCTTTGACATGTTCACAAGGTTTTGTTATATATTCATCTTCTCGTTGTTGTGTCAGGCAACAATAATTGTGGGAGGGCACTCGCTAAATGCTATCACAATCGAACACTTCATCTTGAGACTTCCATACCACTTGAAATTTGTAAGTTCCTTTCATCTTCTTCTCTTTGAATTGTATATGCTGAATCAAAAGTTTGATTCTTTTATCTACTTTTTGTTTTCTGCTTCTTCTTCTGGAAAAGACTTGTCCCAAAACTGCAACACATGAAGAGATGAGAGCTCATAGCACATTTGGATTGGAATGGTCAGAGCCTTTGGTCACGTTCGCTCTCGCCTGTGGAAGCTGGTCCTCTCCTGCTGTAAGTTGTGCTTAAAATCATTTACACTCAAATGTGGCGTCGAAAGATGCAAACTTTCAAGTAGTTTCAGACATGGCTTTGTTAAAACTTCCATGAAAATGGATTATAACTAGACAAAACACTTGAAAACTAATCAACACATCAACCTTTTTTTAATTCAGGTAAGGGTTTACTCAGCAGCTAATGTAGAGGAAGAGCTAGAAGCTGCAAAGAGAGATTATCTTCAAGCATCTGTTGGGATCTCAAAGAACAACAAACTGATGCTTCCAAAGGTATTAGATTGGTATCTGCTCGACTTTGCTAAAGACTTGGAATCGTTGCTCGACTGGGTTTGCCTTCAGTTGCCTGATAAGCTCAGAGAAGAAGCTCTCAAGTGTGTGGAGAGAAAGAACAAAGAGTCTCTTATGGAGTTGGTTCAAGTAGTACCATATGACTTCAGTTTCAGGTTGCTTTTGCATCAATGAAATTAAGGTTTGGTAATTTGTGATGAACAAAAATGTGAAAACATTGTATAGATTTGGGTTGGGGAGGGTAAAGTAGAGCATGAGTTACTATATATAGATACGTTTGTGTTCTTTACTATATAAACTATATAAAGTGATGCAATTTATTCAATTGATTTTATCTGTATAATGCTATTTTTTTGTTGTCTCGTTGTCTCATACGTTTTTTTTTTTTTTTTTGGTTGCCATTCTTGTCTCATAAGTATACAATATATTTTTGGACGGCTTGAGTATTCTTTGACATCTTTCATGTACTAGTAAACCAAAACCAAAACCAAACATAGAGCAAATATGTACTCAACTTCAATTTTATGGATTACGATATAATTCTATGAACTATAAAATATAATTTTTTTTTATTTTGGTAGATAGATTTCTAAGTAATAAGATGTAATTTTATGCTCAACTAAATTTGATGCAAAAAAGCGCTAGAAGGAGGGTTCGAACCTCCGACCTTGTGGTTAACAGCCACACGCTCTAACCAGCTGAGCTATTCCAGCTTTTGCTTATAATGCAAACCTATAGCTTATAATGATCTAATCTAATCAACCGTGTACTGGGTTAATGGGCTTACAGAAAAAGGCGCAACGAAAGCCCAAAATAAACCCATCATAAAGGAAAAGAAAACTCTCTGATGAGAAAGAGAGGAACTAAAGTCGAAATCGTCCGTGTGGTGTTTTGGGAATTTGCAGAGCCGTTAAACCCTAGTGTTGTCGTCTGACGGAGGAGAAAACACCGGCGAAGAAAGCAATCAGATTTCGATGTCGGACAACAAAGATCACAGCTCCGATTCCGATGACGCACCCGAGGAAATCACCCAGGAGCAGGTATTTGCCGTCTTAGCTGGATTAGCTGAAACAGTCAATCGAATTTCATCGTCTAATGGATTTTGCTGTTTGTTTTTTTTTTTTAATTTTATTTTCTGGACTTGTTTCAGGCGATGCTGGAAGATGCAGCGTTGAGGAAAGTACTGAGAGAGAATAAGGCTAGGTTTGTATTCTCACCACATTCTCTTACTCTAGCTCGCTATGTTTAGTTTTCTTTGAAATTCTTGTATGAACATATGTATATTGATTTGGAATTAGATCATTAAGGACTCCCTTTGACTGTCTTTGAAGAGTTTCAGAACGAGTTCTTATGTAGCTTGACTATTAGGAGTTTATGGAGGAAGATATGGTTTTTTAGCCATTTGTAGCCTTTCCTTAGACATGTAGACGTTAGTTGCTTTTGTCGATGGTTTTAGATCCTCTCACTCTTAACATTTACCTCTTTAATGTACATATCTATTCAAGAATCCATTGCGTGTATGTCCTGTTCCTAGCTCTGTTTGTTCGGTTGTGGAATTTGTGATCTCTAAGCTTCCCTTGGAGGGATAAGTCAGAAATGTGTGGATTCCCTTAATGATATTGTTTTCTCTTCTGTAGGGTTTCGCGTGAAAAGAAAGAGAGTCGCAGGTTTTTGGCAGAGAAATTAACGCCGAAGAAATCACGAAAGATTGAAACGTTCGAAGAAGAAGAAGAGGCCGAGGAAGACCGTGAAGCTCTTGCAAAGAAGGGGTTCCTTTCCAAAAACATCATAGACTTTCTTGCAGAGAGGGAAAAGTATGAAACTCGATATCCTTTTTTTCGTTATGCATAAAACGCTTTCAACTTTAAAAGAAATGTCTTAAGATTTGCAATTTCTCTATCTCATTCACAGACAGAAAAACGGGTCGGATTCTGAAGTAGAGGAGGCCAACGAAATCCCGAGAAAGAAGAAGCAAAAGAGCTCAGGGTATGATCATCTTTTTTAGGCTTACACGCTCTTATATCACTCTTTGAGTTGATCCCATTAACTATATATATATATATATATATATCTCTCTCTCTCACGTTTGTGCAGTATTGAGACGGTTATTTACAAGGAGATTCCACCACCGGAATGCTTGAAAAGCGGGTTAGATTTCTTGAAGAAGCGGAAAGAGCAAGTCCCTAGATCGTCTGCAATCCTCAAGAACTCCGGCCAAGCTCTCCGACTTGTCACCGGTGCTGCTTTTGCCAAGAAGCAGCGACAGAGAAAATGAAACTCTTAAAAGATCCAAAATCCATGTGGGCTCAATTCCATTAAATTTGTGTTGTAGTCACATTAAATTAACCTTCATTTGCTACTTCTACGTCATGTATTTGATATTTACTTAATCACTGTATTGCTCAAATCCTCTCTATACGATCATTTTTGTTTCATATCAAGTTAATTATGACGTTATTGCCCCCATATGAACACGGAGAATCTTTTTTATAGGATAAAAGAGATTTTAGCCCATAAGATATCTTAATTTGTGTCACATCACACATTATCAAGTTTATTTCATTTGAGAATGTACGGTAATTTTTTTTGTCCTTTCCGTATTATGTAAGTTCTTTTCCCAAAATGCATAGAAAATGCCAAAATGGTGTTACTGAAAGTGTGAAACAATGAACTTGAAGGCCAACAGTATATAAAACTGAAGGAAAATGTATTGGAAAAATCTAAGCTTCCGAGTAGGTGATCTTGGTACAAAGACTATAGAATCTAAATGTATATATTGATCTAAATCAGTTTTGTAGGACAAGTTTCTGAAATATTCAGAAACTGTAGCCTCACCCAAAAAAAAATACAAACAAACAAAAGCAGAATTTACCAAGAGGTGAAATCTTTGGATCAATAAGTTCCGCTTTCAGATTACAAGCCATACCAAATCTCTCAATTCACAGTTCTTTACCTTCTTTCTATCTCCGGGAGAGCGACCAGACCGTACTGTATAATGGTTCAGGCGTGTGAACCACATCGGTTATGTCAACCTCTCTGAGTCGCCTTCTAAAAGTTGTGGCTTTGTGCTTTTTCTACTATGAACTCACGTCTCTGAGTCCTCTGCTTCTTCTTCTTCAACAGTAGGAAGTGAACCTTCTCTGCTGAAACCAGGGTTTAGGAACTTGGCAACAAAAGCCCAAAGCTTGTAAACATCCTCAAAGTTTGTCAAGAAGCTAAGAGAAGCTGTAACAACCTCAAATCTTATAAACCCGTTTTTCCCGACCTCATTATGCAAGTGCAATGCATTATCTTCTTTACTCCGAGCTCTATGGTTTCTCGGTTTATCATCCACAATGCGTATGTGACTCAGTATACCAATGCCTAGAGATATACCTTCTCTTTCACCGAGTCTCTGAACAGTTTCCGGACTAACAAAGCCTTTGCTTTTATCTCTAACATTGAATGCAACCGCTGCTCCTCTTTCGTATTTGATCTTCGGTCCATATATCTGCACAAGATTCATGTTTCTTCCTCCTGATTCAGGCACTTGTAGTTGCAGTAACGATATCACAAGCCAGTTAATCAGAAACCTGAGTCTCGTCGTGGTTCTGTTAAGACCTAACATATTCACATGATCGATATGCCTGCAAACGATCTCGGTTTCGTTCTCTCTCCTATCCCACTCATCATCCGCACCTTCATCATCTCCATTCTCAACATCACTCGTGTTGTTATGGTACTCTTCATCATAAAAGCTAGCTAGAGAAGCTTCACCGGGCTCTACAATGCTATGACTAACACGTTCCATGTTAAACGAAACCCGTCTTCCTTTGCTCGGATGTTCATCTTCCACTCCTAATAGCCTGCTTCTACCACCATCTCTCCCTCCCAATAACCTGAAATCTCTTTCCGTCTCTCGTCTAATCGCAGCGCTCTCTTTGATTTCTGATGAAATGTTGGAAGTCAACAACGAGCCATTTGCCAAGCTACGACCGCAGTTTTCCTCCTCTATCTCATGAGCATGGAGATTACTACCAGAACTCCTCCTGTTCCGCAATGGAGTCGTGTTTGTCCCGTGTTCTGTAACCGACATAACAGCAGCATCGAACGAGAGGACGTCTTTGTTACCATCATACATCGGACTACTGTAACTCTTCGGTATTGGTTTAGGCGAGTGTCGTTGTTTCTGGTTTCTCTTGTTTGTAAACCAAATCGGCGGCAGCGGAGACGCAATCTTGTTATGCTGCTCAGAGCCAAGAGGGCTTTGCCCCAAATCGATCCAAAACGAATTGTCAGACGACTCGTCTTCGCTAAAAACAGGGCTTTTCATCAGTTCTCCAACAGAGACACTCTCGGTTTCTTCGAAAATGGTGGTGCTAGTAGTTCCATCTCTATCAGAAGAAATGTTATCTTCAAGGAGGTCTGTTTCAAACACATCTCTCACTTGTGCTGAAGTGTATGCACCCGAGAAAGCCGGCATCTGAGTTCCCGGACGATGAGCTTCTTTCATCTTCTCGTCATCATGATCCTCAAAGCCAACCAAACCATCGAGACCATCTACTGAATCGCTTAGATATAACGGATACTGAGGCGTGATCTTCACTATTCCTGATCCTGTTTTACCAGACTGGCTCTGAAGACTCCCCATCACTGATTTCTTAATCAACAGGCAACCAAATCCGGTCGGGTCATGACCAAACACACGGTAGAACGAAGTTATGATGAACTCAGGCCGGAACAAGGACAAGCCGAGAGAATCCATATCTTTGGGACCTAAAGAGCCAGCGTCAAGCAACACATGCCAATGGTTCTGCTGAGCTAAAGCCATCCACTGGTAAGAGTACTTAGCACCCGTAACACGAGACTGCGCAGGGAACACAAACAACCCGACCGCTGAATCTTTCTTCTTCCTCTTCTTGTAAGACAACCGCTTCTTCAAATCAGTAGAACAGAGCTTCAGAGTCGGCCACTTGAACCAAGCGTTGTAAGCCTTTGCGCCTTTCTCCCTCGCGGTCTGCGCCATCCAGTTCACAGACTGGCTCTCGTGGTCGAACATTGTCAAAAGCCGCTTGTTCGTCTGGAACGGATAAGATTCCGCTAGCAACCTGAAAGCTGAGCCTCTGCTTACCGTGAACACAAGACCATACTCATTCTCAGGGATGTTCAAGTAGTCCATGATCCTAGTTTTGATATCATGTTCCACGGTTCCACTCTCAGCTCCGCCGTAAAGCGCGTGGTTACTCAAATTCGCGGTGATCTCAGAGAGGCTAAACGTACAGGAATCCCAATAGTGGAGGGTTTGAACATAAGAGAAGAGACCAAATCCACAGTAATCAAGGCATACCTTTGAACCTGATAAGTGGCTGTACTCGTCAGATCTTAACTGGTCGATTTTCTCGGAAGCTTGGTACTTTGGGTACATGCTTAGGAACTTGCTGAGAGCTTCACGGAGCTCAGGAATGGTGTCTTCCGATTCGATTATGCGTTCGGCTGCTAAAGCGGTGGCGCGTAGGAATTCGCGCTGCGCGTGGAGTCTAGCTAAGGATCTGGAGCGGCCCAAGGCTCCGTCTTGGTTCTCTTGGTCCATGTCTTGGGATTTGAAGAGTGACCCATTCTCAGAGGCTTCTTCTAGAGCTTCCCTTAGCTTGTCTTCGTACAATTTCCGAAGCATTGAAGCTTTTTTCCTGACATTGACAGAGGAATCGGAACCACCATCTCTTCTTCTCCTGCTCTTGCTCTTGTCTAAGATCAGAGTAGCACAGTGGTGAATTTGCTTCCACAGTGAGAAATGCATTAGAGAGCTGATTTTCGAAAACCAGAGGAGATTTTTTTTTCAAGTTTGGGGATTTCGGCAAAAGGAAAAGAAACTAAGAGGGTTTTGTTTCTAGCCCATTGTAAAACCCTAGAAGTGACGAATTAGAAGATCTTGAAGAAGATCAAAGAGAGACTCCAAAAACGGAAACTTTTTGAGAACCCAGAAAAATTAAAAAAAAAAAAGATTAGCGCTCAAACCAAAAGAGTGAGGAGACGAAATTGACGGAAGAAGAAGAAGAAAGTAAAAGAGAACAATTTCAACGAACAAAAGTACGAGAAAGAAAACCCACAAGGAAGAAGGAATCCAAGAAAGAGAAGGTAAGAGTCAAAAGGCTCAAACCCTAGGACCAGTCTCTCTCAGGAGAGGAGGGAAATAGATAAATAAATAAAAATAAAAAGCAGAAAAAATAAATACAGATCCCAAAATTTTGCATAGATAATCAGAAGCCCTCTCTTATGAACAATGAAAAAAATTAGAAATGAAGAAAAATTTTGTGGGAGAAAAACCTTCAAGAATGACCCAAAGCCAAAGGAGCTCTCTTTGAATATAAAAGCAAAGGTGACCCCTTTCACTACTAATCTCTCATTTCATTTACTACTCTGTCTCTCTCTCCTTTACACACTGTTAAAGAAAAGGCATTGACTTTCACATAAACCAGAAGCAAAGTGGTTCATGAGCTAAAAACAATAATGAATGGTGGAATCAATTATTCAATTCCTCTAATCATTTTCTTATTAATGAAAAGATACAAGGCTAAGGTTTCAAGTCAAATAACACCAAAAAAAAAAGACTTGGAAAATAAGTCAAATAACACACAAAAAGGACTATTTAGTGGAAATATTAGTATAGCATATGCTACTTGACGTTTTTGTTGATGTTAGTAACATTACAAGAATATTTATCTTATTTTAATCTGAAAAACAGGACAAACAAAATGACTCAGGAAAGCAATATTTGTCTTCTTTATCATTCCCCGAAAGAAACGCATTAAACTCGTCAACTCTTGCAATTGCGGAATTATTAAGGAAAATATATTTACCATTTCCTCTTAACGCTTCTCGAACAAATGATGAGAACAAAAAAAAAAAAAAAAATGCATGTCCACATTTTGGATAACAAAAACTATCTTTATTAGGTGCTCCAGCTGCTTGCAAGAAAATAATAATTCCAAACTTTTGACTAATATAAAAAAATGTACACATATGAATAATAAGCAATGCTTTTAATTTATGATTATTATATCAATGTACATATACCCTACTTAATATTAGATGTGTTGGTTGAAACAGACAAAATATTTATGTATATGTTTATTATAAATGTAAGGTTGGGGTGTGGGGGATGCTTTTGCCTACTTTAGACTCCATACATTTTATTTTATTTTTAAAAAGAAGCAAATAACATAATTTATTTTGGTAGCATTTGCCTTCATTTGCTAACTAATTCTAATAAGTTATGTCAAATCCCAAATATAAGGCTTAGTATAGGCAATGCATCGATAGAGTCAAGATAATAAATTCTCACTTCCAAAAAAAGGACAAACAGACTATTTATGTTGTTTATTATGAATGGAATGGAACACAATGTGTTATTGGTTAAATAAAAATGCCTTCTGTCTTTTACTATTTCTTCTTATAATTAATATTGAATAATAGTGTTTTTTTATATGTTTTAGTTTAGTTATTTGATTGGTTTCAAATTCTGTCCTTTTCAGTGAGACAAAACATGTATAATGCTTTCATTCTCCTTTTTGTGTTTATTTGATGATAAAACAGAGTTATTACTCTGTCTGATTATCAAAGGTACTTCCCGAGTCCAAACGAATAATTTAACTTTATACTATTAAATAGAAAAAAATAAATTTCGAGAACTCGAGTTTATTATATCAATGTGGTACAGTGGTACCTTACTAGTTATAAAGTTGTTTCTCCTAAAAAAAATCAAATTTGAATTGTAATTTAGTTTGAACAGAATAATCAATAATCTAACGCAAAATCAGTTTGCAATTAAGCATTAGTGAATCCAGAATATAGTTAAAGTACTTTAAAAGAGGGATCACATTGAATTTGAACTCAATGACGGCAACAAAAATAGCACTTTAACTTAATTGCACCTGAAGATTGATTTCATCATACTTATACTGGTAACTCGGTAACCAATACAGATTATATGGTTCAGTTCCGGTTCACTAACAGAGACTAAACACAAAAAAAAGTGACATGCCATAACAGTTCTTACCTGATCTATGTTTCACTCCGTCAAAAGAAGAAAAAAAGAGCTACATTACGAGAGGAGAACTTTAACAGTGAGTGCTGAAAGAGTTTCCATTCATATACTTCTGAAACTTGTCTCATTCACGCTTGACTCTTACGACGCTGCCTCAGTCTTCCACCAATACTATTTGCGTTTGGCTCAACAGACATTTTTCTCTTGCTTCCTCTTGTTTCTCCGTTCTCTTTGTCTGCAGAATGAAACACCATGACCCCAGAACTTGCTGGATCCATCTCCTTCACATCTAATGGCGTGACATCACCTAGAACATGAACATCAATCGCTGAAGTTTGATTGTCCTCAGATGGCAAGAAGCTCAGCGACTTTGTAGCTGAGTCCGGACTCTTGTTTGTGCCTTCATCACCAAGACTATGGTCTTGAAGCTCACGCCCATCGGTGATCTGGAGGAGACCATCTTCAGAAGAAGATGTATTTGCTTCTTTGAAAGCTTGAGATGGAGCGTCCTCAGTTTGGTCACCCTCACTTGTTTCTGACTGCTTGTTGGTTTGAATCAGATAGTGCGCAACAGACTTGTACCCGAGCTTACATATCTGAAAAAGAAAAGCCTTTAAATGTCGATTCTGCAACACGAGAGAATCTGCAAAACGGGTAATAATCAAGATAGCTACCTTCCTGTAAGCTGCGCCGGTAGGCAACCACCCTTTCTGCTTACGACATAAACTGCAGTTGCAGATCCCGCGACAGCCAGGACAAGTCCAGTCCGGATTTTCCAGGGTTTCAAGCACATGTTCTCCATACCTGTTCAATCACCAACAACAGTTTCTAAAACATTCAACACCAAATGAAAGCAGAACACAACAAGATCCTCAATCGCTTATTGATTCTTACAAAACAATTCTAAAACACAGAAACAGACAAGGTGGGTGATACAAGATTATGGTTTAGGGTATCTTCCTTTATGAATTAGGTTTTGGTATTTTAAAGTGTATTCCTTTTTTGTAATACGTTTATGATAAAGACTTCTAAGAATTAACCTTCATCATTAGGGTTAGAGGGAAGGTTAACCTAAACCAGTTTCTTATTACGAGAGCAAAAAGCTTGAATCAGTGTGAAAGCTATAAGTACCTCATGTACAAACAATCTCCACAGAATTGACCCATGACCGATGGGTGACATTTGCTGCATTGTGTGCGATAACCGAGCGTTTTCTGCCTGTAAAACCCATAGTTAATCCGTTAAGCAAAGACTTGTCTCATTCGTTAGACCCTAAACCGAGAATCAAGCTAAGCTACACTTATGGTGAGTTAAAAGCGAGTTCACATACCTGCACTGGTGGCAAGTCTTTCCTCTAACAGGATCATAAATCCGTTTCCCATCTTTGGCATAACCATCGACAAAAAGCTCCCAGGTTCGTTCTGTGTTACCTAGCAGTTTATCATGCTCCTCCGTATAAATCTCTGGCCTTTCGCCTTCTCCGAGCCACAAAATCACTTCTTTAGATGCTTTACCCTTCTTTGTTTCGGCTTCCTCGAAGTAGGTAACCGGCGCTGCGTTCTTCAATCTGAAGATGATAGACAAAAGGAAATTGTAAACTTAACCACCCAGAGATCGAAAATGAACGAAATGATAAGCCTTGATTTCTACCTAAAACCCTTAATTTTGGAAGAGAGATGAGCAAATTCGAACAAAGATCCGAAGAATCCAGAGAACGAAAACGACGAGATTTACCTTGAGGATCGTCTGGTGGTGACGGAGAGTTGAAGAGGAGGCGTATCTCGGGCCGTGGATCTACGATCCGGATTCGAATCGGCTTTGGTGTAACGCCTTTTGAGGGGTCGGATCTCAGATTTGAGTTTGTGTGAGAGATCCAAGATGCCGAGATTCTGCATCCTCTGGAGATTCTCCTTGATCCTGTCTTCCCTGCATTTCTCGTAGATGGAGACGTTTGAGGTTCCTCCGGTCGTTGGATTAGGGTTTGTGACGACGGGTGTAGAAGATTTCGTTCTCGTTCTCAACGCAGGCATTGTGATTGAGTCTCACTGATTTAGTTTTCAAAATTTCAACTTCTCTCCTTTCCCTCCCTGTTCTCTATCTCTATCCCTGGTTCTCTCTTTGTTCTGTGGATAAGAAGAAGAACTAATGATGTTTTCAAGGTGAGATTTTTTTATATCAGTGACTGAAGTCTGACGAGGAACAGAGCAACGGTCGGTATTATGATTTTCTTCTTTTTTTTGACTCTTTTTGAAATTCAAAGCGTTTTTAGGTAAATGTGCTTAATTGCTAAGTGTTTGGCTGGGAAAATGAATAGTCATTGTTCTTATAGTTGTAGTTGGACCTAATTGGAAGAACTAGAAAACGAAAATGGAAATGAATCACGGAAAAATATCTCAATGCTTTAATTTCGCAAATTTAGGTCTCACAGAGTTGAAATGTGAGAATCAGGAGTTAATTTGGTTGAGTTCAGACGAGAAAGAATTAGTTCGATTCAGAATCGGTTTGGCCAAACCAATATCCGTTGTTAAACCAAACCAAACCAAACCAAACCAATGTTATGTGGGCATTACAACATAGTCCTCCCCGCTCGGTCATACTCAACTTGACTTTCGCTTGCTCAAGCAAAAGCTCCTTGGGAATTTCATCTACTGTAGCTGCGTTCCCGTACTTTTGCAAGATTGTCTCCATTGTTTGAGATCTCAGTTTCTCCTTTGCAAGTTGTTATAGAGCAACTCAGCTTGTGTTGGAGTCGCTTGCACATTGCATGTCCAGTCCCTTTTCAATTGCTTCCAACGAATAGACACGTTCATATGTTTCGTCTCCAGGGCTAGGCCACTGTTTCTACTTTGATTATCTCCCTGGTTAGATGAAAAGATGGTTTCGTATTTCAATCTTTATCAAAAGATATAAGAACCAAAACTACTAAACATTCAAGAGAAGGAAATACTTTGAACACGATCCTTCCCGGTGTTTATCGGCGTGAAAGATCTTTTGCACCTCTGTCATACCACCAATCAGTGTAATTACGATCAGTCTTGGGTTTATTTTTGATGCTCCAAGCTCTGTCAAAGCCAACCAAGAAACAGAGGATTCAGTGTGAATGTTCAAACAAGAGCAATGCAGAGAAGCAAGTAAAGGAATTAGCTTAACCGGAACATCAGAAGGTGTATACCATGGAGCGCCTGCAATAAACCGAGGAATGCGAGGATTGATTTCATTTCCATCCTCATCTACTGCAGTTGGAGCAAGCCCGGCTTTACGAGCTTCCTCTAATTCCATTTGCTTCCTATGATCTTTCCTACACTTAAAAGGAACTGCATATATATGTCAGCAACCATTCCAAAAACTGACAAATGCAATGGATTTGGCAGAGCTTATAACCAAAACTACAAACATCAGAACAATAAGAAGCTCCTCTTTTTACAGAAACGCAAAGGAATTTGCAAAAGTGAAGGAATCGATACCTGAAGCCGTCGCCATGGTTATCCGGTCGTTAAGCTTTGAATCCTCTCAGTATCAGGCCACAATAGGAAAGAGGCTAAGACCTACGAGCAGGAATATTAACAAGAAAAGGTGATTACTTTAGGAATTGGAAACTTACTATTACAATAACCATAAAAGTTTCCAGGCTGATCAAATCAACAAAATCAGGATGAAGAAGAATAATAAAATCCATTAGCAGACAGTGACAAGTTATAGTTTGCCCAACCAAAGTTGAATGCTTTGTGGATCAAGGAAAACAAAACACACAGAATCAAATTGATGAGTGATGACTAAAGGCAGCTTCTAAGTGAACAAAGCCGAAATCTTCTTCAACACTAAAATGAGCTATTAGATTCTAGAGAAAACATGAGCATTGCCCCTAAAGAAACAGAACTAAACGACATCGGACCGGAAAGCGAAAGATAAGCCCTTTTGCGACGTACCGATTACCGGAGGCGAGATCTGCACGAACGAAGAAGATTGCACGGAAAATATAAGGCTTGTTGCTTACTACAATTTGTTAAATATTATTTATAAGAAAATCGATAGTGCATATTTGCAAAGAAGCCCTCGAGTTTGTTAAAAAGGTGAAATATAGGTATTAAATACTAATTTGTATCTTTTCTCTCCACTTATTCGAGCCTTGAGTTTTTTAAAGTTTTAACGAGGGCTTTTGAATCTTTTTCCCTTCGCCTCCAAATCCTCGCCGGCGATAGAAACCCTAGATTTGATCCACCGTCGGTCTATCCAACAATGTCGTTCAATCTATTCTCTACCCCTCAGCAACAGCAGCAGACGCAGTCGCTGTTTCAGACTCCGCAACCGATGTTTCAGCCGCAGAGCTCTTCCTTGTTCTCGCAACCGCAACCACAGCAGCAACCGTCGCCGTTTCAGCCGCAACAGTTCCAGCAGCAGCAGCAACAACAACAACAACAACAAGTAAATCAGCAGCAAGCGCAGCAGCTGTATTTGTTCACGAACGATAAAGCGCCGGCGAATTACAGTACGAAATGGGCCGATCTTCATCCCGATTCCCAGAAACTCCTCCTCCAGATTGAGTATGCTCTTCTTTCAACTTTTCAATTCGATTCCTTTTTTCCTTTTAGTCATTGCTTTAGGCCTTTTGTTTGTTCAATTGTGAAATCTTGAGGAACATAGTTGTTGTATCTCCTTCATACCTTTCTATAGATTAAGTTGGTAAATTGATCTTATTGTTTGTGTTATACTTAGAGAGAAGATATTGGAGCACAGAAGTGAAAGTCAGAGGTTAGATCAATGCAGTCGACTTTACGATTCTTCTGTATCCAGTGAAGGATTTGAGTTTGATGCAAGCCGCATTGTTCAGGTTTGTGGAGGATTCCCTTCTCTCGTTGCATATAGGAACTGATCTTATTTGGCTTGTATATATATAAAAAAGGCGTCTTTTGTTAAAATTCGTAGGAGCTTGGTGGGATTAATACTACCATGGACCGACAGAAAGCTGTTCTGCACGAGCTTATGGTGGTTGCTAAAGACATGCTGCGTAATGCAGAGATTGCGGTTCGGTCTTTCATGATGCTACAGCCGAGATTCCCTCATTCAAAGCCAGGAGGAGCTGCTAATGGTGGTTCTCAAGCATCTCAGGCGCAGGGAGCAAATCCGGCTCCAGCTTCCTCTGGTCAACAACAAGCAGTTACTTCCATTGTTCAAGTTTCTGACTTTTACCGTGGGGTCCCAAAGAAACCCACTGTTTTTCTACAGCAAACCGTTGCAAGGTTCGAGAAGTATCTAGGCGAGTGTCGGCAATGGGTTGAAGAGCTGGAGCAGTTGCTTGCGTTGGATTCTGACAAGTATAGTCGTCACGCTTCCCTTTTGGAATCTCTTCCGAAAGTCATGTCTAATGTGCATGACTTCTTTGTTCATGTGGCTGCCAAGGTAACTTCTAATGATTCCTTCCTTCTGCTGAACATCCAATGTAGAGACGCCTTTTGAAATCTTTGTGATCGGTTTGAGTTTGCTCTGTTCAGGTGGAGAATATTCATCAGTACATTGAGTCGATGAGAACAGCGTATCTTGCTGACCAGCGTCGGAGAGGAGAATGTAACGATCCGTTTCTTGAAGCTGATCGGAGGGAAACAGCGAAACAGGAAGCTGCTGCTAAAAGGGTCCACCCAACTTTGCATCTACCTGCGACTAATACGAATGCACAAACCTCAACGCAAGTCGCTGGTTTGATTGCCAGCTCAGCAACTCCTGGGGCTTCACAAACACCTGCAGCTGTTCCAACACCAAACCCTTCTTCAGGAGCTGGCTTTTCGTTTATGAACACACCTGCTTCTGCACCATCGTCTTCTCTGTTTGCTACACCACCTTCTGCTGCTCCTACCACTTCTTTGTTTGGACAATCACTTTTTGGTTCTTCGCCAGCGTCTACATTTGGTTCCGCTCCATCTTTGTTTGGCCAGACAACTCCATCAATTGGTGGTACGCCTTCACAGCTTGCAGGTATAAAAGTCATTATCTGTATCCCAGATTCTTGGAGTTTGTATCAAGATTTTGTTCTCGTCGTAATCTCAAGTTTTGTTACCTGTTTCCCCGTAGGTATTACACCGGGTTTAGGAGCCAGCTTTGGTTCTATGACAGTAAGTACATTTTTTTTCATCAGATATGTTTTGTTGCGTCATTATGCTTTCAATCTAACGACTGCATTCAGCTACTTCCTGGAAATTTTGTCTAAAAACCGTTCTTTCTCTCTTCGTTGCAGAAATCTTCAAGGCCAAAATCTCGAACTACACGCCGTTAACCACTGGATTCTTCTCACTCAGTGTAAACCGGGTCTGTTTAGACCATTCTCGAGCCCATTGAACTTCACGACAGAGTTAGCGGATGCAAACAAATTTGATGAAGCTACAAACATGTAACATGCTTACCTTTTAGTGATTTGAGATTTCAAGACCCGTAATGTAAACTTTAAAGCATGAATTTTAAGCAACCTTTGGGTAATACTTTTGTTGTATATTTCTTCTAGTGAAACCTCTTAGCAGCCCATTTCATAGTTTTGATTCTAGAAAACAATAAGAAAGCTCCGCCTTAAGAAAGTTTCTCATGCTTCTCTGCATTTGTTCATCAGTTTTTGTTTTATACCGTTTCACTTATAGTTTGGTTTTGATAATATTATAATTTGGTAAGTTGAATGTTTTCTACGAACTTTTCGTTTCTAACTTTATACTTATAAAATAATTATAATCGTAGTAACCACGTTAAAATGATAAAAAAATGCATATTTATTATAATTAGTTCATTCTGTATTCATTTTTTTCTTATAAACAAAATTAATACTCTAAAATATATTTTGGAAAATCGCGTTTTTTATCATAATTTTCCTATTGTACATATTCACATATAAGCATTTTCAACACTTCAATGAAATGGTTTTTTTTAGTTAGATATATCTTTCATACCTTTCAGTTTTTTAAATAATAACAGTTTATAAAAATGAAAATACACATGAGTTTTTGTTTTTCACAACATGAATCTTATTCATATAATCACTCCATCCCATGAAACATGTAGCTTATCACGGTGGTGGAAGCTGAAGTTTTTCTACTAATATATGACAATAATGATCTCATTACCATTTTTGTTTATGCATATTTATCAGCAATCTTTAGAAGACGATCACAGAGTTCAAGTGGCTTGGAGAACATTGGCATATGATCAGCATCTTTGATCTCCATCACTTCTTTAACCGGAAAATTCTCGATTATCCATCTCTGGAAATCTTCGGTTAAACCCTTATCTTCTCCGCATACGACGTACACACGAGTAATCGATCCATACCCTTCCTCGGTTAAGCATTTTGTCCCCGTGAGATTACTAGTAACCGCCGGTCCAACTCTCACCAACATTTTGGCCAGTTCAAAATCCTAACACTCAAAACAAAAAGATTCAATAAAAAAAAAATTCCAAGAAAAAAGGAGATTTTTTGTTGAGTCTTACTTGGACTGGAGAAAGTTGGTACATGTACTTGGCTAAGTATTTGGTTCCAAGAAGAATGGTCGTAAGAGGACGATCATGTGTCCCGTATGTACCAAACTCCATATTCGACCGGTTTTCTTCCGTAACACTCCCGAGAAACTGCCATTTTAAACTCACATGTCCGAATCTATTGGGTCTGACTGATAATGATTCCGCAAAAAAACAAAATTTCACTTTTTTAACAATTTCGGCAGTGTTGCCAATAGAAGTAGATTTTACCTTTTCGAAAACGTAAGAAGGTGGATTGGTTGTGTCGGGCATGAACGACGTTACAAAAACAGCAACAGAGATCTTACGAGGAAACATGTCTGCTGCAAGAGCAACCGATGGCCCTCCAAGGCTATGCGCGACAAGGATCGCTTTATCTTCTGAGCCAAACGACTCAAGAACCTCGAGCAACGGCTTGGAGTAATCCTCAAGCGACTGAATCTCTTCCACTCTGCTCATGTTCACACCTGAAGCCTTTAGATCAACAACGGTCACACGATGTCCTGAAGCTTCAAGCACCGGTTTGACCTTATACCAGCACCACGCGCCGTGGCAACCGCCGTGAACAAGCACGTATTGCTTCATTTTCTCTGTCTATTGATATTTTCTTCTTTCCATTGTTGTGGTTGTGTTGTGTGGGTTCTTCATTTATGGTCTGGAGACAGTTTCTCACTGAGCTGTCACTTTCCAAAGTTTAATTATTGCTTATCTTGGACACATTGATTCACTAGAGATAACTGGTAAGCCATTACTACCTCGTGCCTAAATTCTAAGGTTTTCTTTGCCAAAGGGAAAAAAAAAGAACTTGTCTTGTCTTTTCTTTGACGAATATTATATCTCAACCGGACCGGTTAAAGACACAAAACCAAGTTCAAAATTATGTTAATTATACTACTATATCTAACATTGTGGAACTCACATTTTAACAAAACTAAAACAATTGGATTTTGTAATAATATGAGTGTATATGGACTTTGTTGTGTATATGTTTACTGTGAGCTGGTATATATAGTATAAACTAGCAAAGGGTTATTTTTCTTTGGTTTAAGGCGAGATTTGTTTCGTTCGTTCTCTCTCGTTGATTATTATTATACGTGAGGACTTTAATCTTAACCAAAGCGAGCAACAAATTCAAATGCTTTGTTTTTGATTGATGGAATGTGAATACAGTGATAGTATCGTAATGGAATTGTGTTTATATTCGTCCTCATCATATTTGCCTATATCCATTTTAAAAAATATCTGCGTCCAAAAAGTCAAAAGTTTGGGTTTGATTTGATATTTAAAAAGAAAAATCAAAATGTTATGTTAATGTTTTCTTATTAAGAGATTACATTTCAATATTTTTCTAGCAGGCATTTTTTACGAAGGTGTCGGTGGAATGAAATTTATGTGGCCGTCTAACTTTACGACTTCTAAACTTAATTTGGTTGATGCATGTTTCTTGTGCGGTTGAGTAAAAAACGCATCACATCTATAACAAACCTTAGTATTCGTTCGCATGTAATCGACAAGTGTAGATCAAAAATATATATATAATGTTCCAGATTATTCAGTTACGAGTTGGATTTATTTGCGTTTGCATTTACTACATAATTTTTTCCTCCAATTTAAAGCCGTAGCCTCTCTTGATTTTGACAATGTCATCGTTGAGTTTTTTTTTTTTTTTTTTTGTCATTCTCAAGAACCATAATCATTCACATACATGATACATAGTAACATAGACATATACTTGTTTACGCATATTACTCAGCAATCTATAGAAGACGATCACAGAGTTCGTGTGGCTTGGAGAACATACATAGTATAACATAGACATACACTTATTTACGCATATTTGTCAGCAATCTTCAGTAGAAGATCACAGAGTTCAAGTGGCTTGGAGAACATTGGCATATGATCTGCATCTTTGATCTCCATCACTTCTTTAACCGGATAATTCTCGATCATCCATCGCTGGAAATCTACACTTAAACCCTTGTCTTCTCCACATGCAATATACACACGAGGAACCGATCCATACCCTTCCTCGGTTAAGCTTTTTGTGCCTGTCAGACCACTGGTAATCGCCGGTCCAACTCTCACCAATGTTTTGGCTAACTCAAAATCCTAATAACCAACAAAACGATTCACTAAACAAATATTTCATTTAGTTTTTTTTGGGTATATAAATAGAGCATTTCGTGAGTCTTACTTCGATAGGAGAGAGTTGATACATGGTCTTTAAGAATTTAGGTCCAAGATAAGCAGTCATTCGAGGATGATCACTAGTACCGTAAGTCCCAAGCTCCAGATCCATCATTTGTTCTTCTTTTGATAGCCTCTCGATATACTGCAAATCCAATCACATATCCTCTTAGCTCGATCAATACAATATAAAAAAAAAACATGAAAGAAAATAATTTCGAATAAAACCTAAAACATAAAATGTAATCATCATATTTACAAATAAAGTCCCCAAACCAAATATTAGGAACCCTAGTCCTAATTAAAAATTAAAAATTAAGAACCCTGTACAACACGAGTAGTCAATTTCCTTTTAGTAAAAGTTGCATCATACACTTTTTTTATAAGAAGATTGCATCATACACTTTAAGTAGTAATGTAGTATTGATAGTTTGATGTACCTTTTCGAACATGTACGAAGGTGGATTCGTCGTGTCAGGCATAAAGGAGGTTACAAAGACAGCAACAGAGATCTTACGATGAAACATGTCGGCTGCAAGGGAAATCGATGCTCCTCCGAGACTATGCGCGACGAGGATTACTTTATCCTCTGAGCCAAACGACTCAAGAACCTCGAGCAACGGCTTAGCGTAATCTTCCAAAGTCTGAATCTCTTCTACTTTGCTCATGTTCACACCACACGCCGTCAGATCAACAACCGTCACACGGTGGCCGGAATTTTCCAGCACCGGTTTTACTTTGTACCAGCACCACGCGCCGTGGCAGCCACCGTGAACAAGCACATATTGCTTCATCCTCTGTTTTTTTTTCTTCTGATTCTTCCTTCTTTCGTTGGTGTTTTTGGTTACTAATTTATGTTTGTTGTGTGGCTAATGACGTGATGATTTATAATGGCGAGTGACATTATCGCTTTGAAATGTCGCATTTAATGTCTTTGTATTATAGTTTTTTGGATCTGACTTCATCGTTTTCGTGACTTATTTGCTTCGTGGCCATATATGCTAAGGGTTCTCTGAACCCAGAAACAAAAAGAAACGCGTAACTGTTTTTAGTTTTTATTCATTTACTTTGTTTTTGTTCGTTAGTGTAGTGGTTACAACGCCACATGAAACACAGATTATAAAAAAATTCAAACGTGAATATGACATTTAGAGGAAGGCACTAGGATACATCTCTTGTTTCGATCGATGTTAATGTTATATAATTATGTAAATACTTGGAAGGTTTATTCGATTGGTTATTTATTTTGTGGAAATTTAATAAAAAGAATCGTGGTACTCAATCGAATGATTTTTACATTTAGCTTAAATAGTTAGTGATTTGTAAACAGCTGTTGAAATCTGATTTTGTTTAATAATGATTTTAAGATACCACATGATAAAGATATATCTTATATTCTCTTTTTATATATTTATTCACATTAAAACATAAATTAATTTAAAATCGTAGATTTACATTAATTGTGAAATTAACTTGATATTAAACAACAAAAATACCGTATTATCTTTTGAAATAATTTAAGTAAACTGATTGTCGTGTGTTCTTCGGTTAGGTTAAATTCGGTTTCATCAAATCAAAAACTCGTTTCCAATACAGAAATTCTACAATCAACTCTGAATTCGATCAATCTGGTTTCAGATGCATGAACACAACCCAAAATTCAATGGAGAGAACAAAGAATCAAATCATTAGACAGAAAAGTAAGATTTTCTCTTCTATTTTTTTTGTATGTTTATTGAAGATATCAGTAAGGTTTTCCGTTTTGATTTTTGACTACGTTTATATTTTTCTCCTTCCTCCTTTTTATAATATAAAAAAACAATCACACTCTTAATTGTGACATAATTCAATATAAAGGTGACAATGATAATATTATGTGAAAAAAATCTAACGAGGGCGTTTGGCTAGGCCGCAATAAAGAGTGTTAAGAGGCGGTTCAGCTTCAGTGTAGAGAGACTTCTCATCGTTCCAAACACGAACATAGAGCTCTTGTCCTAAATACCTCCTCGACCATATCTGTGACCTTAGATTCCACATCCCTTTGTTATCCAACGACACCAATATGCTTGTCCACGATAACGGATACACCTATATACACACACAATCATCGCTAATTAGATTCAATCATATTGTTTCAGATCCCAATTAATTTTTTTACTCCAAGTTAATTACCTGAAAAGTGTGTCTTGGAACAGCATCAACCAAGTTGTAACGCTCCCTCATAGTCACATTCCATGTACCTGACCCGTATCTGGAAAATAATAAATTTCGATTTGAATTATATGTAAACCGGTTCCGGTCTAGTTAAGACAGAGCAGGACTCTTACCCGACCGCAAAGGCACTAGTACCATCCATATGCCAAGATTGAATTGATCTCTCGTCGTTTTGGAAAACGATTTCGACGAATTCATGAAGCTCAACGTTAAAAACCGATGTACCAAAATGAGCTGGTCCGATTGTAGGAGTGCTAATGATTGTTTTGAAATCGAACACACCCGGAATGTTGTACCAATCGGCGAGTTTCAACGGTGTTGCTGGATTGATGTAGGATATTCGGTTTACCGTGTACCGAAGCTTCCCGTAGATCATTGTAGCCGCATTGGCTAGGACTAGAGTTCGGTTTATTGGTATGGTACCGTAATGGAATGATCCTTGAGGGTTTGGCCTTGCAGCGTTTGCCGTCAAGTCCATCCTAAAATTCAGCAATTTAAATCAAAATTCTAAAAGTAACCAACTAAAATGGTACGGTTCGATTTGGTTTGGTTATATTCGATATGGTATTAATACCTGATGGTTCTTGCTTGTTTCATGGACCAATGGATGTGGTAAGTAGGACCAATGGGGAGAGGCCCAGATGCTGCGTTTTTGGAGCCGAGGTAACGGAGACTTGCGGTTGTGTTTAGTACCGGTTTAGTAAACCGGGACGAGGCCACGATGTAATAGTCCCTTACGGAAGCTTTTAGAGTAACTAGGACGGTCACTGACTGACCAACGTGGACGTCAAGCGACTCATAGCTCTCCGGAACAGTGTGAGCGCCTTCTACTTCGATGAGGCTCATTGTATGATTTTGAATCCTAAAATTTATTGATGTCGCTATACCGACATTCGATACCCTAAACTTATATGTTTTGCCTGAAGATAGATATATGGAAATTTCATCAGAAACATGACATGTTAATAAAAGGGATCTTGATGGGTTTATGTGATGACATTACCTTGTTGACCAGTAAAGATTAATCCTTTAGAAACACCATTGATGAGAAGAGCAGCAGGAGGAGGTAGAGCATAGCCTGCGTCAAGCCGCTTTCGCATATCCTAAGGTCATCACCAAATAAGAATTAAATAATTAACAAGCATTACGTTGTATGTATTTTGTGTTGGTGCGTACCTTGTGGGTCATATTGAACCAGTCAGTGACGAGGAGGGTGAAATCGCCATCGGGTTGAGCATAAGGAGTGGTAATAACGGATCTCTGGTTAATGTTAAGAGCACCAAAAGCCCCACTGGCTCGGTGCATCGACGTGGAAGCGAAGTAAGTGTAAGCGCCGATTTGGTCTTTAAGTTGAAACTGGTAAGTCCAGTTCGAGTTTGGTTGGATCGGACAGTTTGTTCCCAATACTCCATCTTGCCACGACGTCCTCCTCTGTTTCACTCCATTCCTACATATTTGTACAATATATCTATAATTAATACTTAAACACAATAAATCTGCGAATGAGTTTTATCTATGTGCAGTTAATTAGCTCGGTCGGTTATATTGTATGTACCAAGTGATGAGGAAAGGTTCGTCGATCTTGTTAATGAGATTAACAACAATGTTGTTATTTGTAACAGCTTCAATCGCTGGACCAGGGAACTGTCCATTGATAAGAATGACCTACGTACCAAAAATATAGAAAATACATATGTCATTTTCTCATAACAACAATAAATCTAAATAATAAGATCAAAGAGTTCATACCTGTTGAGGAAAACCTAAAGGAGATCTTGTTCCATAAGTAACAGTCCAAGTGTAGAACAAATATGGGTCTTCTGCATTTACCAAAACAGAGCCCAACCAGAATAACAAGGTTCCTATGAATAATTTACATAGTGGGAGATTGGTCTGTTTCATTTTTTGCAAGACGAATATAATCTAATCCTGATCTCTCTCGATCAAGATTCAAGATCAAGATTTTTTTTTTTATTTTGTTTGTTTGTGAGTTTATGTTTGAGGTTCGACCCTAGGGACAATCTTAAATACATTTACGAAGTTAGAGAGACTAATCAAGTATTAATATTTTATTAAGTTGTGTCAGCGTGGACGTTGTGAATCCCCATATATGCATCACAGGGAAGCCTCCGTAAGCTCCTTTGCGGCGTACTTCATGCAAATGCTTGTGTTGAAAACTACAGTATTATAATTAATTTTTACGCCATATATAATATTCAGATTTGTTATTATAATAAAAATGATGTGTAACTAAGGTTACTCAAATTACCAAAGCTTTCTTTGTCGACAATAGGTAAATATTCAATTCTAAATTGTGCAAAAGAAAATTAATGAACTGGTACTTTTATCGGCCATATGGGAGTGAAAGCCATCAAGAGTACATAATGAGATATTATTGAACACATATAGTTTGATGTCAATAAAAATATGAGATCTTTTTTCTTTTACCTTTTCTAACGTGAAATGAAGAGGAGATTTTCTCGGAAGAAGAAGCGCCGATGTTTGAGAATCGGAATGCTGCTAAGATGGATTTGCTGTGATAGATTAACCTTCACTGGTTACTTAATTAGTGTCGGTCACAATCATAAGTTATAACGAACGGTTACTTCAAAAGAAGGATAAAAAAACAATGCAGTTTTATTTTAGTAACAACATTTACTCACCAATATATAAACTAAAATGAGTTGAACCAGTGACTGTAAGCTTATGCAAGTTTGGAATTTTTATAAAAACTAATTATGCTGTGATCATGAATTCAGAACTTCACAGATTAATTAGCGATTTCGAACTCCACAGTATCAAATGACTTGGTAAGGATGTGTGTACTGAGATTTGACTTTGGGAATAAAATTAAAGAAATAACTAGCAAATAGTGCAAATGTAGATCTTGATCTATGATTAAATTCTTTGTTCCCTAAAACATCAAATGCTTAAAATAAATAGGTTGACTTTTTCATTTTCTGTATGAACATAGGATTGTATACATATATAATTAAGAAAATCGCGAATCACGATCACATAATTAACTTCTCAAACTAATTAAAACATAAAAGAGTGTGTATGATCTCACGAGATTCCAATTTGCATTAAATGTTTGTTTTATTGTTTAAAATAAATAAATGACAGTGTAGTCAAACCAGTTGCTAATGACTCGGAACCATGAGACATGGTGATGCATCCCTAGAAGAGATCACATATATGGAAGAGAAACAAACTCTAATTAATCACACATGAATTCGTTACCACTAAGCTCGCTTGTACCATGTGAATCTTTATCCTAATGAATTTATACGATGCATAAATACGCAATTTGTACTTACATTTACATAGCTACATTAATACATGCATGTGTGTGTATGCTTCCTCAGTCCTCATCTTACGAAACGTGTCTTGAGACTAGCAAATGTTATTAATGTAATATCTTTTTTAAGGAAGTTTCATGCTTTTGTTCCTTAATAGTCTCTTTGTTCATTGTCTATGCATTAAGCTTCTACAAAACATAAATCTTACACAGTCCTGTATACAAATTGTCTGACTAATTTGCAATTGTAGTAGAAATCTTAGTGACAAATGATTTATTTTATCGTTACCAATAGTCTCTACAAGAACACTGTCCATTCTCAAAGCAATGAAACCGAGAAGAGTCCCTTACCGTTATTTTCCTCTTTGTGATCTTCGATATGAACTTAATAGCACTGTGACAATCCACACAAGACCTCAAATTCTTAAACACCTTAATCGCCGTTCCTTCTGCTGTCGATAAAATCGCAAACGCAACCGCGAGTTTCTCGCTATGGTGCACGAGATTCTCTTCTTTCTGTTCATCTTCTACATCGTG